CAGCACCTCTGTCCTATCTGGATTGAGTCTCAATTTATTGGCCCTCATCCAGCCAGTTACCAAGTTCAGGCAACAGTTCAGAACAGAAACAGCATCACTTGGGTTTGATGAAAATAAATTAGAGGTAGCACTGAGCATTATCAACATACTGATGACATCTAAGCCCTCACCTCCAAATGACCTCTCCCAGCACTTTCATGTAGATATTGAAAAGCATGGGAAACAGTATGGAGCCCTGTGGAACCCCATGGAGTAAATGCCATGGGACAGAGCAACTACCCATCAACACCACTTTCTCCATACAATAAGCCAGATAGAAGTGGAACCACTGCAGAGCAGTGCCTTCAACTTCCAATGCAGCCAACATGTCCAGAAGGGCACCATGGCTGATGGTGTCAAAAGCCACTGAGAATTCCAGAAGAATCAACAGGGTTGCATCCCCCATCTCTCTTCTGGCAAAGGTCATTCCACAGAGTGACCAAGGAGGTTTCTGTTTCAAACCCCAGCCTGAAACCTGATTTTAATGGATCTAGATAATCTGTATCAATCAAGAGTGCTTGGAGCTACTCAGGCACCTTGCCCAAAAAGGGGATATTAGCTACAGGACTATAGTTGGTAACATCCCCTGGGTCCAGGTTTGGCTTTTTTAGCAGCAGTTTTATCATAACCTCCTTTAAGGAGGCTGAAACAATTTCCCCTCATAGAGTTCCCTATACATTATCCTTGCTGCTTTGTTTTCTTAAACTGGAGCATACCAGGAAGTCAAACAAGTTCTAGTCATACGTAATGATGATGAAGATGACAATACTACATTATTAAAACACTTATGTTATTAAGGAATACCACAATATGCAAACTTACTCTTTAACCTTAAAACTACTTCTAGATGATAATGCTGATTCTACATACTGTTTCTAAGTCCATAGGATATAATTTTCTTTTTGGCTCTTCACATTGTTGATGGATTTCCATTTCAACCTGTAGTTTATTTTTTGTTTACTCACTGGCAAAAACATTTCACAATCTTAGCATGTATCTATGCCATGGGTCCTCAAACTACGGCCCAGGGGCTGGATCCCGCCATGCCCATTTATCTGGCCCACCAGCGGTTTGCTTACTCAGAGAAAACGATCTCCAAGCGAGCAAGCTGGTGCCTCGTGCGCCCACCTCACGGCGCATGCCCACCCCCACCTCGCCTTGCCTCCCCTCACCACACACTCTGCCCCCACCTCAGCATGTGCACCTGCACATGTCACCCTTGCCCTGCCCCCTCGCCAGCCCGCACGACCGCCGGCACCACCTTTCCGGCCCACATGCAGCACTGGCACCTTTCAACTGGCCCCCTGGTGAAAAAAGCTTGAGGACCCCTGATCTATGCCATGTCTAATACTTGGTACATCTGTAATAATTGTCTGAATAAAAATTAAATACTGACACACATAGCAAACAATACTATTGAGTACTAAATTATACATAGTTATTTAGTGTTCTTAAAGGACTAAGTCAGGGGTGGGAAACTTATGGCCTACCAGATATTTTGGACTACAGCATTCATGAAGTCCAATATGTATAGCCAGTGATAAGGGATGATGAGCACTGTAGGCCAAAAAATCTGGAGATCAAAAATCTTGAGCTGAACTAAGGAAGGCTTGAATGTACCAACAAATAAATACCCTATTAATATCAGTTCTGTCTGTGTGTCACATGTAACTTCCCCCACAAAAAATCCTTTTTTCCCTTCCAGCATCACATTATCTAAATAGAAATGGCATGTTAACCAGCAGTTACTTTTAAAAAAATATTGTACTGTCCTATTGCAGTCAGCTTGCAAATAATGAGCACCCCAAAATTTCCTATTTCACAGTACTTTAGCCCCTTCTCCACCTTCCCCTACTGCAGTCACATACCAGCTTGTTTAATCAGGTTTCAGATCTAAGTCACATTCACAATATTGACAAATTGGCCAACAGCTGGATCACATATTGTAATTGTTACTTCCTAGTTCTAACCCGTAGCTTTTAGCACAGATATATCACAAAGTCAGCAGTTCCTCTCCACTGAATAGTGACTAATAACTGCAATAAACCTACAGAAATTAGGCTATCCAGAAGGCTTATGGGGCATGGGGCAAGTACAATGGGGTCCCACCACAATCCCTGGAAGACCCTAAGCATGTGTCAGGCTCTGGGAACACTGTGTCAATGCCAAAATATCCTTGGCACAGGAGCTGAGGGAGGGAGCCCCAGGACAAGCTGCTCCATAGCCCCCTATCCCTACAGCTCAGAACATGAAAGGTATTTTAGCAGGGAATTGTTCCTTACAACAAATGTACCACTTGTGTGACATTTCAAGGAAATCTAATGGTATTTTTTTTATTACCTTTGCGATGGATGAATGGGCCACATCTGGAATTCTGTGGTTTAGCTTAATAAGTTTACCATGCCAGATTTCCAAGAAGGGCCTACATTTGATTAAGCCACTGTCAATTCTTTTTGCAAACCGGGCTTTGGTTTTCACTGCAGCTGAGGCTGCTCACAGGTCTGGCAAGGCATTTAAAATAGCTTTCTCCCTCCTAACTGGAAGAACAACTCGGACAAGACAGCTTACTATGGACATGCACAGGAAGCTCACACACCTTAAAGTAATTGTGAGAAGTCTATTACTAACTAGGCATCTTGGCGAAACAAGTGAGAACCGACAAGTATGCGCAGGCACTCAAGAAGCCCCAAAGCTTCCGCCCCTAAGCCAGCCTGTCCGCAGAGGTCAACATGAAGGCTTTCAGGAGGACTCTCTCCACCGCCCTCCACTTGTAGGGGCAGCAAAAGGGGAAAGTTTCCAAAAGATATAGGAGAGCGAGCAGAATGTACAACTGGGGCTGCCACGTGTGGTATTCCGAAAGACTCGAAGCTGAGAGAGTCGCCACCTAAAATTCCTGACTGAGGAATAAGGAGAAGCGGCGGCGGCGGCGGCGGGTGGGGGTCTCTCAGGGAAGCCTGACTCAGCGTTCAGAAGGAGGCGGAGGAGGAAGCTCAGAGCCTCCTCTCGACCTCCTCACGGCCGGGCTGCCTCATCTTTTCCTGTCCGCCCCAAGCCCAGCGCCGCGCCGCGAGTACCTTTCCTCGCCCTTGCTTTTCTGCTTCTTGCCCATGGCCGCGCTCGTGACCGTCTCTCAGAGGTCGAGGTCGAGGTCTCTCTCCTTGCGCAGGGCCCAGCCAGCCACATCCACACGCGCCTGGGCACATATGGGGTAAGAGAGGCCGACACGATACCACTGGCAGGCTGACGTGCGCAGGCGCTTCCCCTCTCCCTCTCAGCGCACGGCGCGCATAGCGTCCGAGCGCCTGGGAACGAGGCGGAGCGGCTTGCCGGGCCGAGTCTGGTTTCGATCGCGATCGCCGCCTCTGGACGGAGGGAGAACAGCAGCATCGGCGGCAAGCTCAGGAAACAGAAACCTGCATCGGCGGCAATCTCAGGAAACAGAAACCGGAGACATAGACTTGAGCATGGTCGGGAGGGTTTGTGGGCGTGGTGCGAGCATGGACGTAACATGAGAGGGGGCCCGCTGGCATGTTGCTGGGTAGCCTTCGAGTTCAGTATCCGTACTTCTTGCATTCCGCTTCCCTCCGGCTACATGGTTTATTCCGCCAACCACACCTGTAACTGTAATGTCTTTTTAAGGTTAACACACTTCATACAGCTGATGAAGTAGGCAGTGTCCACGAAAGCTTCTCTAAGACATTCATTTGTTGGCCTTTAAACTACCACAGGACTCTTAGTTGCTTGTTCTTCATGTAGTTGTCTAATCCACTTTGAAAGCTATCTGAATTGATGACTCGCAGCACATCTTGCAGTAGCAAGATCCCAGGTGCCCTCATTATATTGCTGAAATAATTCTACCATATTTGTGCCTTCCTGCACTACATTTTTAGCCGAGGTTGTCCAAGCAGTTAAAAATCAAAATAAAATCATAATAACAATTGAATCAGCATAGTAGCATAGCAGTATAGGATAAAATGCAATATTAAAAATAAAGTTAAAAGGTTAAACTATTAAAATGCAGGGAAAATAAAAAGATCTTCACCATGTAATGAAAAAAAGAGTTGGCATCAGGTGCACCTCTTCAGCTCATTCCATAGCCAGGGCACCACAATCAAAAAGGCCTCCCTTCTGGCAAACATCCACCTCATTTCCTTTGGAAGGGGCTTCCCGAGGACCCCCATATATGACTGCAGGGTCTGGGTAGGTACATATGGGGTGAGGCATCCTTCAGATAACCTGGCCCTATTTGGATGGCCTCATTTGTAATTCATTTCTTATATTTAACTGCTGCAGTAGGAAACTGCAAACCAGGAAACATAATACAGCAAGTTGACACCCTCAGGCAATCAGTAAATTTATGTTATAATACAGCAATAATTGTATTTTGCTTAGTCGCACTGACACGATTAAACAGTAGAACAATTAAAAGTATCTATAGTCTTCTACTCCAAATCGTGTAAAAAAATCCAAACTGCGTATTATTTTCAAATATTTATTAGGTCGACCAAAAAAATTACATTTTAGTGATTTTTGGTTGGACCATAAAGTGGCTAACAACCGAATCATACTCGTGTTTACTCAGAAGTCAGCCTCAAGAGCGGTCCATCGGATGGGAAGTAATAATCCAAAATCCCTTTCCGCCCCCTCCCGCACGTTTTCCGCTCAAAGAGCAGAGTATTCTGGGCCTTGTAGTTTCTGGGCGGGACTAGCACGCGGTTAGCCATGACGTACAAGTACGTAGCCCGATGCATTCTGGCCCTCGTAGTGTACTTCAAAGAAATCGTGGTTAGCCGCTTAAACCCAAGAAGACGCGATACGGCACTTCCTCAATAAAATCCCCAATCTAGCGCCTCCCAGCGTTACCCACAGAACCAAGGCTGTAAGCAAGAAAATGATTGAGCATGTGTCGCTGCACTGCGCATGTGCAAAACGCGACCGAGACGACTAATTCCTGAGTCGAAAGAACGCCTTCCTAATGCGTCATACACCAACAAAGACGCGAGCGTAACCCTGTAGCCGGTCGTGGAGTTCGTCCACCTTCCCGGCGGCGGAACGAAGAGCGGCAGTCCACCCGTGAACGAAACTGGGGCGGCGGCGAGGAGGAAGGGGATTTTCCTGTTCTCTAAGGTTCCGGGGCGTTCAGTCTGTGCTCTTCGGCTCTTCTGCGGTGAGTGTCGGGATCGACCACCGCCGGTTGGTTGCAAGGGCGGTACAAATAAATGGTATTTACCACGCATATACGTTCGGATTCTGTTAGAGCGGAGATTAGATTTGGGTGGCTGTCTGTTCCCCTTGCCTGAGTAGGATGTATTCTTGGCGGAGCAGATCCTGCTTTGGAGCTCCTCACAAACCTTGATAGGCCAGCGTTTTTCAGGCGGAGATTCAGCAGATTCTGCTTGTCGCGCAGCTAACACAGCGAATGTTAGAAGCGTAGAACATCTGCCCTGGCTGCAAGTCACCGTTAACAATCTTGTTTGTTGATCGTATTTAAGTTGCTCTGGGAGCTTCTTTGGCTGAAGAGTGGGCTAAAAATTATTCTGCTGTTGCGGATTATCATGCATTTTTAAGGCTTCCATAGTAAAATGTAGAGTATATGCTATTATCATTAAATTCAAAGTGAAGTAAGGTTGACAAGTTAAACTATTTTACTTTGGATTCCACAAATAATGTTCTGGCCTTAAAAACAATGCAGATATAATTTTATAGTTTAGTAGCTGGTATCTTTTCACAAAAAAATCAAAATAATGTTAAAAATTCTTATAAATGTTATGATTACTATTCATTATCAAAGCAATGTTATGTTTTATAACTATATAGGCTGAATAAATATATGATTGAGAATGGAATGGGTTGGATGGGAAAGTGGTTGATACTGACCTTTGTTTATTGTAAATGGGTTTAAATTTTTGGAATGACCCTTGGCTTTTTTTCTATATACCCCCTTTCTTTCTATTGTATTTTCTGAAAACAAAGATTTGGAAAAAATCAAAGTAAGAAAAGAAATACTGAAATGCAAATGAATCAAAGCAGGTGAGCAGAAGGGGTATTCTTTTGTTCTTCCTCTTCTGTAGGATGTTTTGATTGCGGACAGCAGCAGGGAGGAGACAAACTAGATGAAAATGTGCCTCACTATCTCATTGGAATAAAACTATATATTTTAAAGACATCTTATAAAATATAAATGCATCTTGCAAGTTTTTTAAGATTAGTGAATTGATGTTTTGAGCTGCAAAATGGGTGGGGACTAAGGGAATCCAAGAGAAGAAAAGCCAGATGGAAATGGGCTTGGCCAGTCAATGGAATGAGCCTTGTTCTTCCTTTCATGATAGTTCTTGTAAACATTTCCCATATGAGTATTTATGAAAACTTAGATGACAGCATCATCTTATAAAAGAGATTTCTTCTGCTGTTGCAACTTCATGTAATTACAATAAAAGTGGTAAGTGATTCTGTTGGTGCACGTGTATAGATAAACTGAGTATCTTAAAACTAAATTATCAATAGCTGTATGTTCACTGCTTGGGGGTTTTATTGTATTTAAGTGAATGTAAATGTCAGTAAGTAAAAAGATAAACCATCTGAAAACCAGTGAAAGTTTCTTGTTCCCTCTTTCCTGCACTTGCAGTCTCCTGTGAACCTTGAAAAGCCTTTCCATACACTGGGGAGCTGAGAGACACCCTTGAAGAGTATGGGATGGGGCATTGAGGGGGGCTGCTTCAGGAAGGAAAGGGAAAGGAAACTTCTGTTAACTTCCTTAACGGCACCATCCTGCTGATCATGCTCTGGATTCACATGCATCCATTCATCCAGTATTTGCAGGAGGAGTGCTAGACGTGATCTTTATCTCTATCCTACTGCCCTGCATTTTTTGCTAGATGATCCTTTTTGCCCATCCAGTGAAAGCAATTTGGAGAGGGAGAAAGAGGAGCAGAAGAGGCTTCAGGATTCTGATCTCCTTCCTGCCCAGCAGAAGGTTTTCCCCTCTCCAATTCACTTTTTCAGCCTCAGAGGGCAACTGGTGCAGTTTTTTCTGTGGCAGCTACAAAGGGGCAGGGAAGGCTGTTGGCTCTCCAGCTCCCTTTTCCAAGGCTGCCATCCAGTCCTGAAGGAGGGAATCCCAACTATCTTGTGACCCCTTAGACAATGTCTAAGAACTCCTTAAGTTAATTTCAGGGTCAAAACCATTGTATGCTTTATTCTTCAGAAATACAGTTTTGTTTTTGCAGAATTAACTGATTCACATAATACAATTAATCTAGATAGATTTTTTAAAAAAACTCAGGGCCTTAATAACTGAGAATTCAGAAACAAACTGTTCCATGCCAAAATATATGGGATCTGATCTTACACATACAGTTTTGAAATCATGTATTCTACTCTACCTTCCCATAAAGTACACACATTCCAGAAAGTGTTACTTTAGATGATGGTTGCCCAAGTTTTATCCTCTGAGTTGCAGTCTACACTAGTGTTTTATTCTGGAATGTAATTTCTGGCTGACTTGCTCAGCAGACTCCCTAACCCATTTTCCTGATGCTATTTCTTATTCAATATTCTATTTTACTGCAAACTGTTTTTATGACAACTTTTGGAGTAATTATGGTTTCTGTGCTTTATCAAGTAATACGTTTTCCAGTGAAGCAGTATAATAATTTTTACTGGTACGAAAGACTTTAAAGCATATAGCCTGTTTTGTTTTCCCACATACCCCTCTTTCCTCCTTCTCTTCCCTACTATTTCCTTGCATTGATTTTGATGGAATTTACAGGTAGCAGCCTATTTTTCACCGCATACATACAGAGCTGTGCAATTGTGAATCACAAAAATTATTTTTAAACCTGCATTTTTGTACAGCTACAAAGATGAATATGCAGTTACCAAATTCTTTTTATAAAACAGCTTGAAATAGTTTGGCATATGCTTGTGCTGTAAATACAAAGAATAATATATATATTATCTTTACTATTTCTACTTGTTCCAAAATTAAAACAGTATGCATTGGCATGTGGCACTTGGTCATGTTATAAACTGTATTGTGCTGCACTGTATTTTTTATGTGTGCCCAGAGAGCAGCAGTTGAGTTTTAAAGAAATACTGGCACAGTGTTCCCTCACAAATGATAGAAACTCCAGAACAGATACTGCCTAAGAAATGCATTTGTCATTCAAACCAGTAGGTAATATTCCTAGAGGCTCAGACAAAAATGTAATTGCTGCTCTGTGAATTTAACTTTTCGATTGCCATGCTGAATTTGTGTGCATATTTGAAGGTCCCATTGATATCTCAAGAATATAACTGCATGGAAATGTAGTTCCAATAAATGTCACTTTATGGCATCAGGTTCTGATTCAAAGGTGATTTTAAGGTTTAATGTGTCTGCTACATACATAGGTGGAAGATGGCTGCTGATACTTCAGCTGAAATGTTTTCAAAAGCTCTGGAGTCTCAAATGCTTCAAACAGCCAAGATTGTAGAAGAACAGCTTGATGCAGAGATACAAAAACTGGACCAGATGGATGATGATGAACTAGAACTTGTAAAGCAAAGAAGACTCCAGGCATTGAAGAAAGCCCAGCAGCAGAAACAAGTAACCTCCTTGTAGTATTATAAAAAGCTACATTTTTTAATATATGTTTAAGTATATTTTAAACATGCAAAGTTCTTCATATTATTAAATCCATAACTTTGACAACAGCTGAGCCCTGTATAATAGGCTAATGAATATAATATCATTCTCATATTGCAGATTAGGATAGTAGCTTGCTTCATGCTACAAAATAAGCTTATGGATGAAGCAAGTTTTTAAGTATGTCACACCTATGCAACTTGCTCCTATTCATGTTTATTCAAAACTAAATTCTGCTGAATTCAATGGGGCTTGCTCCCAAGTAGGTGTATTTAAGATGGCAGCTTAATATATGTAACTTGAAGTGTCTTAATACAGTTCAGTGGAAGGGTAAATATTAATGGGATTGCAAATCCTATCAATTTGGAAGGGAGCCCAGTTAAGTGGGATGTAGTTCCAAATAAAGGGATGCAGGTGGCACAGTGGTTTAAACTGCTGTGCTGCTAGGCTGGTTGATCGAATTCTCCAGTTCGAGTCTGCACAACAGGGTGAGTTCCTGTTGCTCTGCCCCAGCTCCTGCCAACCTTTCAGTTCAAAAGCATGCAAATGCAAGTAGATAAAAAGATACCACTTTGGTGGGAAGGTAACTGCATTCCATGCACTTTGGTGTTTAGTCATGCTGGCCACATGACCACGAAAACTGTCTGCAGACAAATGCTGGCTCCCTTGGCCAGGAAATGGAGATTAGCACCGCCCCTAGAGTCAGACGTGACTGGACTTTAATGTTAAGGGGAAACCTTTACCTTTAGTTCCAGATAAATTTTCATAGAATATGCCACATAACCATTGTGGTACTCAGTTTGCTGAAGCTTACAAACCTGTAACCAAGAGCACTTGGGACCTTGAACATTCCTGCCACCCCAGTAGTTTCAAGTACTTAGTTAGAGAACAGCTTTATACACCAAAACAGGATGTTATGGAACTGATTGACTTACTAGAAATATCAAAATTATAAAGGAACTTATGCATGAAAGCTTGAATTACACATGCGCACGCACATAGAGCTATATAAGATATGACTTGAAAAGCAAGTCCAAAATGAAACAGTTTGTCATCCATGAAAAATGAAAAGTGAAGTGTTGAAGGTACCACACAAAACTTTGTAAGCATAGCCTGAAATAGCTCCAGTTACTAGTAAAGTCTGAAAATGTTATGTCACCTGCCCAGAGATTTGGCTTTTGGGCAGTATAGAAAGGTATTGAACAAATTCTGTCTGTTTTCTAAAATGGGAGGCACAAAATGTTTCTAAAACTGGTTAATATATGTCAGAATTAGCTTGAAAACTGTAATTTAGTGCATAGGTGGTCCGTGACTCATTGAGAATTAGACATCTTAATATCTGATAAGATTAATTTAATACATGAAAACTGAAATCCTGTATATACATGTTTCTGGAATTAAAGCACACTGAACAAATTAACACTTATTTCCAAATAAAAATGCACAGGATTGTACTGGAAATTAACTTCATCATAAAGGTCAGTAGTGGCTATGAATATATCTGCTTTAGAATGCAAGCTTCATACCAATTATTGTTCAGCTTAACTGTTACTGCTACCCCTTTATTTAAAAGTATGCCAGATTTGATTACGAATTGGCAACGAAGCTGATGTTAGGAAAGTTAAAAATTTCCACAATCTTTCTTGAGCAAGTAATACATACAGCAAGGAAAAGAAGTGAGATTTAAAATTGACTTCAGATTCATTAGGATCCGAAAGATAGCCTTGTTATGGCAGAATTAAAAGTACTCCTGATGTTTTATAAGAAGTCAAGGAAGTATTCTCTCTCTTAGTGTCATAAGCGCTACCAAGAAACATTGTGCTAACATTTTGTATTCTCATACACAGGAATGGCTATCAAAAGGACATGGGGAATACCGGGAAATCCCTAGTGAGAAAGATTTTTTTCAAGAAGTGAAAGGGAGCAAAAATGTGGTCTGTCACTTTTACAAAGATACAACTTTCAGGTAAGTATAGTCCCTGTAGGATTTTATAATACAAAAAACCTTGTTAAATGGATCAATTACTGAAATCAGAAAATCTGTGGAAAGTCTGTCTTCCTAGATGTACTAAAACTAATTCATGGGTCTAATGCGTCTTTTGTTAGTAACAGACCTCTTAAATTTTCCTAACTGTTGGCCCATGCATATTAAGAGCCTTGTTTGCTGATTACTCTTTCCTTGGCTTAGTGAAAATACAGCACACTTGCAGTATCCTGAATTATCCAGTACTGCAGTATCCACTACTGTCTGCTTGCTTGGGTCTGATGAGATAAGCCTAATGCTGCGTGCCTATTTGGGATGCAACTCTCATTGTTCACTTGGACTTTTATCATGGTAACTGTGCATAGGATTGTGATCACAGTACAAGTTAAGTACAGTATTTCAAGGATAGGCTGCATAGGTTATACCTATAAAATAATATGTATAAAGATTTGGGAGATTTTGGCTAACCTTCAGATCTAGTTATTAGTGTCAAGGGAAAGGAAGTACAAGAGTAAAATTATATATTTGCTCCTACAAATACATGCTGACTTTAATATTTGTATTGATATAATCGAGTTACTAACACATGGCATATAAATGTTGTGATCAAATACTTATCTGAAGTAGGAGGCAAGGTAAGACTTTATATCTGCATTTTGTCACTGTAAACTGTTATTTTTTATTTGTTTCTTCCTCAGATGCTTAATATTAGACAAACATTTAAGCATTCTTGCAAAAAAACACATTGAAACCAAGTTTATCAAGTTAAATGCTGAAAAATCTCCATTTCTGTGTGAGAGACTTCGCATCAAAGTAATTCCTACACTGGCACTTGTAAAAGATGGGAAAACACAGGATTATGTTGTTGGCTTTACTGATCTTGGTAATACAGATGACTTTACCACAGAGACTTTAGAATGGAGATTAGGATGTGCAGACATAATCAAGTACAGGTAACTAAAATTATCTTTATAAAAATAATAAAACATTAATGTTCTAAAACACATAGTAAGTGAAGAACAGAATCTTTCTTTCAAGGCAGCAGAATGCCTGTCAAATATTGAGCATTAGCTTCCATTTGTTCAACTGATTTAAAATGACTTGTTCTGTTCACAGCTCATTTTGTCAAAATTGCCTTTCATAGAAGTTCCTGCAGATTTTCTTATCTGAAGATATGCAAGGAGTTAGAGGATAGTACTGAACAGATAAAATTCTATAGACTGCATGTTTAATTCATCAGGATTGAACTTATCCTGGGCTCCTGATGCAGGTTTCAGGAAGTAGGGGATGGGTCTCTTTTGCTGTAACCATCAAGAGTGCTGCTTCTTGGCTTCAGGAAACATTTCTTAGACTTGACTTTGGACTTATGTTTTACCAATAGTACCATATAAACTGTTTCAGGCAGCTATTGCCTCAACTATGCATTTACTTTACCTTTTTCCTTTTTTTAGTGGCAACTTAATGGATCCACCTTTCCAGAGCCAGAAGTTTGGAACCACCTTCACAAAGCTGGATAAGAAAACAATCAGAGGAAAGAAATATGATTCAGATTCTGATGATGATTAGATGTCATGATAAAATATTTGTAAATCATCTTTTCTTTAAGCTTGGTACATTTCTAGGAATGTTTTTATACAGCTGTTTGTTTTCAAAACATTTGCACATAATGCTCATTTTCTAAACAGTTTTATACAACTCATAAAAAGAAATCGTAAATATTTTTTTCCTCTGGGGGATCATTTCTAGGCCAAGAAATCTGAGCCCTTTTGAACTTTGTCACATGAGAAATGATGTTCAGTATTCTATTATTTTAAAAGTAACCCTTTTAAACTGAATTTTAGTACCTTCTACTATTTACCATCACAATATTAATGAAGGACTCCTGTCAAGAATTGTTATAAAACTATTCTGGAAGTGGTACATTAATAAAATCATTGCTTGCCAATGCCATGAGTATGGCATTATCTTAACTACATTGCACTGCATATTGTACAAACATCTTAGCCTCCTTTAAAGAATTAGGGCTGTAATCTTATACACACTTACCTGGGAGGAACCCCTATTGGACTCAATGGGATTAACTTCCTAGTAGCTGTGCATAGGGTTGCACTGTAAGTGAAACAACTGTGTATACTGCATGATAAAGCAACATCAGCAGTAAATAGCACATAAAAACTATACTGAAATGTATCTTGCTTGCAGTTTTTTTAATGTGGTTTAGAGAACAGGCCAGATAAAACAATTGCTTTTCTCTCTTGAAGCAATGAATGCAGTTTAATACAACTTCTTGCACTGTTGTTCTTCAGTAATAAGTATATTTTTCTGAATGAGCTCTACCTTCCTGGAATTTTAAATGTCCCTTGAAAATCTGACAGTCTAGCTGGTAGGTGAATCAATTTCTCTGTGCTCATTAACATATATGATTTGGCTACTTCTTGAAGTGTATCTGCCTTTTGTCAGAACAAGGAACAATGGCACTTATAGGTGCTATTCATCTAAGAAGGAAAGCCATCCTTCTGAATTTCTAATTGAGGTAAATATGGAGCCAGATTGCTTTTTTAAAAGTCTATAATCAAAGCCAGGGAGTGGTGTGGTCTTGATGTGCCTGACTCCCCTTTAAGCAAGCTTTGGCTTTATTTTCCCCATTTTTATTCTTGAGGGGGTAAGAAAATGGCTTAGGTAAGAGAATGAATGAGCAAAACAAATATTCCCCAGGTAATTCTCCCCTCCTTGGCTCAGTGCAATGCACTGCTATGTCTCAGTCATTTCTTGCCTCTATTAGATGGAAACCAATTTACATAAAGAAGATAAACATATACAAGATTAAGGTTTAAGGGAGTCGGGTTTAAGTGAGAACCACAGAGTGTTGGGGTAATGAGAGGAAATAAGCTAAACAATGACTTGAGGGCAGGAGGAAAGGAGAAAGCGTTTAAGGGTATGAGCAAATCTACTAAACAGGTAGAGTTGGTAAGCAGAATCTTCATGTTCTGACATCCTAATTACTAGGTGCTATAAGAGATGCAAAACCCATCTGGCACTCTAGCACAGTTGGTCAGCAATATTGTTCTCTTTTTTTTAATGTTCATGTAAATCGAAATAAAGTTGAATTCTAATTCTCAAGTGTTTGTCCTTTCAGAGATGGCTTCCTTTGCACTTGCTTTATACCTCTTAGTAATACTGCTAAACTTTGTTCTACGGTGCATGAGAATGCCAGAAAAGGGATGAGATATGCTTTGAAAAATTAAGCAGCTATCTTAGATGTATCCACTCCACTTGGCCATTTGGAGCAGACAGGCCTTCAATGTTTATCTCACCTTGGACAGTGAGAACACTGAAGGATCAACTGAGCACACATGGTGAATCCCTAACATGGCCTTCAGGTAGTTGGTGAATGTGCAGGCACAACCAACAAAGCATACTTGCGTCTGGTATCCACAAGACTCGGGGCCAGACTACGGGGATAGAACTGGATAATTGCCATAGACTTCACGTATGTAGCACACCACATCAACATGGGCATTGCTCCTTACCTTTCAACAAATGAGTTGGATGGGGACTAACAGTGCACTCCTATAGTGTGTTTACAGAAGTACCATGGGATTCAGTGGGATTTGCACCCAGATTAGGACAAAGGATGGAAGTCTCAGATACTTGCATTTTTCCCCATTGAAATCAATGGGCATGTTTGAGCAACATGTTAATTCACATGGACACAAACTACACAGGGTAATCACAGTTGTAAGTAGTACCTTCTCCCACAGGCATCCCAGGGAACACCACATGAAGAATAAGACTTACCTATCACCTGGGCTCCAAGATCACAGAAGGTGACTGCAGCCAAGAAATTAAAAGACGCTTGGTCCATGGGAAGAAAGCTATGGCAAATCTAGACAGGATACTAAAAAGCAGACATCACCCTGCCAACAAAAGTGCATATAATCAATGGTTTTCCCAGTTGCAATGTATGGCTGTGAAAGTTGGACCATAAGGAAGGCTGAGCGCTGAAGGATTGAGGCCTTTGAATTGTGGTGCTGGAGGAGACTCCTGCGAGTCCCTTGGACCGCAAGGCGATCAAACCGGTCAGTCCTAGAGGAGATCAACCCTGACTGCTCTTTAGAAGGCCAGATCCTGAAGATGAAACTCAAATACTTTGGCCACCTAATGAGAAGGAAGGACTCCCTGGAGAAGAGCCTAATGCTGGGAACAATTGAGGGCAAAAGGAGGAGGGGACAGCAGAGGATGAGGTGGCTAGATGGAGTCACTGAAGCAGTTGGTGTGAGCTTAAGTGGACTCTGGAGGATGGTGGAGGACAGGAAGGCCTGGAGGAGTGTTGTCCAAGGGGTCATGATGGGTCAGCCACGACTTTGCAACTAACAACAACAATCGCCACCTCATTTTTTCACTTTTGCAAGACCAACCTCAGAGAGCTGTTGACTAGTATGCTGTAGTAAGAGTTCCCTTATACAAGGCAAGTGTAGGAACACACCATTTAACTTTAGAGGAAATGATTGCAGGTTAGAGCCAGATTTTGTTTAAAAGAAGTTCAAAATCAACTGTTAATATTTGGAAAAGACTAACATGGCTTAACTCTGAAGTCAGGTGTGTGGCAACCAGTAGGCCAAAAAATAAGTATGGGATATGGTTACCTGCTTGTCTCATGGAGGCAAATAGTGAAGGGATTCTAGAGATAGGAACCCAAAGAGTTGATTGGATAGGGAAGTCTTTTATTTCTTCCGAGAAGGTTGAGCAATGTATTTCTAGAGTTTATTAAGGCAGGACAACTGGCCCGGTTTTATAGCTTCACCCTTTTCAGAATTTTTATTTTCTGCAAGTGGAATGAAGCCCAGCTGAGAGAGGTGAGGCAAGATGGTGGTTATTTTGGGTTGCCCTGCTAGAGATCACACTTTTGCCAAAAGCAGAGGTAGCTGGAGTGGGTCTTTCGTAACCTCCTGAAAAGTACTTGCCTGGGGACTTTTTGCCTGAGATCTGTTAGATCTCTACTTGTGGTAAACCAATTAGTGAAGTGATATAGAGTAGGTTTCTGGAGAAAACGTAATAATCAGAAATGCTTTTCACATTAAGGTCAACATGTACTATTACACTGTTAAGTGTAAGCAAGAAGCAAGCTACAGAAGCAGGAATTATGGAGAAATTTAGGAATTTCCATCCTGGGTTTGATAGAACAATTTTGTTTTTTCAGCAACAATTCTAGCCTTGTTTGACATACTAAAATGGCCTCATAAAATTACTCCAAACAAATATGTTAACTTGCTCCCCATAGGCAAATACACTGACAGAGCTCTCAGTTTAAAGTTAGATTTATTGAATAAAATATTGGGGCGCATTATTAAGATTCAATTGTTTTCTGTTCCACTGGTTTTAGACAACGGCGAATTATTAGTTCACCCGTTGTACAGTTAATAAAGGTATCAGACATATCCTCTTCAGATGGCATTCCATGGGGTAGCTTTAATGGTTTTATCCTGCAGTTAGAAAGAAAAGAAATTAGTACTGCTTTAAGAATGCTATTTTAAAATGCTATTTTAAGTAAGGCAACTTAACAAACCTTATCAGATGCTTAATGATTTTCAGTTTTGCATTCACAGAAGGAATGTTTTTGTGCACTACAGGCTCGTATCTCTGCAGGTAAGCATAAATGTTATTAAAAGATTCAATTTCAAGCATGTCACACATACTGAACATGTAAATATAGTTGATTATGCAGCTCTTGAAATTCAATATTTAAAAATAACCATGTAGTATGGTCAGTAAAAATTAATGTACTGAGTAAAGAGTAAATTACTGCAGACAGAATTACCCAACCAACCCAGAAAAGCAATAAATTATAATGCAGCTTTTGAATTCCTTTCTGTAACAGTGTACAGATTTCAGCTCACATCTGCAAATATTAACATTTTCATATGTACTAATATTTTCATTCATTAATTCATTAAACTGTGATAAATAACCCCCTCGTAAAAAACCTCAACACTGGAATCCTAAGCATGTTTATTCAGAAGTCAGTGTCACTGCAATCAATGGTTCTTACTCCCAGGTAAGCTTCTATTGGACTGATAAATCTTCATGGATTTCAAACTCAAATTCATTAACAGGTAACACATGAAAGCAAGCTTATACAGGCAGGTTCCTTTGCTTGATCAAGGATGGAATTTGCAAACTGGATGCAGATGCGTGACTGTACTGGAATAGATACATGAACACAGTGCTTCTAATGAAATCCCTAATATCAACACCATTCTTCTCCATCTTGAAGGCAGATGTTAATATGCATTCCCACATTCTGTATGTTACTAGATGAGCACAACAGAACAGCTGTAAGTTACTAGGCTAGGAGATTGCTCTTTCATGGAAGACTCACACAGCTGGAAAAATATTGATGAACATGTCTACCATGCCGAGATAAAAAGAATTTCCTTGGTTGTTCTCTCATAGAAAAGAGATTGTTTGGGTTATTCTTCCTTGAGAGATATTGTTTGGAAATTCCTTGCGGCAACACTTAATATAAATTGGAAAATATACTCTTAAACAGTTCTTGAATCAGAATTCTTCGCAGCAAATCAAGTAGAACTGCATGCTGTTTCTGCATATAGTAAGTTACCAAACTAAACCACATTGTAGTCCACAGCTGGACAGCCTCTAGCCAGCATGCTAGAGACCTTGGCTGAAGCCCATCACAAGTACATAAGCATGTAGCACAATAGCCTGGCTGGCATGCAAGCAGGATAGGAAAGAAGATAAGAAGATCTTGGGAAGACCTATCTGGCCAGGGCGACTTATATTGTTATTTTTTGCATTTTAACTTATGTTTGTACTTTTAATGTTATAATTATTTTTTAACTTAATGTTGTAAGCCGTCCCAAGGCTTCGGCGAATGGGGCGGCATAAAAATGTTTTAATAAATAAAATGAATAAATAATTTGTGTACTTCCTTCACTGCTCAATCAACTGGCGCTTTTTCCATTACCAAATATATTGCCAGTCTTTACAAAAACTGAAATGAAAAGTACTTCTATATAAATAAAAGAAGCCCAAACTAATTATCCACATTTTTCTTTCAATTAATAGATGTATGTGCACTTAACAAATTATTCATTAGAAAACCTCACCCTACAATAGAGATGTTCTAAGTATAGAACAGCTAAGGTTATCTAACAAACCTGTCAAAACATATTGGAAGCTTGCTAAACAGTACAATCTTAGAAGTACATTCAACTGAAAATAAGTATCTAATTTAGGGGGATTCACTTCTGAATAAAGATGCATGGGATTCGGCTGTATGAGTTAATATTAATCTCTGAACTTTTTCTCAGGAAAATCACAAAATGGAAAACAAGATTAAACAATTAGATACTTTTCCTAGTCCAAGAACTTCAATCATCTCCTTTTCCCAATAAGGACGCCTTCTTCCACTTTTGATTCTCATGACTAAGTGCAGTTTATGAGGCTGTTGTGGATCACCTCCATATTTTTCATGATCACCAGGTCGTGGCTGAAATACCTAAATGAAGTTTAACAAAAGCTGGTTTTAGTTACCCATTCATGACTTCTCAACACAATACCTTAGGAACTGTTAAGGATGCAATCCTATCACCTCCTGATATTGTCGTGCAGGGAAGCTCACAGGATTATTCTGTTCTGTGGCTCCAAGGTCCTGTGAAAACAGAACTGGAACTCCAAACATAGAGGCCCTGCTTCACCTTTTGCAGCTGGTGCAGAAAGGACTGCACTGACTGCCTCTTCAAAGTTGGAAAACAGCTGCAGGAAGGAAGAAAAGGAGCATGCTCGACAGAAGGGAGGAGGCTGGGGTCAATGGCTTATGCTGTATCCAAATGGTGCCCCCATCTCTTTCCTGTCATCTCTGCAGCACTTCATTGAAATAAGTGCATATAGCAGTCAAAAGGAAATGCGAGACATGAGGCATGGGGGCGGGTACAGAACATAGGCCCACCTTGCAACCTGCACTGAATGCATACAAGGCTCTGCATTTGGAGGCTTGTATGTATAAAATGCAAACAGCATTGAATTGTGCGCTAAGTCACTAAAAAAGTTATTTGTACCACGAATAGCTAAACAGTAAGCATAAGACTGGAGAAACAAATCTGCATCAAAAAATGTTCTATAAACTTATAAACACGCAGTTCTACTTCAGTTCTAGATAAATATTCCAATTTCAGAATATACACAGCTAACACCCCAAAATAAGGATTCAACTATAAAACTCACTACGTTATGGCAGAGAAGGGTTGCACTCCTTTGTAAACTTATTTTACAGTAAGTATACAAATTTTACTTCCTGAGTTGTTTTGTGATGTTTTGTGATGATCGAGCCTGGAAACACTGTTAAGCCAGCAGTAAACCATGGAGTAAGTCATGACATGAAAAATCAGGTCTAAATGTGTTAAGGACAAGGCAGATATACTGGACATTGTTTATAATATGGTAAGGGCATAATCCTATGCAAATTTAGGCAGAAAGAGGTCTATAGCTCACAGTATACCCATGCCTCTATTTCTGACACAGCCTCTTTTCTGTTTAACCTTGCACAGGATTACACCTCAAGTCTCCTGATGAGAACTGTGAATAAAACAGATTTTTCAACACAAAGCTTACTGATTCAGGAACTCTTGCTCTAGTAAATGTCTGTCTAATCCACATGCTCCAAGTGATGGGCTCCACTTTGTTCTTTGAAAGATTCTAATACAGGAAAACCAAAAAGAGAAAAAAAAGACACAACATATTGTTTCAAAATTTAAACATAACTGTGTTTGTAGATGCGCATCAAAACCTATCCTCCCTTGCAGGGCCTAATTCCAAGTTAAAATATACAGATCCTTTGGTATTTCTGAGTATCCAGTGCAAAAAAATAAACCCTCACAAAACATTCAAGGTGTCAATTCTTAACAGGAAACACATTCACTAACACTGATTTTGTTCATAAAGCTAATACTTCCACAAAACCCAATGTTTCTTCAAAAGCAAAGGAATGCTTTTAAAGCATTAATGAAAAAGCATTTCATAATAAAAAGACTTTTATTTACCATTCTTGTCCCAGTTTACTGTGATTAATTAGCCCTAGATTTTCTTACAAAATGAAGGGTGCAAGGACACAAGATCATCTGAACACCGCCCCCCCCCCCTTCTAAAGATGTCTCCCCTTTTGGGACTAAACTGTGAGTGGTGTGGGATAATGAAACAGCACTCTACAGATATTCAGAAGTACACTTAAACTGGATGTTTATTTCACATCTCCCAGGACTAAGGCCCACTATTAAAACAAAGCAGGGAAATACACCCTTCTCAACATCACCAAACTAGAACAGCAGCATAACGGATTTCCAGAGATCCCCACACGGCATAGCATTCTCCGCTCATAGGACAAGTCTTTGACAATCCAGCTCGGTATGCCCAAAATACACAACAGGGGAGTTTTCTTTTAAAGCCTTCTACCAACGAATCGTTCCAGATGGCGCCCCTGAGCAGTCCTCAGTTGGCCCTTTTATACATAGACCATTAAAGGGTTACACATAACACAGTTAACACTTTCCAATAGGTAACAGAAGTAAAAAGTTGCGATGGCGTGATCTTTTCCATTCGCAAAGCGAGGAAGATGCTCCGAAGGAGAGGGGGGAGGATGGGGTGGGGTAGTGTGGGTTGCCCTTTGTTTGAGCCGCTGTTACCTGTCAACTGTCTCTGAACTGGTGCCTGGTCAGTGTCAGCTACATTACAAGGATACACACATGCTGATTTCTAGAAAAGAGGGTTTTTCTCAGGCTTGCTTATGTGTCAATGATTGCATGATTTACCCCATCAACCACTCTGCTAATATTCAGGCGTACACTATTCTGGATGCTTACTTCACCTCTCCCAGAACTAAGTCCCAGTATTAATCCAGAGTTACAATCAGTATTAAACCTTCCCAACATCACCAAACTAGAACAGCAGAATAAAGGATTTCCAGAGATCCTCACGCGGCATACCATTCTCTGTCCACAGGACAAGTCTTTGACATTCCAGCTCGAAACCCTTTCCATATCCCTTCTGTCTCACCTGCCAAGCAGCAGGACTCCCCCACATTGCTCTTTTCAATGACGCTCTAAGCGCCGCCATCTTAAGCTCCGCCGTCTCGAGCAGCGTCGAGCTTCCAAAGAAAAAGATAAAAAAAACTTCCTTTGGATCGTCCAATCACAGGAGGCAACCCCACGCGTTCCTACTATGGGGAAGGGACGTCTAGGAATATTTCGCGTATCTATGGTCTCTCCTTTCCGCCCGTTCTTTCAGATGCTTCCGGTTTCCATTTCTTAGAAATCACGTGAATGACAGAAGGCGTGGGATTTTGTTCGCGTCTTGTTGTGGTCCTTTGCTTCGCGCTGCTGATTGAATGGACGCTCGCGGTCTCTAAGGGGAAGTGTGTTGCTTGAAGGGATCCAGACCTCTTACTCGCAGACGTCCCATTGCCGATGATCGGCTTCATTTCTCGCCTGCAATGGAGGATTCGGCAGTGTCGGTGCTGAAGCGGGCGGTGGAACTGGACGAGGCGTCTCGCTACCAGGAGTCACTTGTTTGCTACCAGGAAGGGGTTGCTCTCCTGCTGAAAGTGCTCAGAGGTGATTCTGTAGCCTTCCTACCCGCAGCCTAGGCAGATGAGTTTTTTCTCTGCAGTGAGCATCCCAACCTCTATTAATCCTGAGGATCTCACAAACCAAAGCTCCGTTGTCTGTCCACAAAATGGCCCAGCGGGTGCCCCGGAGAACGGGGTGTGAAAAGATTTCTCCTGGCTGACCCTGGTAGCTGGTATTCAATGGTATTCTGCCTCAGAGCAGGGAGGCTTCATATACTTGCGTCGTCTTCTTGAGGCACTAACACCTGTGTCCAGGAAAGTACCATTTATGTGTAAATATCTAGAGAGGTAATTCTTTAAGCATCAAACAGCATTTCAGTCAAGTTTATTTTGAATCCCTGAAAGATGCATTTAATCACTAAACATATATTTATTAGATTGACAAAACAAACATTAAAATTGTTATAAGCAAGACATTTTTGCCTCTGCCTGCTCACCAGAGGTATGTGATCCGTGACAACTTCCCCTGAGGAAGTATGACTCCTGGGAGCAAAAATGTTTCCCCGCACTTTTGAGAAATTTAGAGTAAATGCACTGTATCTGGAATAGCGTAGCGCAATAGGTACCTTCCTGATGTTTTACATTTCAAATCCCATCAGCCCCAGTCAGCATGGTCAAGGTTCTTGAATGCAGGAAGTTGTGATCCAAAACATCTGGAGGGAACCAGATTAGTGAAGGCTGATCTGGAGTTTCATTTGGAATTATTCTAAAATATACTATCTTTGTTATTTATTATGTTTGTGTCTTGCATTTTTCTCCTCTGACGGAATCTGAAGTGGCTTAGATGATCCTCTCCATTTTATCCTCACAGCAACCCTGTGAGGTGGGTTGGACAGTGCCTGAGCCGGCATCATTCAGTGAACTTCATGGCAGAGTGCAGACTAACGTAAAGCATTAAACCATACTTGCTCTCTTAATTTTTTGCTGCCAGTTACCATGGTTTTTCCTACAAAATCCCTCCATCTAGTTGTCCAGGTAAAACCTAGAGGCCAGATGAGCCCTGCCAGTACTTGTTCAGCTGATATCTTTGCTATTTAAGTGTTGGGTACCTAGTACCCCTCCTGTGTTTAAACTGAAGGCAGAAAATGGACTAATGAAAAAGAATCATTTCTTCACTGTCCATGTATCTTACTTTTTGTTCACAGCTACAAAGGATGAGAAGAAAAAGAATCATTACAAAGATAAAATATCAGGTTACATAGACAGAGCAGAATATATTAAGAAATACCTTGAGAAAGAGAAAGAAGGTATGTAGGAATAGCAAATTTATTTGGTATAGTTGGAGAATGTTGCATTGAAACTTTTTTTTTAGTATATGCTGTGTTGGTGTGTTTTTAAATGAAACATTTCTTTTTAGATGGAAAATACCATAAACAAATTAAAATTGAAGAAAATATGAAAGGTTTCTGTTACGAAAAGTTATTCCAAGAATATCTTGATAATACCGTTACAGAGGTGTGGGTTGAAGACCCTTACATTAGACAAGTTCATCAGGTAAGACATTGATTCATACAATCAAAATATCTTGAATCTTTAGATCTCAAAAATTAATTTTGTTTAATTATTTTCAGTTGTATAACTTCTTAAGATTCTGTGAAATGCTTGTTAAAGGACCATGCAAAGTGAAAAGAATACATCTTGTTACCTCTCATGAAGAAGTACGTATTTACACAAATGTTGTTGTTGTTATGTGCTGTCTAGTCGTCTTTAACCCTGTGAATGAAGGCCATCCAGAATGTCCTACCCATGACATCCTTGCTTAGCTGTTCTAAATTCAAGGTTACACAAATAGTACAATCTTATACCCACTTACTTTGAAGTATGTCTATTGAATGTAATCAGACTGACTTCTGAATAGATCCTTTTTCTATTCATTCATTCATACATGCATTTATTAGGATATTTTTAACCCGTCCAATACAAAATGTCTCTGGACAGCTTACAGAGTAATAAATATCCAATAAATACACTAGCAAGGTAAAATGCGACTGAGGAGAAATAAAATCTGAATTAAAATTTTTAAGCTTTAAAATATTAGGTAAATAAAAAGGTTTTAACCTGGTGCTGAAAAGCATATAATTTTGGCACCAAGCAAACCTCTCTGGGTAGCGCATTTCACAGCCATACATTCCATATATCTAAAGCTATATTTGTTGATATGAAACACTTTTTCTCAAAGCAGCTACTGTGGCAAGAATTAAAAATTGCTCTTGGCTGATGAAGTGTTTGGGGAATGTTGCTAGTTCAAATAATATATTGTAGATTTGGAAGTGGCTCTGAAATAATGATGCCATCTTTTTTACTTGTTTTTCCTTACTGTAAATGTGATACAATTTATTTTAAGAATCCAGTGATGCAGGAAGCAAGACAGAAAAGATTGCTGTTTTACTTCTAGAAGTACAAGTACACTTAGTCCAGCAGTTCCTTTGAATTATATTTGACTTGCTCCTAGAAATAGACACTGCTTTTTCTGGGGTGATGGGCTACTTTAGGCTAAGAGCAGACTTATAAACAACCACTCTATGTGAAGAAAACCAGGTTGTTTCTTTTTTAAATTAGAAAGGAACAACATAAGCTGTCTTCATACCAAATCAAACTATTTGTCTGCCTACCTCAATATTCTTTATGCCATTCTTCCCCAGTCCAATGCCCTCCAGACAAGAATTACCATCATTGTTGACCATTGGCTTTGTTAGCTTACAATATAAATTGTAATAGAAAACCTCAGGAAGGTAGAATGGGAGAATGGCACCCCATGGTGACTGACAGTGGTTCTGCAGGATTTTGGACAGGGATCTTTCTAACCCCTACCTGGAGACACCAAGTATGGAACTGAGGCTTTTTCTATGTACAACATGTACTCTGTCACCGACCTATATGTTAGCCTCCTTTTAAGTATCTGTGTGCCATAAATGACTAACTTAAGAGGGTATTGTAAACTGATAAATCATTTTGTTGATTTATTTCTAGGCTTAGTTTGAATCCATAATTGAAAGAGGCAGATAGGTGTCTTTGTTCTGATGTTTCACCTCAGTTGCAGAGTACCTTCTTCAGGAAGGTGTCATTAGCAGTTCACCTGGTGCCCTTGTTACAATCTTTTTGGTGCCAGGCAAAAACAACCTTATTTTTTAGCCATTGGAAAAACTGATTTTTATCTTGACGATTTTAAAATAATTGCCTTCAGTAGTGTATTGTGTTGTTTTTATTATCTTTGCTTTTGTATTTTAATATGCTTATTTTTATTGTTAGGAGATGCTTTAACTGTTTGTAATATGGGGCCCTTAGGGTTGGGCCAAGTTGGTGTAAAATAAATCTAATGAATAAATAAAATTAGCTTCCTCATTACTAGCAACAGTTGGTAAATGCTATATTGTTCCATTAAGCTTGGCAATTAATATTGCTTCTTGGTATTAGAGAGTTCCTGTCTTGATATATTATAGGTATTTTATCCGTTTTGTTTTTATTTTTATATTATTAATGTAAACCTCCTAAAGCATTCATTGAGTGGAAAGAAAATATAAAAAATGAAGTGATGTATTCAAAAAAAAGATGTATTCATTGAGAGAACTAGATTTACAACCTGAATTTGCAACATGTCTTAATTTTTAAAATATATAAATCTTAACAGGGCAGTAAAAAGAATCAACAGATGAAGATCCTAGAAGAAATAGAACAGTCTCTGAAGGGTTTTGGTGTAGCACTTGATGTATTATTTTCCCCTTCAATCCATGATCGAGAAATTAGGTTGGTTACATGTGAACAAACTTGTATTCAATACTGATTTTCTAAGGTGTTTAAATATACTTGATTATTTTGCTTTCTAAGCTTATTGCACAGGACAGTTGCATAGTTCAAGTTCTGGTGACAATTATTAGCTGGAAGAGTGCCAAGATAGTATCCTGCACTAGCTAATTTGTGCCTCTTCCACACATTATCTAAAGTTTGACACAGCAGACATGTATGCTCCATTTCATATGCTTACTAGGACCGTTACGAATCTCATTTGGGTGTGTCACATGTTCCCTCACCCTGTGGACCTTTGCTGGAGCATCTCCTTCATGTAACATATTATTCATGTGAAGGGAAGAGGAGGAGTTTGCATTGCTCCTCCACCTTGCAAAGAGTAAGCGTATGAATAGCAGCACAGTGTCTAATTCCATGACATCAAATGTAGTTCAACTGACCATTGTCTGATCATCATGACTTAACTGATATATTTATAATATTTTATCATTGTCAAACACTTTTGTATTCATTTTCTTTCTCTTGTCAACCTTATGTACCACTCTGTGAGGAAGGTTACTATTTTTCCAATTTGGTGGCAGAGGAACTTGGCCTAGAAAGGGCCATTTTCTTGGCACAGCAAGGGTAGGAGTATAGGTTTTCCTAACCAAAAATTTAGAGTTCTTCCCATTTGACTGTCATGCCTCATCTGTTAGTTGAATTGCTATGTATTCAAGTAATCTGAAAAAGTACTCAAAGGTACACTAATGGCAAATGTTGGCATATCTTTTGAAATCCACATCATGCATATTCTGAACAGAATTTTCATGAACAGCATAGGTCGACAGTTTCAGTATGTGAACAATAATACATCTTTCTTGCATCTGAAACACAGATTCAACAATGGATGGGTGATTAAAATTGGAAGGGGGCTTGATTATTTTAAGAAACCAGAGGTGAGTACTATTTTCTATTTCATCTTTGGGAAAGAATGGTTTACTGGTTGTTTGTTTAGCTGAATCTCTTTTTCCCCACAGGGTTCTTTTTGCCTTGGATATTGTGACTTTGATTTGAGACCATGTCATGAAACCACAGTAGACATTTTTCACATTAAACATACGAAGAAAATGTGATACCCACTCCTGACAGCCATTATGTCTAACAAGGTGTACTATTTTTATAAAATAAAACTGACTTGTAATGTTTTTCAAAAGTTAATCCTCATCACTTTGAGAAGCATGTCTAATCCAAAGGACATGTGTCCACACAGGATTTTGTATTCTTAAAAGGAGTTGTAAATACTTCTTAAACCCTGTTGAAGACCACTCTTCTTATTTCCTCGTTTATACAAACTACCTTATTTTTTTACCTTAACTCTATTGCTGATGAATACTTGGAAAAGCTCCTTGGCTACTGTACTTCTCATGGGGTGCAACCCTATGCATGCTTAGTCGAAACAAGTATTAGAACTTTCAGCATTAACCAGCTGGCCATGGGTGCCCAGGAGGGAGGTGTGCTTTTATCTAAAACATTTCTTGTTTCCACTGAAGCAATTTGTACTGCTAAAAAACAAGCTGACCTTTAAATGTAAGTTTTAAATTTTAAAATGAATAATTGACTACTTCTTTGCTATATGATGGAAACTTCTAAGAATACTTTGACAGCAGTTTTATTTTTATGAAGACACCAGGGACAATCTGCCAATGCAGCAAAGATGCGCTTAGTTCCCAGATGATCATTTAAGAAGCACTGAACTAAGCAAAGCCATTCCAAACAAAGTATTTTAGGAGTCACCAAAACAACTAGCTCTATCTTTGAGGATGTGTTAGAGGCTATAGCCATGTAGACTAAACATATCCAGCAGGCATCTCTATGTCATTTGCAACACGCTGCTGGCATGCAGGCACACAGCAATGAGGAGCGGCAAAGCAGGTGCCCATGGGTGCGTGGCAGTGTGGAGCGGGCATTGAAAGCCCCGACACACCATGGGTCTCGGGCCCTCCCCTAGCAAACGCTGTGAATTTTGAGGCATTCCTTGACTGAAGTAACTCTGGCAACTCAATGAAGTAACAAGGGGGTTCTAGAGTCAGCCATGGCAGCAATCACTTCTGTCACAGGAACTTGCTGGTATTATGCCCCAACAATGGTTTCTCCCTGATTTGAATTCAAGATCATGGTGTACGTATGCACAACATGAAAAATATTGTGTCCAACTAGGCAATGTATGGGGATAGCAGTTTATAGAAAATAGGCACAGCCCCACTTTAACCTAATCACCTAGCATGTTTGGGTGTTACATGAACCCATAAGCAATGGGAGAAGGAAAGTGTATTCCTCACATCTTGTACATAACATGGTCCTTGGATTAAACCCTGTTTTCAGGGTTACTCTCTAAAGCTACTTCAGTTCAGCTTCTAATAAGCTGACCACTCACCAAAGTCTTAAATACACTTCTGTTGAATTGCATCCAATTAATTTCAGTGTAACTTGCTGGTAAATGAATGGCCTTAGGGTCCCACTCTAAGAGGTTAATCTAACATGCCTGAAAATCAGTGCATCTGCTGACTTATGTGCATCTTGAATTATTAGAATTTGGAATTCAGCAGGAGTAAATTGCCTTTCTGAAAACTGAATAATCTGGCTACTATTTTATTTTTACTGTTTTAATTTGCACTTATCTGTATTTTAACTTTAAACTATTTGTAAGCTTTTGTGAGAACCATTCAGGAAGATGCTACTTGTTACAATAAATAAAAATGAAATATAAATAAGCAGTGACAAACGTTTCATGTTACTCTGTGCAGAAAGCAAAATGGGACAAAAATGAAATTTGAAGTGGAGAAGTGATGAGGTAGCTCTACCAGCTCAGCCACAGTCTTGCTGGTTTGTGCTGGGCAGGACAGAAATGGTGTGAGGTAACTGTCTCTTTTACTGTCTCACCCACTGGTTATAATAGGCATTTTTCTATGCCTACAGAAGACTGGCATAGGTGAAAGGCACAGATTGTGGCCATCTCAAGAAAATGATAGAACTAACAGTTCTGGATCCAAAGCAGTGTTAACCTGCTTCCAATGCCTTGTTTTGGGAAGGATGATGGTTTTCTGTCTGTAGAGATCTCAGCAGGTAGAGTTGTGAGCCTTTGCCATGGCAAAGCACCCTTTCCTGTCTGCTTGGCTTTAACAACCAATATGGAGAGGTGGAAATGGAACTGCATGGGGTTTCCTTTCAGGTAGACATATATGGATCCATTGTCAGTTAGCTCCATTTTAAAGAGTGTAGGTGCATAAATCAACTACACCTGTTATGGTTCGCTAAATCCTTAAAAACGCATGCTAGAGTAAATTTGCATTGGTATAGCATGGACCAAGAATCAAAGTTTGTCAAGTAAGTTACATTAGTGCAACTATTTTGTCACATAAAAGTTTCCATTTGCTATGTAAATTGTAATCCGTGCACGTTCTCAGCAAAGCAGCTGCCACTGCAGTGGTTTCACTTGGACAGAATTTGTTGCCAATCAGAATGCACTTTAGTTCATCACACATGATTGGTGGCAGCCAGCCCTGAGGCACATCAATGTTGCATGTTTCAATTTTGCCATTCTTTATATCCATGTTTACCTTAATTTCCAGTTGGGATTGTTCATGTGCTACATTAAAGGATGTTCTAATACTGAACTTAGGTGTTTTGCCGTATAGCCAGTCCCAGGCTTGTAGTTCTCTGGCTTTATTATTGATTCCAGGAAATTCTTTTTCATCTGTTGGATTTATGAGAATTACATGCTTGTCAATTTCATGGCGTGAAGCATATTCTTCAGCGATGGCATTCATGAGCATCTCACAAGTTAAAGTAGGTTCTTCTTCAAAGAGATTTTTAACTAAGGCAGGTACACTTGGAGTTGCATTACTTTTTATTCCAGTATGAGGACTCTTGAGCACAGAGGATAACACAAATTTATCAACACAACACAGCAAGGTGCAGTGGTGGTAAGCAGTCTTTCCTAGTTTTGCAGCAGTTCCTGATATTTTAAAAAAACCATTTAACAATAGATCGTATCTCTCAGTAGCCTGCACGTTTAATTGTGGTTGCAGGGCTTTTAATGCTCTAACAACTAGTTTTAAATTTTCCATTCTTTCATATTTTTTCCTGTTTGTAAAGAAAGTCAAATTGATGTTGCCTGGATCATGGTAAACTGTTCCTCCTCCACTTCTTCTTCGAGCTAGTTTAATGCCCTTCTGTCTCATGAATTTAAGATCACATTCCTGCCAGGGATTTTGATGTCTGCCAATCACTACTGCAGAAGAATTTCTCCACATGAAAAGAATGTGTCTGTTCTCTAAATCCATGTTATCATGGATCCAGTCTTCCAAAGCTAAATTCTGATAGACATCCTGGGAAGCAGACTGTAGGATTAGTCCTCCTCTTGCTGCCCATTTGAAACCAGCACATGGAACCTTGACAACATTGTATAATGGGTAGCATTTCTTGAAAGATGTCCATATGTTCATGTTTAAGGGAAATAAAAAGATCTAATGATAAACTGCAGCACACATTTCTCATATCGCGCACGCCCTCTCCAACTGCACGTTTTCAAATGATCATCTGTGCTTTCTTTCCAAAATGTATTGAAAATGGATCCATTAAATCCAATGTTTGTATACAGTAATTCTCTTTTGGAAGTGGAAAGTTCTAAGACAGAACAACATGTAGAAATTGCTTACTCATGTGTACGGTCCATAACCTAAGGGATAAAAATGCCTAAAAAAAAAAAAAAAAGATATTCACTGTTTATACCGATACAATTCCTACTACATATTAATGGTCATGTAATTAATAGCTTTATGTTAATTTAGTCCTTAGATATTCAATAAAGGATTATTTATTATTGGCAGGTATATTACTTAACCTAGCAGTACCTACTTCCCCTTCCCCTCTGACAACTGAAGGACATAGAGTGGTACCTTGGCTCACAAACTTAATCTGTTTCAGGACTCTGGTTGTGACCCAAATTGGTCATGAGCCAAGTCAAATTTCCCCATAAGGGTCAATGTAAATAAGGTTAATCTGTTCTGCAGCTATTTTTTTTACTCAGAAATATTTGAACCAAAGTGACAAAGAACAACAAAGATCAAGGCCATCTTCCGCCCAGCGATCGTGCGAGGAGGGGGGAGATGGACGTGATTGTGGGTGTGCTGGAGGGGAGGCGGGCACAGGCATGCTTGGGCAGTGAACACGGGTGCAATCCTGGCCATCTCCCACCCCAGCACGACTGTGATCGTGCCCGTGCAGGGAAGGTGGGCACACTTGCGATCATCACTCAATGCAGAGTTCGTGACCTGCGGCAAAATTTTTATGAAATTTTTGTTTGCGACCCAATTTGGTCATGAACTGAGGCATTTGTGAGCTGAGGTACCACTGTACTTTTTGCAGCTTGGTCCAATATGCCCAATAAATTCTCAATGGTAATTCCAAGCTTGCCAACATCCCCTCCCCTTGCACTAGCTACCCTGGCTGGCACTAAGATGACAACAGTGCAAGCAGAAGAGGGCATTTAAGGATTTCTTAGGAGTATTTTCCTTGGACTGCATACATGCATAGCGCAGTCTCTGGAACCTAATGCCAATCTATTGACAGCCCAAAGACAGCTCTTGGAATTGCTCCTTTGTATAATTTTTCAACCTTTACTTGATTTTTTTTTTTTGGAGGAGAGAGGTATAATTTCTTACAAGGTGATCGAAGGAGCTAGAACTGGATTTCAGTTGTAGGGGGATTTAGAAACGAAATAAATTAATCAGATAATCTTGCCAGAGAGGTATTTTCAAGCACGCTCATGCTTCTCCCCCTCCCCACAGCCACCGGGCAGCCACCCTGTGGTTACAAAATACTTAAAATTGGCCAGACAGACTAAAGTCAAAGAAACCTCTCCCCACCACCACTGTCCTGCCATCGCGGGTAGGGCTGCTAAAAGCTGGCTTATATTAACAGTATACTCTCAAAGGGATCTATCCTGTTGAGTTCAAAAGGACTTGCTCTTAGACGAATCGGGAGGCGCCCTGGGGCTCTCCAGAGGCGTTGGACTACAATTCCCATCAGCCTCGCTCCGGAGGATTCCAGCCCAGATTCCTATTAAAACACGGGCAGCTCGCTGGAACTTGTCAAGAACACACTTGTCCCGCCATTGCTGTTGCTTTAACCAAGACGCCCCCTCCGCCACCACCAAGAAGGAGAGAGGGAGTTAGGGCAGGAAAAACACCTACGAGCGTCTGGGCGCGCCCCGTATCTGTTACTACTCTTCTGATCGACTGGGAACTGGCTTTTTTCCACCCACGCGGATGGGCGAAGAAAACCCTCGTTTGGCAGACCGCTCACCGCAATGAAAGGGCTGGATCCAGGAGCATCTCTGCAAAGAGCCAAGAACGTGTAGAGTTGCACAACTCATTTTTAGGTTGTGTCGCTTCCTGCTTTCTTTAGACCCCATTTTCCCCCCCGCCTTCAGAACCGAAAAAAATAGGTGGGAAAAATCTTCACCCCCATCAACACTAAATTTGACCTGCGGAGAAACGTGTTGCCCCTTTAACACAGCAAGCCTGTGCACGTCTACTCAGAGAGGCGGCAGACTAATTGATTTGAATGGGTCTAACTCCAGTCGCTTTCATGGTTTCTTTAAAAAATATTTTTTTTCGTATATTTTATCAAAGTTAGGGAAAAAAGGAAGAACTACTGGGGTTAGTCCCTTCAGAGAACGGGGATGGGCAGGGGCTGCTGCACCGATCCTACCCTACAATCCTGGAGTCTCCATTGTTTCCTATGGGCAACCCCCTATTCCGAGGAATACAAAACCCAATGCATCATAAGGGATCCCAGAAGTCATTCTTCACTATTCTGTCTATATCTGAGAATACACATTACAAAATCCTTCCGTGTTAGCACATTTGAATCTGCTCTTGAGTTCCTACTCATAACATGACCCCCTGCGGGACAAAAATGCTAGGTTTTTTCCCCCCAGGTTGCTGGCTTCAGCTCGGTTTTGCTCCACCCCGTGGACTATGCTTGAATGGAAGGAGTAGAAAGTTTACTTTTTAACCCATTGCCTCCCCATGCCTCAGGAATATTACTATTTTCATGGCACCTAATGGCAACTTGCCATTTCGTGAACCATGTTGCGTGAGAACGATGGGAGTTGTAGTCCAACATTACTGTAGTAGACCAAGCTGGGAAAGGCTGCTCTAGTTTGTCGTGTATATAAGACACTGTAATTGCCTTGCTCTCACTTTCGCTATTTAAATTAATTGTAAAGTCTCTCAATTTGCATCAAGTTGTATGTGGAGGGGTTGAAGACAGTAATACAAGTATGACCTGTAAAAAAAGGTAAACAGTGTTCTCATTTCAAAATAGCACAATCCAGTCCACTGAATGCTTATGCAGAAGTAAAGTCCACTGTGTTTTACTCTTAAGGTGTGTGTAGGATTGCTGCCCTGTTAAATGGTCCATCCAAAGTTAAATGTGCTTAAATAGGCAATGCTAGGAATGTCTACTCAGAAGTAAGTTCTGCTGTGCTCCACACTAAGCGTGTTTAGGATTTAAGCTCAAATCCTGTTTACCCACGGAAATCATGGAGATTTGAACTTAACATTGAGTGCAGTTACTGGTTAGTTTCAGCTTGAATATTCAACATCTGCCAGTATGACAGCATGGGGAGGAAATAATATGAAAGAGTTATGCTGCATGAATTCTATGCAAAGTGTTGCCAGCAACATACTTAACTAATAGCTGTCCAGACTATAGGAAATCTTTGAAAAATGTTAATTTTCCATACCCAAAGAGCATGTTAATAAATAGGTTAGTATCAAAGATATTCTGTATCTTTCACTACTGCACAGGCATCCTGTGGGTTTGTCAAACACATAGTATCAATAAATATTATCCAGTGAAGCTGAGCAACTGGACTTGTATAGAAGCAACTTATTTATATTAAGTCTTGTGTCATTTTGGCCTCTAAAAGTTCTATCTATTTATTTATTTATCATTCCTTCATGCAACAGAAAACAGCAAGGGAAGTTGCAGGCATATGGTGCTCATATAAACCCTCAGATTCTTGTCAGCTTCTTTGTTTGCCCAATGATGGCAATAGATGCCAGCAGAATAAGAGAAAGCAATAGAGAAAAGCCCAGCTCACAGAACCTTTCTCCTGCAAAATAATGGACAGCCTCCAAACCCAAGTAATACCCAGTTGGGAGCAGCTGATATAGCCACACTTAGCAAACACTACAGCTGGACAGCATCTGAAAAAGTCATGTAAAGTTTGTGGAGTATTGGAAGTGGGAATACATAAAGCCCATTTTGAGCTGCAAAAAAGAAGAGAGAGAAAAGTATGTTTATTAATTTTAATACAATGCAAACACAAGTGATTATTAAGTAAAAACAACTTGAACAAGTATTATACCCTTTAAATATAATAGCAGTTGATCCATTCTTACTGTACCACATAATTCACAAGTAGAAAACTCTCATATCATAAACATATATTTGCAGGGAAAAAATCTGAATCACTTTAACAATCAGTGAACATCAGTCACTTCCAAGCCATAATTTAACAAAGTTTTGAAAGTCCAACACATTATTAGGTCTATCTACTGAATGAGCATTATTTTGTATCCCTTCTTCCATCTTTTTGCCTGTGATTTGGAAAAATCCAGTGATAGGTCCCAGGCTTATTTCTTAATGTTTTGAAATGGTCATTTACAACTTTTTGTATGATTTATTAATATTTTGCTCACTTATTCTTGGTTTACCTTTGGGAACATTTATGTAGAAAATGGAGAAATTTGGAAGCCAGCGTGTTAATCTGTTCTGCACCCACTGTTTTTACCTTGAGTTCAGTCTATTGCATGATGCTTTCTTTCTCACTGCACTTTAATTCTCAGTCTAAAGTTATCTGAATCATGCAACTATTTATGTATATTTAACTTCAGTTAGCAAATAAACTTTAAATTTATATACATCCCAAATTAAGCTGGTTTAAGCATATCACCAATTTATGCAGAGTCAAAAACTTCCCAATTTTTGGTACAAATTCCCTTGATAAATCTGAAAATCCAATTTTCTATAGGATGTATCTTACTAAACATATGTCTTCCAGGAAGTTCTAAGGCTTACATTTCCACAAAAAATGCTATCAGAAAGTGGGCACCTAGCACTATGAATCAAGACACTCTGCAAGATACACTCTGCATGTATCTTTCCCTCAATAAATCTTCTGTGATAAAAGATGTAAGAAATGGTAAATATGGGAGGATTACAAATAGAACATGACAGTATCTTATGAATGAAGCAAACATATGGTGCAGTAAAAGCCTCATCTGGAAGTACCATATGATCATAGTATTGATATATAGTGTCCTTTTAAATTATTCTTTGATTTTTCCATAGAATAATTATTGTTGCATAATCCTGCTTCTGTTTGTAAGGTAAAGACCACAAAACAGTTGCTGGATCTTTTTGCTTTGCTTTAACTGATTTTTTTAAAAGCAGAATTCATTACCAACCTGTCAGAGATAAGCATAAAAAACTTGTGGTGGATATTATAACTGCGTTCTCTTTCCTTCATTCCTTTTAAATGGGATTTGTTCAAAAGACACTTATCCGCAATGAGCAAGCATGATCTATCTAAATATAGTAGTATGTTTGTAGGAGGTTTGTGTTGGATGGTAGCTGTCTGGCAAGCAGAGTCTTGTTCTGCTATAAACCTACCATCAAGATGGAGAAAGAAAGGCTTGAGGCATCTTTTCCTACTTTTCAAGAATTCAACTGCCTTATCAGAAAAATCAATCAGAGAAAAAATATGGAATGGCACTTTTTGGGTGTTAACTCTGAGTACTCCCCACCCCAGTGTGAAAACATCCTTGTACCACCTGGAGTCAGCCATGTCTCTAGGAGGAATTTTACATCTTCCAGAGCTGGTCATTGTTCCAAATTATTTTTAGAAACATGGGTCATTACTGCAGTCAATATTCATTTTCACAGATTAAATATTTCGTCACGTTCCAACTGTACACTTCAAAGACTGCTTATATTCAAAAGTAATCAACGGTGGCAAATTACTTTCCATATGACAGATAGGGTAATGCTTTGTGAAGCTTGTCCCGTTTTAATTTTGGAACAGGGCATCTCGCCGCTTCTGTGCATATTATATCCCATTTTTACCTCAAGCATCAGTTTGAGTCAACAAAAATGCATATGAGAAAGCCATAAGCTGGTGTTGCCAATTGCAGTACCCCAAAACACCCCAAAAGTAATTGGCCAGAGGAAGGCCACATAGTAAAAACACCACAGTTATACTGTCCCAGGAGGGAGGGCAGATAAGAACAAAATGAACTTTGTGTAACCCACAGCTAACATGCTAGCCTGACCTCGAATACAGTAATCAAAGGGACAGTGGACACTGGTTCTAGCCGCCATGAAAGTTGTAAATGTGCAGGAAGTAAGAATATGGCAAGCCTGTGTGAATCTCGAGCAGATAAGAAATAGACATGGGAAATGTCTGGTCCTTGACAGAAGAAAGGACTCTTTCTCCAGCACAGGAGGGGTGCATACATTGATGTATCGATGTATTAGAGGTGCATTAGGTGACCTAATTGGTTACCTAGGGTATAAAACGCATGTGCTGGGGTGCAACTTTTGAGACACTGCTTTGGGCTGAATGTCCCCTTTTGTCTCCCTTTATTCTATAGTGCACTAGAATAAAGCTGATTTTGGCTCTAAGTCTGGCCTCAGCCTCCTTTTGGCTCAGGTCTGGGGTCCACCCGGGTTTGCCCTAGCTGTTGACTGGCTGAGTTCAGTAACAGTTCTGGCGCCCAACGTGGAGCACCGAGCGGACTAAAGGCGAATTTTGCCTCAAAATTCTTAAGCCTTCTCCCTCAAAGAACCTCTTTTCGGATGGGTGGACAACCGGCATTACAGAGCTCTCCCTTAGAATTTGGGCTGAGGCAAATTTGGCCGAAAACCTCGGTTCAAAAAGAGGGAAAAGAAAGGGTAACTGCTTGGGAGAAGACCCGGTTCAAAAAGGGTGAAAGAAAGGGCCTCCGGTTAGAGTTCGGTGCTGGTTAGAGGCCAGCAAGTTGCCCATCCCTGTCTGACGGCCGGTGACTCCCGAGTAGAGTTGAACTCGATGGGGAAAGGTGAGTTCAAGTAGAGACAGGGGGAACTCTTTGGGTGGAGGGGGGAGTTTTGAAAACTCTTTTTGGGACATTACCCTGGTTTGATTCCGGGGGGAGTGGATCCTGCATAAGTGCGTGAGCACTTTTGACCAGAGATGCCTGGCAGAATTGACAGAAGGAAAATCAGAGAGGTCTGCTGAAATCCTTCTAAAGGTCTTTTGGGGAATGGTCAGCGCATCATGGGTCAGGGTAAGTCAAACAAATGCATATGCCTCTGGGTTGCCTTTTGGGAAATTGGGAAAGGTTCAAAAGGAGATTCCAACTCAAAGAAAAGAAACCATAAACGTCTACTGTAATTCTATTTGGCTCCAGCATCAATTGGATGGTGGGGCAAAGTGGCCACCTGAAGAGTCTATCAATTTTCAGACTCCCCAACAGTTGCAACTTTACTTTCAACATGTCAGTAAATAGCTTGAACTCCTATGCAAGCGTTTGTTACATTGACAGTCTGAACTTGCTGGAAAAGTGCAGACTGGTCCCCACTGGGGAGGACAGAGAAGGGAAGAGGGAGAGTAGAACTCACTCTCTCCCCTCCAAAAGCCGACAGCGCAGTGTGGGTATGGGCTTTGGAGGGGCGGGGAGCTCTGGGGATTCTGCCACCATGCCTGGGTGCAGTGGTACCTTTCATGGCCAGGAGGGCATGAATGGGTGGTTGAATCCTAGCCAAATGGCTGCAGTTTGGAATCACCAGCCCTTCAGCCCTTCAAAACTGGCTACCTTTAGGATCCGGGGTGGGGGGGGGGGAAAGGAGGGGTTTCTCAAGCTAGCAAGTTGCTCCCTTGCTCCAAGAAAGATGGCTCAGCTTGCCATGAGGACTCTGTCCATCTGTGCTTCGATTAGCTACTCTTGAGAAAGCCATAGACCAGCCAGCCTCATTGTTTGAGGTCCGGGGTGGTCAAAGGGCTTGGGATTTGGAGTTTAAACTCAGTTTGTAATCAGTGCTGCTATCCACTTTCCTCTTCCTCTTTGTATGTGTGCTTGTCTGTGCATGTGCTCTTTTAAAATCTCCCCCACTTCTATTTTTGTTTTGCTCAATCAATTTTGTTGCCCAAGCACTTGGGTGCCTGTGCACTAAGCATTGCGTACAACTCCCTGAGAATGTGGTGGGGGGGTGAGGTGCAGTATTTGGAAACAGCTAAGAAGATGCATAGTTAAAAAGCAAAGGTACCAAAAGACAGCCTGCAAATGGATCTGATGGCAGTGGCAATGGGCAGCTCTGCAGCACGAATGGGGAAAGGCAGGGAGCGATGGAAGGTCCCAGCACTGCCAGCCAAGACTGGAGTTTCATAGGTGAAGAAGGAATAATTGTGTGATGTGCAAACTGGAGCAACAATGGAAAAGGGAATACCCCCAGAACAAGGCCTGGGCTGTCATGGCCACTTTGGAGACTCTGGGAGAAGAATACGGAACTTGCAGGAAGAGTTCCATGTCACCCCCACAACCCCGGGATAGAATGAGGGTGGGAGATGAGGACATGGATTTCTTGGTGGACACTAGGGCAGTCTGCTCAGTTGTGACTGCCCCATTTGGTGGGGGGGGGGGAACACAACAGGGATCCTTGACGATGGGGGCACATGGCATCAGGCCACCTGCCCAGTTGTGGGGCCCACAGAGTGCTTCCTATGGAACTAATTCTTTTTGCCTTCAAATGAGAATGCTAGGATGGGACAAAGAGCCAGCTGTGTTGAACCTCCCTCTCTCAGGGGAGGAGGGAATTCACCCATCTTTCTCTCAAGCACTGGATAAGGATTTATTTGAATGGACTAGAGACTCTAATGGTGTTTTTACTGCAGTATGTGAACAATCTTTTAATTGCCACTGAGGCCACAGACCAGTGCACATCTGCTGGATTTCATTGGGTCACTAAGGAGAAGATGCAACTTCACAAGAACAGGTGCAGTATTTGGGTTTCTGACTTTCAAGGGGGGGAAATACCAGCTGCCTCAGGAGAGGAAGGAGACGGTTTGTCAACCTCCCCCAAAGCTGTAAACACAGGCTTGGAAAGCTGGCAGTCAGTGCTTTATTGGGGCACACATGGCTGTTCCTCAGCACCAGGGCAACTCCTGGCATGGAGGTGCAACTGGGGGGGGGGGGGCTAGGGCTGGTTCTCTCCAGCACCAGTCCTGACAGGCACCTCTCTCCACCCTTCTGTGACACTGGCTAGCTGGCTGGCATTGCTCCTTCTCTGAGGCCAGAGCAGAGAAGCCTGCAGTGTGTGAAGCTGCGGCCACTGGCTGGTTGCTGCCTGTGTCTTGCAATGGCACAGGGGAAGTGGGGGCTGCTGGTTTACATCAGCTGACTTGCCTGAGACTGGACTGCCTGGAGACCACTGATACAGTGGAAGGACCATGCCCAGGTGCCCCTTGCTACACAGCAGTGAGATCTGAGGGAGTGCCTGTGTAGGGATACTACACCAGGCTGAGGAAAGTTCCAAAACCACAAGGAGACCAAAGGACCATGGAACCTACGGAGGATCTAAAGTTCTTGTTCAAACACCAACCCTGCAAGGGAGGACCAATGGTGTAACAGACCAGGACAAGAAGAAGCTGACATCAGGGTCAGCCAAGGGCCTGCAACTGGAGGGGGCAAGGGAGAAGAGCCCTGAAGAAAAGCAGCCTATCGGGGACCAGGATCGGGTCCCAGCTTGAAGATTGAAAACAAAGAGACTTGCATTTGCCTAATGCTAAGTAGCCTAGATAATAATGCTGAAGGGAAAAAGGGGAGTTTCTTGGAGTCGCTATTCTGGCTGTCTTCGTGAACTTCTGTTAATTTTTTACTCCCTTCTATACCATATGCCCTTGTAGAAAGAAAACAGTGGACTTCCTCATTCCTAAGTTTTCAGTTTTAGAGAACTAGCTCAGTGTGCAACAGAATGCTTCTGCTTCAGTAGTACTAGTGAAACCCCAGCATGGATTTCTTACACCTGGAAATGTCACATGTCTAGTTCCTAACCAAAGACTAGGTAAAACTGACATGCAAATTGCAGAAGGGCGAGCACTGCCATCCCAGATCAGCCAAAGGAGAGTAAAAAGAATTCATATTTGGCTTAAAAAGGATTCCATAGGTCCCTGTGAAAAACAGTCTCCATGTGAGGCCGCTATAGGCAAGGACCACTGAGGCACAGTGGTCTAGTTTGGTGGTGGTGGTGGACTGGCAACATCTCTACAGCACCCAAGAGAGAAACAGCCAATTGGCACAAACTGGAATAGGCCCCCTGTGTGTGTGAGGGAGAGTTTGGTGCGGTGGCTAGCATGTGGCTTTGCCTTTGCTAAGCTGGAAAGGTCCTGCCTGCAGCTGGATGGGCAACTACATGTGGCTGCTGCCTGCTATGCATTATTCACACAAAGGGGCCTGGTAAGTGCCAATTGGTACAGCCTGGAATGCACACTATGAGTGCAAGAGAACTTGGTGCTGCCAAAAGATGGAAGTCAGCAAATATGCCTAGCTCAATGGCCCACATTGGAAATAATTGGCAAATACAAAACTCCACAGGAGAAACCCTCTACAGGGGATCTCTGGACTCAGCTTCACAACACAGGTATGCCTTCCAAACATGGAAACCACCTCAGGACTTATTGGGTTAGTAGCCAGAAGGCTTTCATGGCTTTCCCTACAGAAGGCTAGGGCACTGGATACCTTGTCCCCAATCTCTGAATTATTACATAAGTCCCCAAGGGCACTTGCCCAAACTGCAGAGAGGTAGTTCAAACATTGGTGGAAGACATTGCCAAAGCGGGGTATGCTATTCATTTCTCTGTGCCATTCTCCCACCAGTTGGGGTTTTCTCAAATCACCATGACATTAGAGTGCTAGCCTCTGCATGCTCTGTGTGTCTAGTGAAACAGCTGGTGCCATTTCAGACATACAACAAAGTTAGCTCAACTTCAGCAACTTGCCATACAAAGTTGCTAGACACTGCATTGTTAGCAATCCAGAACAGGGTTTGCAACACTTGTAGAAGACAAAACTGTTTAAAGCATCTCATTCAAAAGCTCAATGCTTTACAACCTGCTTTAAATTTCATTCTGGTAAAAGTCGATTGGGAGGATTGTTGTTTTGGTTCTCCAACTGAGGCTGGCTACAAAAACTTGAAACTTTATGTTTTCTTTTTTGTGCTTTTCCTCCTTATTTTGCTTGCTGTTGCTGACAGCGTTTGTCAACAATTACTCATTCTAATATTTCTCAGACTTGCACATGGTAGGCATGTCATGAGCAGGGCCTAGCTGTTGACTGGCTGAGTTCGGTAACACTGGGAATGAATTCTTGCCGCAAACTCTCACCCTAATATATTACGTTTGCGGAACGAAGACAAAAACAGCTCCAGTGTTCGTTAACATTTCGCTGTTAGTATCTCCGACCACCATGTTAAAAAGCTTGAGGCCCTCATCGGAAAAGAATACATCGACACCGGATGGCTCCCTGCGAAAAGAAGCAGCCCCTAGTGCAACGTCGAGCCGCACCGCGGGGGTGATTCCCTCGACGACTGCCTCTTCCGTCGCCCAAACGTCGCGACAGGGCGCGGGGGGGGGGGGCGGCGAAAGCGGCGGCGCGCGTGCCAGGAGGCGCGCGCTCGCTCGCGGTGGAACCCTGAGCACCGCGTGCTTCCACAGACAGCGCCCATTCCTGAGGTCACGGCACGGTTGCCCGGCGCCCGAGGCGGTTGTAGTGGCGGGAGTGCGCCGCGCGCTCGCACCAATGAAGGGGAGGGGGCGGGGTCAGAGGAGGAGCACCGCTTTGCCCGGTTTAATCTAGCAGGTAACGAGAAAGCGAGAGCGAGCCAAACGTGAGGGGAGGGCTGTTACCAGGAGACGGCGAGGAGCGGGAGCGACGTTATTGTGGCCGGCCAGCGTGCTCAGTGAGGCGGGAGGCATCCTGAAGAGAGGCCCGCGCCGCACCCTGCTCTGAAGCGCAGGTGGCGGGCTGCGTGAAAGGGGGCCCTACCGCACCAGGTGGATTCGCGGCTTCCTTTGCCCCCCCTGCCCTGCAGTCAAGAGAGAGGGGGGCTCCTTGTTCCTTGAGCGGTCGCCCTCTGGCCTGGCCGCTCATTGGGTTGCCCGGCTGTGAGAGGAAAAAGGCGAAGTAGCGGGCGAGGCAGAGAAAACGAGTGGAGGGATCCCTGGCAAGAAGGAGAAATAGGCAGGCAAGCAGAAATCTCCCTGGAACTGACAGTTTAGCTGCCACCATGACCTCTAGAAAATATCCTGGGCGCAGAAAGAAAAAGCCTGAATATTTCACAAAGGTATATAAAACCCCTGCGGGGGTGGGGGGGGGGAGGATGAGAAGGCAGAGGTACTGTTAGGAGCTTTGGACTGGATTAGTCAGAGGAATCGTTCTTCATAGGTCGAACGTGATTGAAATCCTGAAAACCAGCTGCTGCTACTGCTCAAAAAAAAAAAAAAAAAAAAAAGGTTAACAGGAATAAAAGAAGATCCAGTTCAATACTAATCGAGTTCCCTTCTTTCCGTTAGGATGATTTTTTAAATTTATGCTTTCAAAATTAAATAAAATACCAGTTCAAGGAGTTCTTTTGATAACATTTTCCTCTGAGAATATCAAGCAATTAAAAATTCAAGCAAAATAAATTCCGCTGGCATGGTTATTGACATCCTGCATTGTGTCTAACAAAAACTAACACAGGATAATCCTTTTAGTTGTACTAGGCAATCCTTTTAACATTTACACAGAACTTAACCCAAAATAGCTAACTTAATTCAATAAAGCTACTACTGTATACACATAACCATGTTTACAAGTACAATGGAGAAAGTATTCTTGTTCACAGCAGAATACCTGGGAAATTAGTGGAACTAACTTTTGAGTAGATAGGTATAGGATTATACTGTTGGTTTATTTTGAAAAGCAAGCACTTTATTACACTTTCATCAAAATGTAGCCCAGTAAATAATACAACTATGTAGGGAGCATATATGATATATAGATAGATATGGATTTTTCAAACACTTGATAATGTGACAGAAAAAATTACTAAAATTGTAGCTTTTCTAAAGTTGTTATCAAATTACTGTTTTTCTTCAGAAATCATTAGGAACAGATTCAAACTGTACAAGTTAAGTTTTAGGTCTACAAAAGGAGTGCATGAGATGAGGATTCGTTTTTTTCTTGAGGCTGGCTTTAGAGTGTGATACCAATATATGCTATTAGGTATATAATGCATATATGCTGTTTCTGTTATTGAAAATGCTAGTGGTTGAAGTTCTTGGCCAGCAGATAGATGAAAACTAAACAAAGTTTGTTAGCTGTAATATGAACAAGAGAAAGGTTAACAACTAAAAGTGATTCCATTTTGTTGATGCTGTTTTTAAAGTCTATGTGACAATCCCATTAATTTCATTATAGAACAATATTCTGCTGGGTGATTTCCATGGCTGAGAAACTGCTTCCAAAATTCTGCTCTTTATAACAAGGGTTGAAATGGATTTTTAAAAACTTTTTTCCCAGCCATCGTTCAATGAAAAAAACACCCTTTTTCCTCCCATTAACTCTAGGCTGACATAGTTCAAGGAATGACATATTGGCAGGGTGCTGTTGGGGAGGATCCTGTGAATTCAGGGTGGCTTCCAGTAAGCCTTAGCTTGGATTTTGCCATATAAGCAGGACACAGCTTAGCAGTACTACTTTGATACCTGTGCAACTTTAGTTCTGCTAGGATGGAAGTGTTTCATTGGCAGAGTGATGCAGCTGCATCCTGCAACCCTCCACATGAATGAAAGCCCTCCCAAATGTCCTGTCCATGACAACCCTGCTCAGCAATTCTAATTTCAATGTTGCAGCTTCCTTTATGGAAGTCCTCCTCATATCTTTGGTCTTTTATTCTGTCTTCAACTTTCACTAACATTGTCTTCTCCAGTCTTCTCAGGATGCGTCCAAAGTATGCCAGCCTCAGGTTCTCATTTTTGCTTCTAGGAAAAGCTCCACTTGATTTCATCTAGGACCCACCAATTTCACTCCTTCCTCTGATTCTTATCCAGCTTTCTTTATGAAGAATAAGAACACATAGGAAGATACTGTGTATTACTTCTAGCTTTTATGGCCTATCAAGCAAGATAGAAGTAATCTTGTTCATATATTATGGTAATTTGCCTAAGTAATTAGGTTACATTTAATGTTCTTTATAGTGTAGAGTACAAGTGTATTTTAATGTTTTGAATTCTTTTGTACATTATGAATAATGTCATTAGACAGAAAGGTAATAACTCAATAGGAGGTATAATACTTACCTGGGAATATAATAGACTTGAAGGGGCTTTGTAGATTATCTAGTCCAATCTCCTGCTTAATGAAGAAATCCAGAGCTAGATCATTCCCAATATATGAGTCTCTAGCCTCTGCTTGAAAACTCATAGCAAGAATGCACTCACATCTTCTAGGTAATTGATTCAGCTGTCAAACTCATCTTACTATCAAGAAGATGCTCCTGCTATTCACCCAAAATCTACCCTCCTGTAATATAGCCTTAAATTAGATATGTTTAGATATGTTAGATATGTTTAGATATATTAGATATGTTCCCGCCTTTTGGGGCAACAGACAATAAATGTTTGCCTTATTTGATGTGATAATCCTTCAGAGATTTGGATTTCTGGCTTGGAACTGACTTTGACCTATTTTTAATAGAGTGCTAGCATATCCCTCCTCAACCTGCTATTCTCCAAGCAGTTCCTTCAACCTTCTTCTCTCAAAGGGCTTGTTTTCCATATCATCGATCATCTTAATTGCATTCCTCTGGACCTGTTATAATTTGTCTATATTCTTAAAAGTGTAGGGCCCAGAACTGGAAACAGTAAGGACAGACTAGTATAGAATAAGGTAGAAGTATTACCTTTCAGCTTAATCTAACTTCTGATTAATGTTCACCTTGTTATTGATTATAATCTCAAATTCCTTTTCACATGTACTACTGCCAAGCTAGGTATTTTCCATTCCGTATCTCTGCAATTGATATTTTTTATTGATATTTTGCTTAAATGTGGACATGCGCATTCGTATTTGTTGGATTTCATTTTGTTCATTTGTTGCAGTTTTCCATTCTGTCAAGGACATATTAATGTTATCTCTGAATTCTGAGGCATTAACTTCTCTGATTTTTGTGTCATTTGCAACTTTGATAAGGATTCTTTCTATTTACCCATTAAGCAACCAATTAACCTATCAATACCCATTAAGTTATTGATTCAGTTATGCCAGAGCCTTATGGACCCAACTCGACAACTTGTAGATTCCACCTTAAATTGCTTCTATGGTTTTTAATCTGTTGTAAACACATCTAATAGTACTATCGTACAAACCCTAAGGAATGTAGTGGATTAAACACACTGGGCTGAAAAGACCACATTCATAGGATGTGTTCTGACAGTATCAAGCAACTTGTACCTTTCATTTGATGTAGAAGTACAAATCGGGACTGAAGCTTATATCTTATTTCCCAGAAGGTGACAACAAGAGAACAGCTTGTGTTAAGAGATACATTTTCTGAAAGTGAGAGAGCTTCAAAATTAGAAGAGAACATTAAGAGCAAAGACAGAATCATCCAAAAACTGCTGTCTGAGGTCCTGTCGTACGTTTGTGCTATTTTCATCATTCATAACAACCCAAACTAATATATGTAGAATAACATGGTTTATTTAGTTAGATTGTTCTATTGCGTGAAATGGTTCTGTGCTCTCAGTAGAGGAAGGGACAAAATTACACTGCCATGTGATGATTTAATAGCAATTAACATGTGATATTTTATCATTATGACTGAATATCCATTACTAATGGGCCATCTTAATGTAAATCTACTTATTTGTTTATTAATGGTACAGAGGGAAGTTACAATGATTAGATATATGGGCTTTTTGTTTTTGTCAGTTTGAATTCATGGATGGATCCTTTAAAAATGGAGCAAGATTGTATCTGTAACTGACAGAGAAAGATACTTTCATAGACTAGTGGAGTTGGAAGAGGTCAGAGGGCCATCAGGTCCAATCCCCTGCTCAGCACAGGATACAAGTTAAACCATCCTTCTCAGATGACTGTCCATCTGCATCTTGAATGCTTGTAGTGTGGGGAAGCCCACAACCTCTCTTGGTAATTGGTTCCAATTGTCATATTGCCCTAACAGTCAGGAATTTCTTTCTGATGTTCAGCCAAGATTAAGAGTCAATATTACTTTGAAAAGAAAATTACTTGCTTAAAGGCTACAGTTAAACCATCACTGATAGCAGATAGCATTCTCAGATGATAATACCTTTCAAAGTATTCCAAGTTTTTATTTCCCTCACAGTGTAAATAGGTAGATTTTTTCACCTGAGCATGTTTCTACCAAAGGTAAAATATGTATTTTTATATTACATCTTACAATACCTGAACATTTTTCATGTATAGTACATTTTTATATATACATTTTTCAAGATATCTGAAAACTGAAACCATTGTGCTACATTCTATATTCTGATTTTCTAATAATGGAATTAGAATACTGCATTTGACATTCATTAAGGCCATCCCTTCTCCACTAACAGTCTCTCCACCTTGGGATCACCTAGTACCACTGGGTTTTTTTCCTGGTGGAGTTGCTTCCAATGTCACAAACCCTACCAGGAGATAGGCCCTGAAGTTCATTATTCCTCCATTATCAGATAGGCCCTGGCCCTGAAGTTCATTATTCCTCCATTATCAGGTTTTCTGAGCAGTTTAGAATAGTGAATTGGTGACAATTCAGTCTTCAGAAGCATGCAAACAAGTTCTTGTTCTAAGCCTGGTTTTGCTGCCTTTCTTTTAGCCTAACTTGTTTGGACTGCTTTGTGCATGACTGCTGTGCACAGTGTTTTCCAATACTGATGTGGAATAAAAACTTACCTGTGTGAAAATCAGGCAGGCGTATGTTCTACAAATGCGTTTTCACTGGAAATTCTGAGAAGCAACCAACAAGAAATTGTAGAACGCTGTTTTAAATTGTGACCTGATTCAGTCTTGGTTCACGGGCAATATCCCCAGTGACTCCAGAGTTTAAACTAAAATATGTTGACCATTAACTGTCCAGGACTAAAACTGGAGTACCAGTGAACATGATATGAAATGTATTACTCTCACTATGGATAACCTAAGCTAGCATCTTCATTTGAGAGTAGATAGCAAGGCTACATGATATGGCTAATTGATAAGACTTGATTTGAACCAAGCAAACTAAAATAAAGCTGCTTGCTAATTAACCAACACCAGCAGTTCATGTACAAAATTCTTTGTACTTTTACCTTTGTTTTTCACTTAATTTAGTCATGTTTGAATTCCACTTTGATAGACAACCAAAAACCATAACTGGACATTGAAGAACTCTTGACTTGTACATATTATTAGAAATTGTTTTAACTTTTAAAAGGTAAGGTAAAGTTTTCCCCATAACAATAAGTCCAATTGTGTTTGACTGTAGGGGGTGGTGCTCATCTGTTTCTTAGCTAAGAGAGCCAGCGTTTGTCCACAGACAGTTTTTGTGGTCATGTGGCCAGCATGACTAAACGCTGAGGTGCATGGAATGCTGTTACCTTCCCACCGAGCTGGTACCTATTTTATCTACTTGCATTGGCATGCTTTTGAACTGCTAGGTTGGCGGGATTTAACTTTTAAGTGGTAAGCAAATTTTGTTCTTTCTGGACCTACCAGGTTGAACATCTAAAAACAAAAAACCTTGACTTGGAGAAGTATGTTATGAAACTTCGTGATAGTAAGTTGGAAGTAACAACTCAAGTGGATAATCTGGCCATTAAGAATGAATATCTGTGTAAAGAACTTGCTCATGTAGACAAATTAGCTGAACAGCTAGAAAAAGAAAAAGAATCTGCATTGGATAGTGCTGATCAGGAACTTGGAGAAGCCAAGGTATTTGAACTGTTAAATGTTTTGTACATACAGTGATTTTATAGACTTCTTTTATCCCATATTTAATTTTGTAGTTGGACAAATTGGAGGAGAAGCATGTGGTAACCAGAAAGCCTGTTGTTAGTAGATGCTTATGTAGTTCTAAGAATTCACATATGAGAACTCAGATTGTGGTTCAGCTGATTTTACAACTGAACTGCTGGAATCTGTATTTCATGTATTGAACTTACATTGTGCCTGTAGTATCTGGCTTCTTGATGGTGGAAAGGCCTTTAGAGCTGCAAAAAAGTTGTCTTTAGTCCTGCTTCTCATCTGCCAACCTCCTAAATGCTCTTTGCTGCTACTATGTACCTAGTAATGGAAGCTGTTATTTATGCAGTGCAACTGGCTAGTGATGAGATGGATTTGACATGAGCATAATTCCATCAGTAATACTGCTCAGGCTGAACAATTGTTGTCAAAATCTTATGCACACATTTGCTAGCACAATGATTCACAGAACTATCAGTCTAGAATTAAAAAATAAAAATAATTACAATTAAAGAAATATATTTTTGCATATGTTCTACTGAAATTCCTGAAAATTTCTATTATCTATTTGAAAATAGATTTTCTTTATGTATGTTTAATTGTGTCTCCATGTTATTTCATCACTATAAAAAGGTCTAATAAAATTCAGTGAATAAAATTCTATTTTATTACACAATCAGTTATGAACATTTTCTTTGAAAATCATTGGAACGCAATCACTTCAAAAGCCCTCTTTCTGTCATGGTCAATGGGATTTCAAGGCTGAATTGTACTTTAAATGGTTTAAGAAATGCAGGTATGGCTTAGCATACTGTATTGATAAAATTTCTATTGGTTTGCTCTTTTAGATATTATGTGTGAGAGAGATTTCTGATGTATATAAACAAATTAAGGATTGGCTACAGTCAGCCCTCACTTATCATGACTGGCCATATTGTCAGATAATCATAGAACAGTAGAGTTGGAAGGGGGCAAGAAGACCTTCAGGTCCACCCCCTGCTCAGTGCAGGACTCCAAGTAAAACAATCCCTCTCAGATGGCTATCTAGCTACATTTTAAATGCCTCTAGTGTGGAATTACACCCAGGCTCCCTGAGTAATTGGCTGCATTGCTGTATTGTTCAAACAGTCAGGAAGTTCTTCCTGATGTGTAGCCAGAGTGTGGCTTCCTGTAATCTGAGCCCATTTTCTTTATCCTGCATTCTGGGAGAAATAATTCATAATAATTAAGTCTGAAATCCTTTGCACACTGAGTTGAGAGTAAGCCCCATCGAGCATAGGAGGACTAACTTTAGAGTAAACATACAACGGATTGTGCCATATTTTAACCGTTAAGAACAGTGGCCAAAACCTGATATACAGAAAAACTTTTCAAACTTATCTTTTTTTAGAGGACACCAGAATTAAGTCCTATGCAGGGGTATTACATATTGCTACACAAAATCAAACCTTTATATTCAGAACAAATGTAATAGTGGTAGTCATAGACCTCTGCAATATTTTATTCAGAAATATTCTATTATGGTACATGACCTCTGAACGGGTTTCATTACCCCTCTGAATATTTTTTCAATGAGCAATGTGTATTTATTTAAACTTTTTGTATCCTGCCCTTTACAGTGTCTCAGGGTGGCGATAACATAAATAAGACACAGCATCATAAAGTTCCTGAGCATGTGTGTAGAATGCTTTTTCTATGTAATAGGAAGCATTTTTACTTGTCTGGAGACTGAAATCTGGTGTCCTATGCTTATGTCTTGCTCTGTTTGCTAGGGTGGCAATGCACCCATAGTTTCTGTGAACTGTGTCAATGTGCTTATATGGAATAAGGCAAAAACTGCATATAAAAGTGGGATTGCATCTGTGATTTCTAAAAACTAACACAGAAGGTAAATTTTGGCTCTTTGACAATCCTGTGCTTGGTTTTCTGATGACATTTCTCCTTGCGTGTGCTTACTTGATGTTTTCATACTGAACCCAACAACTTTTCCTGTTCAGCAATGCCTATTGTTACAGCATAGTCAGAGAAGCTAGCTCATGTGGCTTAATTTGTGAAAGGACAGAAAGAAAGTTTTTGGGCAGGGAAGGCATGTTCTTTAATTGCCTAACATTTCTCCTTAAAATATTTATTTAACCTTCTTTGGAGGAGTAGCCCAAATGCATTATTCATTAATGAAAAATATTTGGCCAAATCTCTAGTTTCATTTGACTACTGGTATTTTTTTCTTCCTTTCAATTTTAGTCTCAGATTAAATGCCAACAAAATACTATACGGAAATTAGAACATCAAATCAACATTCTCCAATCTGTAAGTTATTCATATCTTCACTTTTGCTGATAAAAACTCATATCACTTCTCCATTGCAAAAAGGATATCAGATTAGTATAATTAATACTGCTTTCACCAAGTAGTTAAATTGCATGGTTATATGGTTAAGGATACATGTATGACTATGCCTTTCATTGTATAAGACTTTTCAGTGTATTTCTTTCCATCATTGTTTTGACCTCCATACAGACCTGTAAACCATTGACACAACCTATCAATTTCTTATGCTCAGTTTAGGGTTAGAATACACCATGGTATTCTGTGGTGTGGAGGATTATATTAGCAAGGATTATGTAACTACACACACAATCTGGGTGTGGAAGCCTGTCTTGCTGCATGTATTGCCTTTACTGTATAGGTAGCTTGTATTTTTAAATTAAAGCATTTGTTGTCTTGCAGTGCAGACACTGTTCCCATCTGAATTTTTATCATATAGGGTACTTTATAAAGAATGAAAAGATCGATCATAGATCTTTCCAATGTCAACTACACAGGGTGACACTGGAAAAAGGGACAGGAAAGGAATGTAGCGTAATTAGGGGAAAATATGTGATTATGCCTGTTACATATACTTAGGCTTAGCTGTAGAAGAGCATGGGGTCTAAGATGAGTTTTGAGGAAGGAATGAAAAAGTACGAGGAGACATGGCATACATGTTTTGAGAGGTTGTTACATGTATGGAGGCCTGTAAACAAGAGAGTGAATCATAAACCAGATTTTTAGACGAATCTAAAATAACCATTAGGAAAATAATAACTGTAGAAAAATTATATTCAGCTTTATTACATTGCATTTGTATCCTGTCTTTTCCCCCCTCTTCTGAGGAATCCAAGATGGCTTCCATAGTTCTGTACTCCATTTTATCTTCACAAGAACAACTATGTGAAATAGGTTAGGCTGAGAGTGCATGACTGACCCAGCTTTGTAGCTGAGAGAGGACTAGAGCCCAGATTGCTCAGATCCCCAGTCAAACATATTCTGCCCCACCCTTCAAGATTTTTTTTTTAAATTTTTAGAACAACGCTGCTTTTGGGGAGATTTTCTTCAGCTATCACATTGGACATTAGGGTAGGAGATGATCTCATTTAATGGTCAAATTTCTATATGGTGGCCAAATTCAGGTGAAGCATTCCTGATCCAAGAAACCATAATTTGTTAGAATGGGAATATATCATGATTGAGTAAGGGTGACTAAGGGTTGTTATTTTCCCATATTCATGAGGGTTCAATAAAATTATTTCCTTTTTGCAATCTGATGTGGGGTGGGACGTGTTAGAAATGGAGCAAGATTGTATCTAAGAAATAAAAATGCTGATTTAGGGAATGAGGAATTTTCGGCCACAAAGGCCTCTGGAACAGATGCCAACAGTGGATGAGAGGACTCAGTGAGACTGAGGGAAAAAGAAGCCATTGGAAGCAGTCAAGTAGGCAGTTGTCCACCTGGAACAAGGAACAAGCTACCCACAGTCATTGTTGCTTTTTCTCGGAGTGGCTTAGTGTGACCTGCAAACTCACATGCTGTCTCCTTCCCGTTCACCTTTCCTCTTCCTTGTGTTCCTGGCCTAGTATCTCTGTTTGCCTTGAAATCAGAACCAGAAAAGTATTGTTTGAGAACTCTCAACAACCAAGATTGTATACTAAAATTAGACTGTGGTTTGAAATCCTGGTTTGTAAAGAGTATTCAACCAGAGTTTCCTAGTTTGGGCATCACAACATTCAGTGGTTTGACAAAGCAGCAAGTCTTACACTAAGTTGGGCACGTGTGGGGAGTGGAGAAGAAACAGCAAATTATGTCTTGTTGGATGTCTGGAATACTGCTTCACATGCGATGAGAGGCTTTTGTATAAATGTGAATATTAATAGTGGTGTATCCCTACAAACTATTTGGTGACATTTATATATGATTTCCTACTCTCTTCAGCCTTTATTGTGAGAGCAGCTTCACATAAATCAACATTGTTAGCTTTGGCAGGAAAAACAGATTCAAACTCCAACTTCAAAAATATTTAGAATCTTGTGTGGCTTTGTTTTAATATTAATGTGGAAATATTTGTATTAGTTGCAAAAGAACTTTTAAGATAATTTTTAAAATTTTTGTTCTTTAAAGGCAGTCTTTGATGTTGAACAATTCAAAAAAGAGAACTATTCTTCAAGACTTGACAATCTTATAAAGAAAATAGAAGAAGATAGAGATTATTATAAAACTGAAGCTGAAAATTTGAAGAGGATGCTTCGGAATACATCTTCAAGTCCTAGGCACAGGACTTCTATTTCAAAGGTTCCCTCCCCTATTCAGGTATATATTTTAGCTTTCTTAAAATCCAGAATCAGAGTGCAGTCTTATGCATGTTTAGACAGAATAAAATCCTACAGGATTTGTAAACCATATTTTGTGTCTATGCCCTCATGAAATTACTTTATGATGATTATTTGATCATTTAGTACTTTCAAAATACTAAAGAAACTGAAATCATGCACACAGATTGCTTAAATCCCATTGAAGTGAGTAAGATTTAAAAATGTTCAGTGCAGTCAGAAGTAAAGCATATTCACTTCAGTGGAACATAGTCCCTTTTAAGTATATGTGCAATTACAGCCAAATACAGTGGTACCTTGCCTCACGAACACCTCAGTTCATGACCAAATCGGGTCATGATCAGAAATTTCAGAAAAAATTTGCATCAGGTCATGAACTCCGCATCGGGTGACAATTGCAATCGTACCCGTGTTCCCTGCGCGAATGTGGTCATGCTCCGGGAGGAAGATGGCCGTGATTGCGGCCACAGACGGGCATGATCATGGTTGCAGTCGGGCAGGGAAGATGGGTGCGATCGCAGTCATGCTTGGGGGGGTGGGCGCAATCATGCATGGGGGGGAGATGGCCGCAGTCTTTGTTGTTCTTTGTCACTTTGTTGTTTGTCACTTAGTTTCAAAATGTTGTGATAAAAATGGTTACAGAACAGATTAACCTTATTTACATTGAACCTCATGGGGAAATTTGACTTGGATCACGACCAATTTGGGTCGCGACCAGAGTCGTGGAATGGATTAAGTTTGTGAGCCAAGGTACCACTGTATATAGAAAATTCCTCTGTCCAGTATGCTTGGCTTCTCCGTGCAGCACATCAGTTTTCAGAATGATCTTTGGTCTAACTTTACCTTCTATGGAAGCATTAGAGCACAAACTCAATTTCTATTCATTAAACATTTAGGGAAGTAATTATGAACCTGAATTTCTGCAACTCCTCAGAGAATGTGAAGAATATAAGGCAATGCTGGAAAAATATGAACGTCACATAGTAGAAATGCAAGGCAACATCAAAGTTCTCACAGCAGAGAGAGACAAAATTATCTGTTTTTTTGATCAGGTAATATTTTTCAGGTTTTGGAACATTTCTATAAACTCAGGTAAAATATAAAATTTTATAGCGTTTAGGAGCTGTTTATGATCATTACAAGAGACCGTGTTGACAGTTGCTTCCCTCAGAAGTTCTTGCTGACATGTCCCAACACTTGAACTTTTCAGTAGTGTTATCTAAGCAATGGGATTCTCTTACCTTTGAGATGTAACAGGCTGTCTTGCTGTACAGTTTAAACCAGCTTGCTAAAGTGTTTTTGGTTTGCCAGAATTTTTCTACCTAAAAATCATCTGTATCATTAGGTTGAATTTCTTGTAAACCTGTTTGGCACTTTTATAGCAGATAATTTTATGATTTGGTTTATACAATATTTTCATTTGATGTTTTATATTTTTATGATATACCACTTTGTGCACTTCCAATACATGTTAAAAAATCAATAATATAATAAATGAAAATGAGTAGAAGTGATCATTCCCTATGGGACCCGGCATCTAAACTAAAGTTAGATGAGGTATTATGAATGTTATTATTTATTTTTTCATTTCATTTCTCTACTATGAGTAAGTTATGCAATATAGATTGTTTGTGGAACAACTCAAAGGTTCACCCAGCAGACAATCATGCCCACTCTGGCATGTTCTAGTTCTCCTTCCCCTTTGTTGCGCCGGCTGGTAACTCAGTGTTCTTCATAGCAAAACCCTTCCTGTCTCCCTCCCATTCCACTCTGGTCACCCTCACTTTTTGTTGACTGCCATTCTTATTTTATACCTTTAAGGAATTTCAAAAATGTACAACTGAGGTCATACTGTTTGGGTTTTTTGTTAATTGAACCCCATATAATTGTGCCAATGTATTCATCATTTTAAACATATTTAAAGTCTTTTGTAGGTGCACAAGTGAACAGTAACGACTGTCCAATATGTGTAGGTTTTTTTGCTGTCAAAGAAGAGTAGATAACAAGTGGCAGCCAAGTAGAGTAGATAACATGGATGAAAATTGACAAGGTAGAACTGCATATAAGCTAATTTGTGCATGGTAGCCAGCTTTCATTTGAAAAATAATGGGCAAAAATCATCAAAAGTAGGTGCACCAAAAGAGGATCGTGACAATATCACCACCTTAAAATTTTCATGCTGAAATTCAGAGTTTTCAGTGCATTCCATCTTTCAAAACTCCTGCTCTTTCTTTGAGAGCATTTACCACTGTTGCCATACTTTGCCAGTTCTTTAAAAATGCACATTATTGTAGACTGGGAGATACATGCAAATTAAATGACTAGCAAGTAGCAAAAGGGGAATACATGCAGCTAAATGTTTTTAAAAGAGCAAAAATGTTTGACAAAAAAATAGAAATGTAGCTGACTTGTCAGCTGATTTTTGCAATCTCCAAAAAGAAAAAAAAGATTAGCTGTTGTAAACTCAAATGGCTTGCAATAATGCAATTAAGTGAGAGAAGCCAGCACCAGGTGCCCACAAATGCTGCTTTGGAACTCTGGGGACAGTTGTCACTGTCATTTGCCTGGAAGCCTCATGGCGAGAGTGGCAAGGGGGTTTTGCTGTTTTTGTCCTTGGCACTTTGTGGACAATTCTTGTATCCAAGATAGATTCATTCATCTGAGGACAGACAGCCCATCTTAGATACAACAACCATTAAAAGAGCCCTTGGTTTGTTAAGGTGACTTGTTCTCTGTGCCCAAGCCACCTTGAGAAGATTGGTCTAAGGTTTGCAGAACATGAAAACTCACCAAGGTTTAGCACATCATGTGAACCTTCTATCAGGGTGGTGTATTTTCGGCAGAAGCAAACCTGACAAGCCACAGTATGTAGTAGGGGGGTTATTTGGAGTTGGCATATCCAAACCTATATGGCATGATGCATCATGAGTTAAAGCAACCGGCAAATGAACTGCTTTGCAAGAGTGGCAAAACCCACCTTACCTTGTGGCAATGAGTTTCATAAGTTATCAGGGGGTATGTTAATTTTTGTTAACAGTCCTAAGTTATAGACTTTGGGAAGTTAGTAATGGTGGGATATTCCTCGGAGGATCCATCTCTTTGGAATCCCTGGTTAGCATTAATCTGAAGCTGCCCTAATGTATTCATATCATGAAGTTAAGGAATCCCTGTCTTTCCAGTTAAGTTTATGCTGATATATAGTGATGGATCATTTATTATTTGAACTTTTGTGCTTTGTACCCTGTTTCCAAATCCCAAATCAGTATATCATAACTTTTAGAGGTAGTGCCAGGTAAAAAGGATTTGTTTTGTTGTTCTTACTACTCATTGTCTTCTCATGTAAGCCTGAGCTTGACCTATTGTGTTTCTTCTTGTTGTTTTCCCCCATTGCTTCTGTGTTGGTGTATCATGACTGAAGCTTGTATAATATTTCAGCAACTTACGATTCTGTTAAGTGGTATCTTTTGCAAGAAATTTGTTTATAAAATAAAACTTAATAAAGATTAAAATGTGTAGGTAGGCAAATTATAAAAATAAGTGGAACAGATAAAATACCACAAGGAGCTCAGTGAAGAAGCTGTTGCTCCGTTGCCATCTTGGCTTTGCCCCTCTCCAAATATATATATATATATATATACTGCTTTCATTATTCTGATTTAGCAGTTTAGAGTTTGAATGCATATTCTAACTATTTCCCAGTTTGGTAGTATAAGGTCTTAAATTTAATACAGTGAGGCCTAGATGTGCCATGTGATCAGAAGTTCCTTGGAAAATATTTATTGATGCTTCATTAGGAGGGAACTAGATTGGCCAGGGAGTCAATCGCAGGATTTGTTATAGGGGAGAGTAGTCCTAATTGAGACTAAGGTTATTTTTCGTATGAGCTGAGGACATAATATATCAATTTAGGCTTCAGTTGTAGCAGTATTTTTGCTTTCCAATCTTATAACCTTACCAACATACTTTTGTATTGCTGATGTTTTATTTTTAATGTATATAGATTATATTGCAGGTAGTATTTGGTTCATATATATCCATGGAAGTCAGTTGATTGCCCTTTTGCAGCTTGTGCCCCAGTAGGCTGATAAAAATTTAAAATGTTTCAGCAATTTGCTGTTTCACATTAAATAATACCTGGGCCTAAATATTAATTTTCTGTTACAGGCTCAGAACGAAATAAGTCATCTGCGAAAAGAAGCTATCAGAATCCCCAAAGCTTCTAAAACCGGAATGGCTGCTCAGGCTGTCTTAAGACGTGTGGAAACAGAAAGGGATGCAGCTATATCTGATTTCCGAAGGATGGCCACAGAACGTGATAGCCTGAGAGAGAGGTTAAAGGTTTGATTTTCTTTTTCCAAACTAAGTTTTACAACTTAGCTAGAATCAAGGTCACTGTTTGGTATCTAACCTAGGGAACTTTAGATTAAATTTTATGATACTGAAAAGTAATTTATTTCTAATTTTTGTTTGATATAGATTGCTCAGGACACTGCATTTAATGAAAAAGCTCACCTGGAACAGAGAATTGAGGAACTGGAGTTAAATGTTCAGAGTGTAAGGAAAAAAAGTCTCTTAAAATATGTTGGTTAATTTTAAGCATGTGGTTAAAGGCATGTAAGAATACTGACACTGAAAAAATCTGAACAGCATGTTGAACTACATTTTAAAAGAATAAGAGAGCAACCCTATTGGTTGCTGCAAATTAGACAAAAGCCCCCAGTCTTAGGGCCTTCTGGGATTCCTATGCCCTGCCAAACTGTGATGAGGTTGGAGGGGCTGCAAAGGTAATTTGTGCTTCTCCATCCTCCTTTTCAGCTTTTTCTATCAGGAAAGCCTCCAAGTCCATCATGCTGACAAGGATAGGGGTGGAGAGGCTACAGGATGTAGTACATCCTGCCTGCTGCTGCTGCTGCTTCTTCCCTTCCCCACCTGTCAGAATGCCACTTTTTTCCCTCTTACTGGCCTCAGTTTTACATCACCCTCAGAAGAGCAGCTGGCAGAAGAACAGTGATGAAGACTTGAGCAGGGATTTTCATCTCAGAGGCTATAGCTCTGTCCTCAAACTTGGAGGTGAAAATCCCCAGTATCCTGTGACCCCTGAAGCAGTACCTTGTGGCAATATCCTGTGCTTTGAATTGGTTCTAACATTCCAGTAATGTGCAGATTCTTATTTGTATTAATGCTTATTGAGGATATGCATTTTAGTTGGCAGAGAGAGCTTTGTTAAAGGGAATGTTAAACTTTAGTTCCAGAAACATACTAAGATAAAAAGACTTATGAGGAAAGAGTATAGAAGACTGATTGGCTGTCTGTAGGGACTGGACCCGCTTCTCTCAAAATACAACTTTTCAATGTCATTACCTTAGAATCTGAATCTGAACTTGAAGAAGCATGTTAAGAATTTTTAGCTGAAATGCCAAGGTCAGCATGTTCCAAAGTAACCCAAGGGGCTGGTGAGAACCAGACCATCTCTGGTTTTAAGAGAGACACTATTGAACAGGCAGGGACAGAGAAGGCTATAACATAATGAGTCTCAACATCCAATGTTAGATCAAGCAAACAGAACAATTGAGTAGCATCTCGCATTCCCACCGTCTGGTCTACAGGCAGCAAGAAACTTCCTGAGGGTAGAGTTAACTGCTTTTGAGAAGGAAGGAGGAAGATTCAATTTGGAATCACCTTTGAATGAGTGATAATTTCCTTAATTATCTGACTTTCTAATTTGATTGATGTCTGTTGTTAATAACTTCTGCAATTCTTCTTTTGTATCACAAAGTCAGCCTGGCTGGCCCACTTTAATAAAAAATGTAGGTAGAAGCCTCTTTTCCTGATTTGCTTGGAATGATAAAAGGAGAAGGAAAGACTGTCTCCCCAACACTGTCTACTCAGGGTTGGTTCATGTTTCTTCTGAACTTTTGAGCAGAAGAGTTTCATTAGGTTCTTTTGGCATCACAGCTTTTCTCTTTAACCACACCTTTTCCTTGTCCCTCTGCTCTTTAAAATAAGTGCTACAAATACAAAGTGAGAATCCTTCTATACTTTATCTACTGCATCAGTGCAAAAGCACTTTATTGATCCAGATACTGAACTAAAGCATTAACAGAGGGTGCTTTCACATGGATAGCTCCAAGTACTACCAATGAAAAAAGCATTCTGCACTTCCCCTGTGTGTGTGTGTGTGTGTGTGTGTGTGTGTGTGTGTGTGTGTGTAAAAAGAGAAAGGATAGAATAAGCAGTGGGAAAATGTAGAAGAGTTGCAAGTGGAAGAGCTTCTGGACCCCATCCTTTCCTTTACAGTTCTGTGAACAAGGCAGGGTAATTTCATGGAAACATTTAAAGTATTAATCTATATCGTTCAGATGATTATACTGTATCTGGACTGATAGTCTTTGTATCCTTTAATCCCCTAGCATTTGTGCTTTGGTGTGCTACAGGGTATTATTCATTTCCCACTGCTGCTTAATATGAAGCCATTGAGAGTGATGATCCAGGAATTTTGACCAAGGCCCTTTTAGTATATGGATGACACCCAGTTCTGTTTCTCTATAACATCTGATACATATGTGGCTGTGCAGGTTCTGGTTCAGTATCAGATACAGTGGTGGGCTGAATGAAGGCAAATTACACCGAATTTGTATGTTGGCAAGAATACATCCTGTTACTTGTTTTATTTCTATACCTTCCAACTGCCAAAGATCTCTGGGTGGCTCACAAAGCCCATTTTTTAAAGAGGTACATTGCATTAATGTTTACAATTCACAGTGTAAAACCACATATTAAACAGATGTGCATGCGTGTGTGTGTGTGTAAAATAATGAAAAAAAGAAAACTATTCAGAAACATTTAACAGCTAGTGGTCCCAGAAGCTACTTCAGTGTCCTGCAGTAGAGGATGATCTTTACCTGGCACTAAAAAGATAATAGGGTTGGCCCCAGGCAAACAAGTTCATTCCATAATTGAAAAAGCCATTCTTCTTGTTGCCACCAGCCAAGCCCCCCCCCCCCCGGTGGCAGTCAAAGATAGGTCCCAGAACTTGATTGCAGTGGCTGAGGTCAGGAGAAGCATTTCATCAGGTATTGTGGTCAGGAGCCAGGTAAGGATTTATAGGTTAAAAGCAGCACCTTGAATTGGGCTTGGAAGGATATGGAAAGCCAGTGCAAGTGGGCCAGAACTGGTTTATATGATCCAATTCCTGTTATTAGTCTGGCTGCCACATTTTGCATAAACAACCCCATGAAGAATGCATTGCAGTAATCAACCTTAGAAATTACCAGAGCATAGCTCAATGAGAGCAGGCTATCTCTGTCCAGATAAGGGTGTAACTGAGCCACCAGCCAAAGCTGGTAGAAGGCACTCCGAGCCACTAAAACCAGCTGGGCTTCAAGTAACAACTCAAGGAGCACCCCCAAGCTATGAGCCTGCCCCTTCAAGATGAGTGATCCCCATCTAGAACAGGCTGAATTCCCTCCATTTGGTCAGAAGAACCACCCATAACAACATCTCAGTCTTGTCTGGATTGAGCTTCACTTAGTTAACCCTCATCCAGTGCATTGTTTCACCTGGGTGGTGGTTTAGTACATCCACAGCCTCACCTGCAGAAGATGAAAAGAACTACTGCAATGCAGTGCCTCCTACTCCCAATTCAGCTTTGCTTTGTTAGCCCTCATTCAGTCCATTGTCACAACCAAGCACCAGTTCAGCACATCCACAGCCTCACCTGCTGAAGATGAAGGGCAGGGGGAGAGATAGTTATGTATAATTACTACAGGTCATTTTGGTATATTTATTTGACCAGCACTAAATCCTGTATTCAGCCCCCCACCCCAATTTTTCAGGTGGGCTGTTGGGGTGTTTTTGAGAGTTATTTAACACTTAGACAATGCCTGCTGCCCATGATTAGGTAGCTGGGAAGGATCTGAGGTGAAAAGATTTCTTCTTGGTTTTAGAAGCAAATTACTAAGAGCTAAGCAGTGTTGTTTGTTTTTCAAAGGGTGCTTTTGTAGTTATGCCTTATAATCCTCTGCTTGTTTTACAGGAGCTATAGGAAGGAAGGTACCACTTGCTGATTATATTCCATTCTTTGTAAAATTTCAAATATGCTTCTGAAGTGATTCCTAGATTTTTTTATAAGCTTCAACAGTGGGAAATTTGATTAGACTTTGAACTGCATAGACTTGGTTTAAGTAGTCTGTTATAAATCTGTTGCTTTATTAGAGCTGCAATTCTGTATTCAGTGACTTGTGAACAAGCCCTATTGAACTCAATCAGACTTATTTCTAACTAGAAATATATAGAATTGCTCTTGAGGTAACAGCTTGAAACAACTTTTCTTTATATTCAAAACCACGACTTTATTTTAAAAAATGTAAATTCTCTGTTCACAATATAGAACCAAAACAGCTTTCTCTAATTCCCAGGAAACAGTTATTAGTTTTTCATTTCCAGGACAATTGGAATTTATTCCTCCCCCTCCTCCCATAAGCTGAAAACTGACCCCAACTGCAAAACATGGAGACTTTTCTTATATATAAAAAAGAAAAAAATAATTAGAAGTAAGCAGACAGTATATATGTTAGCTTCCACAGTTCTTATTGATTCCTTGTCATTGTAATGCTTCAGCTTGACAATGAAAGGTTAGAACAAATATCAAAGATGTCTTTGATGAAGGACACCATAGAGTCTGTAGAAATGGAGATGAAAATATTGGCAAGAAAGGCAATGGAGTCTGAAAGTGAGCTAAACCGAGAAAAGGCAACTACTGCTTCATTGAGGTAAATGAAATATATTTTGAATCAAATGTTTATGCTTATAAACCGTTGCTGGTTGACTGAAACTTTAAATTATGAAGGCTAATATAGACTGTATTTCATTGTCATTTTTGGTAATTATCTTAATTGTTTGGGCCTGAGCAAGAATGTTCTACTTTGCTTTTTGTTGACTATGAGTGCTTTTTTCAAACACCAGTTTGCAGTTACATAACTTCAATAATTTAGATTTAACTTCTGTTTGTAAATAATATGTACTTTTTTTGTTGATCACATGCTCCAAAGATAGTTTTTTTTATAAACATCACCTATATGTTTTCATCCATCAGTTCACCCTTCTTAGTTCTATTGTGAGCTTAAAAGTAGCATTTAAATCCTTATGGCTAATGGGGTGGTATAGAAATCTAATATAAAAATCTTTGTTACATTTAGCATATTGAATGAAAAAACAGAACAGAGTCTTTCAGAGGCTCGACAACAACTTTCAAAGAAAAAATATGAATTACAATTAATTCAAGAAAAAATAATGTGTCTGGATGAAAAAAATGGTAAGTTACAAATATCAGTTATAACCTGTATAACTTTGCTTTAGTGTTTAGTTAAAATATGCAGTGAACGCCAAACCTTTTGCTAAGGATTCCTCATCCTTATCTTTATGTAGGATGGTGTCAGAACCTCTCCAGGAATTCTTAATAGGCAAGTAGAAATATGTGGAGCAGGTGGTTCTACACTTATTTTGAGCATGACAGTAAAGATGGACACTTTGAATTGGGGTCTTAAACATCTGGAACCAATGCAAATCAAATAACAATGGATGGGTCTTAACAGTTGCACAATAGTATTCCAAACTAACTGTGTTTTCTGAGTATTTTTCAAAGGAAGCTCTATGTACAGTGCATTACAATAATCTTAAAGAAAAATTTTGCAGTTATTATATGAATGAAATGAAATGAAAATGAAAAATGGAGATACAAAATGAAATTATCTCCTAATTAAACTAGTAAGTGGATTCAAATCTTGGTTGCATGTATATAATTGTTTTGTATGTTTAACAGAGACTTCACTTGATAAAGCCTATATGCCAGTGGAATATTATAAATGGATTAATAAATGAGACTTTGATTATATTTCCAGAAAAACTTTCTCAGCAAAATATTGCTCAACAAGAAGAAATTTCTACACTCAACCAAACAATAGCTGAACTGGTTTCAGAAAAGGAGTCTTTACAAGATGACCTAGAAGTAAAAACAGAGAAGGTTATCATCCTTGAAGAAAGCTTGTCCACTAAAGTAGGTTCTGATATGCTTATGTGGTTAAAATTAATTGTTTATGAACCATTTTTATGAATTATGCAAGAAGGATACTTCATACACAGAATATAGCTTCTGATAATGTGGACATAACTGGCATATCAAAGATACAGTTACCAGTTGCTTTAACTGCATATGAGTTATGCTAGTGATAACTGAAAAAATTGAAATTGCTTTGGGTTATATTTCAGTAATCCTGTTTTAATATGCAGAGATATGAATGATGCACAAAACTAAATATTCTGGCTATTGCTACCTTTTGAAAAATGTACACTATCTAATTAGACACATTTTAAAAGCTGTTATTACATCAGAATAGAAGATTTGTACCACCCTTTAGATAAGTTTCTATTTAACACAAGGCAACAGTGATATAACATAGAACATCAATGTGTACAACCTCATTACATTATTCAACACAGGTTCTATGCATATTTTAGGTTTATTATCCCTGAAAATACTCTTGTAGTACACATTTTAAGCTCTGTTACAGCTATTAAATGACGACTTGGTGGATTCTGATCTGTAGATTCTGTATTAATATATGTAAAGACAAGGGAATGTTTTTTTTTAAAATGAGTCCTTGATTAGAAGGATAATCAATTGATTATGCTGTTATTTTTTTCAACAGGAACCAATTTTCAGAAACCATTTATTTCCTAGTCAATCTTATTTTTTATTTTCTGGTATCATTCTACAATCATTCTTACTACTGCTCAAAATAGTAAAATTAGGCCTTTATGTAACAGCTGCTTTGTGTGTCATTAAAACTATAAAGCCAGTAAAACTATGCAACCAATATCATGAATTGTTTCTGAAAAAAATTGAAAGGAGTTATCCAAAATACTCACTTTATTCCATATGTCATGGGGTTGTGAACATGTGTATCTCTGACCTTACAATCCCACCAAGCAATTTAAGGAAAGATTTGTGTTTTATCATTTAGTTTCATAGGTGTCAGATGCCAACTATATTCATTATAAATGTGGTTTTCTAATTCCCACTGAAATGACTCATGTAATTTCTCAGATTGTATTCTATTCTGTAATCTGTATTCTGTAATCTGTTTCCCAATATCATTCTCCCAAACTATTTTAACCCTTTAGTTCTGCTATTATATGTTATCGACCAACTATATATATGAAACAGTCTTAAACTGTCAAGACCACTGTTATTTATTTATTTAGGAGGCTTCTATGCCGCCCCATTCACCAAAGCCTCGGGGCGGCCCACAACAATAAATAATCAATATAAAAACAATATAATTTGAGTCAACCTGGCCAAAGAATAAAATAAATAAATAATTAACAATTAACGCTTAAATAAAAAGGTCTTTGCCTGGCGCTGAAAAACAGTTAACGACGGCGCCAGGCGGACCTCTCTGGGGAGTGCATTCCATAGATTGGGTGCCACTGCAGAGAAAGCCCTAGATCTACCTTGCAAGATAGCACATTCATTTTCAAAGATGGTGAGGGATCAGGCTGCCTCATTACTTTGTATCAGAAGCTAGTATTTAACAGTACAAATGACGCTTGTAGGTCTTATAGCCAGGGACTCATAATGTCTATGTTCTGTGTCAATACATAGTAAAACATTGGTGTTACATGAATGTTAAATATAAGTAATTAGTATAATTGGTTGATCAAGTTAGTGTAGCTCAAAGATGTTAACAAAGTGCTTCAGTAGGTTCCTGCAACCATATACTGAATCCTTGCTCCTCTTGGCTAATAAAAGCTAGCATGGAAGAAACTGCCAGCTGAGCCAAGAGGTGATTAAGGCCATTTTACAAAAAGGAGTGGTCCCATACCACCCAAAGCAGGAGGTGATGAGGCAACTTCTGAAGAAACCCTCCTTGGATTCAGATGATAATTTTTGGCTAGTGGTAAATATCCCCTAACTGAATAAGGACCTTGAGGTAGCTCATAAACCATCCCAGTTAGCCATGACTTGTGCTTTAATTAATTCACTGTGGCTTAGCATGTTTTTCAAATCCTGACAAGCTAAGTCATGATCAAGCCTAGAATTTAGAGTCCCTTGGTCAGAGTGGGGAAAAGAAGCTGGATTATTCATGGCAAGAGCATAGGGAAGCTATGTACCAGGGTTCATGGGGCATATCCTTGTGCAGCAAAAGAACTAGCTTACTTCCTCATGAGGTTTCTGCCTGCCACTGCTGCAAGGACAATGGTTAGGAAAAAGCTATTATACTTGCCCTTGAGGAGGAGGAGGGCAAGTAGAGTGGCTTGACATCTTTTGCTTTGTTTCCCTTTTCCTTGCTGGGGAGAGAGGGAACTGGGGTGGGAGGCATCTCCTGCCTTCCTGTTACCTGGCTGAACCAGTATTCAGCCCAAGCTTCGCTGAACCCAAGGGAGGGGCACAAACTGCAGCAGGACTCCCATATCCATTGTCTCAGTTGCCATGGTTTCACTTAGCTTAGGTTGACTATTGGCCCTCCTCATTCATGGTGGTTAGGGGTGCAAGCCCCACACAAAAGTAGAAAAACTGCAGATATTTCTAGGGGACAACCCCAAATATCTCTATTTTTGGAGATGCCACACTCTTTGTCCCAATACTAGTTAGCCTAATGTGTTTTGTCTCTCAGTGGGTGCAAAGACTCTAGAGCATGGGTCCTCAAACTACGGCCTGCTATAGCTCGCCATGCGTGTGCACGCCGTGGCACGGTGCTGGCTTGCTTGCAACGAGATCATTTTGGAGAGAACTATCTCTCCCTATACATGCCCCTACCTTGCTGCACGCGTGCTTCCCACCCACACCGCCTTGGCGGCCTGCACCCATCACTGGCACCTTTCAACTGCCTCCCTGTTCAAAATGTCATGCTTTACTGTCATGCTCTAGAGCAGGACACCTGCTCTAGAGATGTATGTGGTTTTTCCCTAGAAATATTTATGGGTTTTCCACATTAATTTGTTGAAAAGCTGCCTGTTAGCAACATGCTGCCTGGGTGACCATTACAGTATGAATCCTGTGAAAGTAGTTTTCACTACTGTCCATGGTTTCAGGCATCTGCTAAGGGACTTGTAACCTGTCCCCTTGGATATGGGGGTCTTGCTGTACCGGGTGCTTGCCTTCCCATTACCTGTTCTGCACGGACCCTCCTTTCTAAGAAGTGGAGCAGATAAAATTGATGCCTTCCCCATGCCATCTTCTCAAGCCCCAGTTAGGACTTGGGGTGTACAACAGGCACTAATATATCCTCTCTCCTCTGTCTGGTGTGGCACCTGTGGGCACCATGCCAGCTGGAGGAGGATGAAGCCAGAGCAGTGTGTTTGGCTGGGTCTGTAGCCAAACATGCCTCCTCCTACGGAATCATCTTCCCTCCCAGCCTGACTTGTAACTCATGAGTCGGGCTGGGAAGGGGGAGCAATTATTCATGTTAACATGCAGCCTTCTTTCATGCTAATCATTTGTGGCTCATCACTAAATTGATGTGCTGCCTAGCTGTACTGTGGTTGGAACCTTTCCAAGAGCCATGAAGTTATACAAGGAGCACATTTGAAAAGGAACTATTTCCCTCTAGTCTGCTGCACAATCATAAATAAGGTAATTGCCCCATGTAAATGGTAGGTGCAGGGGTGGGGGCTGATCTGGATTGGTACCACATCAGGGCAAAGATTGTGAATCCAGTTCTGTTAGGCTTGGGAGTCAAAACAGATGTGATTTTTAAAAAAATCAAAGCAGCTTCATGGGGTTCTGATTCTTACCAGAGAAGCAGCACTGGAGTGGTGAAGAGTTAATTCTCTATGTTTGAGTCATCTTTCCAATATAAGAACACTCCAAACTTGCACTGGAAAAAGCCATTGCAGTGCAACCATATACATGTTTACTTAGAGTCCAACTCTGTTCAATTGATCATAAAATATTATGAACAAAGCAAACTAAGATGAATAAAAATAAATGGTGTCATCTCTTTTTAGTAACCAGTGAGAAATACTTTTTAATTTGCTTATTTATTTTCAAGGAAGAGACCATTTCAGATTTGAAGACCATACTTTCTGATAAGGAGCATTCATCTAAGTAAGAAATAGATTCCAAATTTAATTTCTGTTCTTTAAATATCATTTTAATTCAACCTGTTTTACTTAGTACTCATAAGTTAGTCTACTTTTATAGCCTGTCTGCTTTACCTTTATAACCTTTTCTTCAGCATTAAAATAATTCTGAATTTCATTGTGCAGTTGATAGCTTTCAAGCTATCAACAGTAGTCAAGTTTAAATAATTCTTTTAACATAAGCTTAGGTTCTATATTATTAAATAAATGTGATATTTGTGTACATAGTTTACTGGCATACCTTTATTTACATAGTATAGGTACATTTTGTGTCAATGCCTTCCTTGTTCCAGATTAATACTTTTATATAAAATGAAGCTCACATATTTTTAAACATTTGCTACACAGGCATTCTAGAGAAGCACTACACAAGTGTGAACAGGATATTACCAGATTACATCACCTGCTAAATGATACTAATAATGAGCTTACAGAGACTGGCAGGGAGAAAGAGGCATTAATTCGGGAGAATGAGAGGCTACAGGAACAACTTTATTGTTTTAAGCAGGAAAATCAGGTAAAATGTTGGCTGAAGATATAGAATCATAGAATAATAGAGATGGAAGAGACCAAGATGACCATAAGGCCCAACCCCTTGCTCAGTCAGGACTCCTAAGTTAAACCATCCATCTTAACTGGCTGTCCAGCTCCATCTTGAATGCCTCTAGTGTGGGAGAGACTACAGCCTCCCTAGGTAATTGGCTCCATTGTCATACTAACAGAGTTCTTCCTGATATTCAGCTGGAGTTTGGTTTCCTGCAACCTGAATCCATTATTCCATTTCCTGCCCCCTGGGATGATTGAGAGTCCTCCTGTCTGTTCTGTCCCTCACTGATGAGAACCACTTTACTCTAAATCCAACTTTTTGTTTAATCTTAAAATATTTAGATACCAGATCATACTTCTAAAATGAACAAAATATGAAAGGTGTGCATGAAGTAATGCTTTGTATTTCTTTGACAGATTCTGCAGCAAAAGCTCAATAAATATGAAAATGAACTTGATAACATGAAGTTGAAAATGGAAGATCTGCATACAGATATTGCCAGACTGAAGAGTGCACTGAATTCTAAAGTAAATGCATCCTTTGAAAAGTTACAAACATAAAAACAAAACTAATACATTCTTCTTGCAACAATAGGCAAATTCCTCTGAGCTTATGTTGGCTTTTGATTTTTTAAAAATAAGTTTTATTTAAAATTATAATCCTAAAAAACAAAAGGAAAACTACAAACAACATCAATCATCAAAAACATTGAGCCCCCTGGGTCAGCCCCCACATCCTTCTTTTTCCATTTATGAAAACTTTAAAAACATATTTAAATCTATGCGAAGTCCCATTTCTCTAGCCAATAATAAAGTCCCAAGTTTTATAGAAGTCAGTATCTTCTTTCTCCTTCAATAATAAAGTCAATCTATCCATTTCTGCACAGTTCAGGATCTTTTTTAAAATCAGTTCATCGGTGGGTAGTTCTTAACTTTTCCAGTGTTGAGCGAATGCAATCCTCGCCACAGTGATTACATGCAAAATCAAATACATTTCTTGTTTACTAGTGTCCTCCGGTATAATGCCTAATAAAAAAACTTCAGGTTTAAAAGCTAAGGATTTTTGTAACATTTCCTCGAGCCATTTATGTATTTTAATCCAATATAAATATTGTTACCTTAATATTTCTCTCCCACAGCTTTTGCCACTTTTCTAATTCAATATTATATCCAAAATTTTGTGCCCACATTATCATCGTTTCCTTAACCTGTTCATCTTCCATTTTCCTATCAAGTAAGAAGTCATATAATCTTTTAATCATTTTCTCATCTGATTTAAGCATCACGTGGATCAAACGCTGTTAAAAAACCCATGCTTTACAATCTTTAGCATATCTTCACCTCATGCCACCAAGAGATATTAGATCCCTGTTCTTGTGTTTCTTGATTCAATTTCAGTCCTCCATCCTTATCCAAAATGTCATCATATCTTATAATCCCTTCAAAATCCAATGCATTTGGATACACAAACGCTTCCATGGGTGAAAGCCATCTTGGTCATGTATTATACAATTTTATCTTTAACTTTTCCCACACTGACATTAATGATCTTCTAATATAGTGACTTAAAAAAGAACCATGTGACCTAGCCTTCTCATACCACATATAAGCGTGCCAGCCCATTTGCAAATCATGCCCTTCAAGATACAAAATTCTCTTATTTCTTAAAGTTATCCTTTGTTTTAGCCATGTTAAAACAGAAGCTTGATAATACAACATCCAATCAGGGAGACCAAAACTCCCGCTCTCTTTAGCTTCCTGAAGTATGTTTAGTTTAATTTAATCCTTGGTTTCTTCTTTCTCCATATAAATCTTGAAATTTGAAAATTTAAATCATCAAAAAAAATTCTATCAATTTTTATGGGAATCATTTGAAATAAAAACAAAAGCTTTGGTAATATATTCATTTTAACAAGTGCTATTCTTCCCAGCAAAGATAATTGCAAATTAGCCCATTTTTCCAGATCACCCTTAATATCCTTCAATAGTTTATCATAATTGTCTTCTTTCAAAGTAGTACACTTAGCTGTAAGATAAATTCCCAAATACTTAACCTTTTTAACAATCTGCAAATCTACTTGTTCCTGCAGGGTTTTTCTCTGGTCTTGCGTAAAATTTTTTACTAACAGTTTCGTCTTTTCTCTATTTTCATCCCAGTAACCTCGCCATATTCTTCAATCCTTTGTAGGAGTTTAGGCATTGTTGCAAAGGGTTCCTCCATTATAAAAACCAAATCATCAGCAAATGCTTGCAATTTGTAGCTTTCATCTCTAATTCTGGTACCTTTAATGTCCGCATCATCCCTGATATTTCTATTCAAGACTTCTAAAATCAGTATAAACAACAGAGGTGATAACGGGCATCCTTGTCTTGTACCCTTTTGTATCTCTATAATCTTTGTAAATTCTCCATTAATTATAATCCTAGCTGACTGCTTTTGATAAATGCTTGATATCGCATTAATAAACTTTTCACCAAACTCCATGTCGGCCATCTGTTGCTTCATAAATTGCCAGTTGACATTATCAAAGGCTTTCTGTGCATCCATAAATAATAAAGCCATTGGTTTTTCCATATGTATCTCATAATACTCTAGGATATCCAAGATAGTTCTTAAATTATTCCTTGTTGGCTTTTGACTAAAATCTTCTCAGATAGGTCAAGTTGTCTATCTAAACCCTGTTATTCATGAATCTCCTTTGATATTCTTTAGATTTTAAGCCTTCATGCTCAAATTATGTTCCACTGGTTTTTGTTTTATGCTTATTGGGCATTGCTGTATTTATATATTTGCATGATTAAAATGGGTTGTTAATGGGTTGCATCCAAGGTTATATGAGCAGAAGGCCACTTGGACAAGGATCTTTTCTATTCCCTTGTCCCTTCCCTCCATTACAACTCATACACCCCACTGTAAAGATTCTCTAAATACCAGGTCTATTTCCATTACAAAAAAATGGATCCCCAATCCCTGTACGCACATCAATTAGGTAAAGGTCAGTTCATGCTTTTACAAACCATATTTAGTGTGTGTATGATGTGGGATGGGAATTACATGAAGGGCGTTCAGTGTATTCTCGGTATTGGATTGATTTGTTCTTGATATGGGTAATTTAATTATTTCATTAGCTAATGACACTATCTGAGGGTATACATGCAAAATGTCAAATAAGTGTGATCATTAGTTCCCTAGTAATCCTCAGTGAAAGACGACCATAATGACTGAAGCGACAATGTTGAAGAAAATCGAGCACCACGCTGTGATTAAGTTCCTTACAAAACAAGGAAAAAGTCAACAAATCATTCACGAAGAGATGGTGGCCGTTTACCAGGACTCTGCACCTTCATTATCTACTGTTCAAAAGTGGTCAAGTGAATTTAAAAGGGGCAGAGAAAGCATTGAAGACGACCCTCGCTCGGGTGGGCCGATTACTGCCACTACAAAAGAAAATGTGAAAAAAATTGAGAAACTTGTTTTGGAAGATGCCCAAATAAAAATCAATATGTTAGCAGAGATAACAACAAACCTATCTGTTGGTACCATATTTACTATTTTTCATCTTAACCTTCCAAAGGTCTGTGTAAGATGGGTGCCGTAAATGCTCATGGCGCCTCAGAAACAAGTGCGAGTTGAATGCTATAGGGAGTTTTTAGAGCTCTGTGGTGAAGATCCATTGAGTATTTTTGACTGGATTGTTACTGGAGATGAAACTTGGGTTCATCACTATGACCCTGAAAGTACGAGGGGCATTCAATATATTCTCGGTATCAGCATGAAGAAAAAGGAATAATAAATTGAAATTTATTATTTCAGTAATAAATTTGAAATAATAGGGATTGTCTTCAGTGCTTTCTCTGCCCCTTTTAAATTCACTTGACCACTTTTGAACAGTAGATAATGAAGGTGCAGAGTCCTGGTAAACGGCCACCATCTCTTCGTGAATGATTTTTTGACTTTTTCCTTGTTTTGTAAGGAACTTAATCACAGCACGGTGCTCAATTTTCTTCAACATTGTCGTGTCAGTCATTATGGTCGTCGGAAGATTACTAGGGAACTAATGATCACACTTACTTGAAATTTTGCATGTATACCCTCAAATAGGGTCATTAGCTAATGAAATAGTTAAATTACCCACATCAATAGCAAATCAGCCCGATACCGAGAATACATTGAAAGCCCCTCGTATAATGCATGTGTGTGATGGATATAGTCAATTCCTGTCATCTTTCATTCAAAAATGTGGAAGAGTTGTAGTAAGCTGGTAATCATAGATATGCTTTGCATCAGTTGTCCACACTTCAGGGTATGCATTTCTGCAGCCCTGCTAGATCTGATAAAAATGCAAATTGTCCCAAAGAGTCAAACCAAATTTTGAATTACAGGAAAAAGAAAATCAAGAACTTTTGGAGAGTTACCATAGGAGCAATGAAAAAGCAGAAAAATGGGAAACAAAGTTCCATCAAATAGAAGCAGAGTGTAATTCTGTTCATCTTGAACTTATTAATGTAGAGTCTGAGAAACAAAGACTGAAGGATCAAACAGAATCCCTTGAAACAGAAATTGGAGAAGTAAGTTTGAGATGTCTTGATCAATTCATTTTGTATAATTTCATTCTCGTTTAATGCTTAAGCAGTAGAGTACCTGCTTAGAATTTTTAAGACTTCAGACTTTTTTCCTTTGTTCTTAATCTCCAGTATGAGTGATAGGTTAAAGGAGGAAGTTCCTTGACAGTTCTGTGTATCTGGGTTGCAGGCAGATACTTTCAGAAAGCATGTTTTGTTGTTTCCCGGGTCTCTGTGCATCACACATACAGGTTCTCCCACCTGTATAGCAGTTCAGCTCTGGGAGAGGACTTAGCTGCTGCAGTGGCAGAGGAAGAGATTAACCTGGGACAGTAAAGGTATAAGACACAAAGTATTGTGTCTCACAGATTTTACTATTGTTTCTTTTGTCTTCTAAATTTCCAACTTTTCAACCAAGAAGTTAACATTAAATATTTGACAGTTGCTAAATATTGCTGCAGTTTCAAGACATTTGTTCTGTAGATTGGGGTTTGAGAGTCAAATTAGTTCTTTGTTGTGGTCTCTGTGCATCACACATATGGGTGCCATGCCTGTGCAGTCCCACATTTGGGAAAATTCCTCTAGATAAACCTAGAATTTTTGGTGGGAGTCCCACCTCCCCTTCCCTATTATATAAATACGAGGGGCATTCAATATATTCTTAGTATCAGCATGAAGAAAAAGGAATAATAAATTGAAATAATTTTTATTTTTCAATGTAATCCCCCATAACTTCAATACGCTTATTACATCTAGAAATTAACTTTTCAGTTCCCTGTAAAAAATACTCTTCCTCCTTGTCTAAAAAATGTACGTTAATTGCCGCCTTGAGCTTCTCATCGTCAGAAAATTGCTTTCCATGAGGATCTTTTTTTAAATTCGGGAATAGGTAGTAGTCACTGTGGGCCAGGTCCGGGCTATAGGGTGGGTGGTTTATTTCTTCAAAACCACAGTCTCACAAAGCAGCCTTCGAAACATGCGCCGTGTGAATGGGCACGTTGCCATGAAGAAGCAACACACCTGCAGTCAGTTTTCCCCACCTTTTTTCTTTAATTACTTCTCTTAAATTATGCAGAGTGGATGTTGTGTTTATGGTTTCACCTTTTTTCGTGTACTTGATCAATAAAATTCCCTTTGAGTCCCAAAACACTGTGGCCATGATTTTTCCGGCCGATGGAGGGACTTTGAATTTCTTCGGAGGGTCAGCACCTTTTTTATGCCATTGCATGGAATCCTGCTTATAGGCAGGCTCCCACCATATCCTCAGTTGGCTTTTGACCACTGTTTGCAGTGCATTGGGATCCCTAGCTTTTGGTTCTCTCAGCCTTCCCTCACAAACTCTCATTTTTTACCTCGCTTCTTCTCACACTGTGTTTCTCTTATTACTTCTAGTTTCTATTATCTGATCTTCTTTGTTCTTGTTTTCAAAGTCCTCCCCTCCCCTCTTTGTCCCTCACACAAAAAAACCCCTATCATTATTCCCTCTTAATCTCTTAGTCTTGGATTTCTCCCTTACCTCTTCTCCCAATGTCATTCAAACCAGCATTTTGAAAGTGTGTCCAGTGCAGCATAAAAGTGCACTCAGCTGATGGCCATTAGCTGTGCCTGTTCGGCTTGGCGAAGAGTATCGAGTAGACAAGTGTCCACATTGTCAAGCCTTCACTAACCAGGCCCATAAAGAACACGGCTGGGTGTCTGAGAGTTGTCACTGGGGAGGAAGGTGAAGGCTCCTCAGCCTCAAGAGAAGCCACTAAAAAGTACCCGTCAACTAGTGCTTCATACGAAGTACAAGTCAAAGTACCTGTCAACTAGTGCTTCATACGAAGTACAAGTCAAAGCCATCTGCAGCAGCTTCCATGTTTGATGTCTTTGATGTGCCCAGAAACCACAAAGAGAAAAGGAAGTATCTTGAGCCCAAGGGTCATAAAGTGACCAAGAAGTCTTGTAAAGTCAAACACACCAAAAGGCCTGAATGCCACTCTCTGGCTTATTCCAAGTGCTGCAGCTCACCATCCCAAGCAACCACTCCAAAGACAACGCCTGTGCCAACTACACTACCAGTCTGAGCCTCTCCTGTCCAATGCTCCCCAACTCCAATGGGATCGGATTGCAGTGTCCAACCCAAGCTGTCGGGACTGACATCATTCTCAGAGGGGGAGATTCATGACTCTTCAGTGCATTCTCCATCAGCTCAGAGCAATTCTGCAAGGTTGATGCATACACTGCACCATGATCTGACCATGGAACCAATACCATGGACACCCCATTCATTCCATGCTCCTTTCTTCCACCCAACACCAATTTCTACTCACCGTTCCATCTCTGATGTCTAAGCAATGACATATCCATATGGGGGAAACCTGTACTGGAGTGCCTATCCCTTCCCTCGACATTACTTTCATGGCTAAACATGGGAGCAAGCCACAGACCCTCGTCAATATGCCTGACCACCACTTCGCTCTGCAGAACACTGGTCTCCACCAAGACCACTCCAGAGTGCCGAGCACGAGCCAGGTACTTCTCAGGGCCTCCAACAACCTCAGGAGAGTGCTCAAAGATCACCTTTACCATCAACTGGATCTGACTCTGCCTATCTGATGGATTATGGCTCAGACTCTAACAGAAGATCTGATATACAACTTCATCTGAATGGAGGATGGTTCTGGTAGTGTTACCATTCACCTCTACACTGTCCAAGGCTGTAAAGGAACCCCGGGAGCTTCCCAGCCAACACTATCTGACCTCCCATTGACTGGAAGGGATGTACCAGGTACAGGTACAGGAGAGAGACATTCCTTATGTCCTACACTATCCATGCCCAAACTCCATAATTGTTGAATCCACCCAAGGTCGACTGCATAGGTGGGTCCTTTCTACAGTACACCATGGGTACAAAATTTAATTTGAGACCTTGCCTTCTCTTTGATTGGTCCACATTACTCCTCCCTCTCTATTCCTAATGAAGAAAGTCACCAGCTTACTAGCAAAAGGTGCGATCTAACCAGTAGACCTATCTGAAGCTAGGTATGGTTTCTATTTGTGGTACTTAACAGTTCTTAAAAAAGATGGCGATCAGCAGCCAGTTTTGGACCTGTGGGGAGTAAACCTTTTCATTCCAGCCAAAAAGTTCCAAATGGCTTTCCTGAAAGCATTATGCCACTATTAGGAAAAGGGGACTGGTTTGTGTCTGTTGATTTAAAGGATGCTTACTTTCATATTAGCATCCATCCCAACTACACTCACTTCCCACGTTTCCAGATTGGTACTGATGCTTACAAGTTCAAAGTGCTACCGTTCAGTCTCTCTACGAGACTGAGAGTATTTACCAAATACATGGCTACTGTATGTGCAAATTTGCAACTGCAGGGGATGTACATTTACCCCTATTTAGATGACTGGCTGCTGGTGGCTGACACTAAACAGGACTTATTGTGGTCAATTGAAATCACCTCTACTATTCTCAACCACTTGGGTCTGTGCATTAATATTGAAAAATCCATTCTTGCTCCTTTGCAGACCATTCTATACATTGGAGCAATCCTTGATTCTGTGTAGGCTTGAGCATATCTACCCCGAGACCTGACCAGCTTCCGATCTTTTCACCAACTTGAGGTCTCCTGCTCAAAATAATCCAGCAGCTGCTAGGGCACATGGCATCAACCGTTACCATGGTTCGCTATGCCAGCTCTGGTTCATGAAAGTGTTCTATCCCAAGTGAGGTTCACCAAGAAAGACAATGTGTCTGCTCCTGCATATAAGGGCAAACCTAGCCTGGTGGATGTATGAATCACATCTGCCGGAGGGACTTTTTTTCCTACCATTGGAACCGACAGCCATGACTGATGTATTCTTCACTGGCTGGGGTGCCCACTCTGATCTTTACCAGACACAAGGAACATGGTCCAGACCCCAAAAAGGCTCTATAAAAATCATTTGGAGCTCCCAGCTGTCTACAAGGGACTTCTAATGTTTCAGAACAGACATGTACAAATAGTCTTGGACAATACCACCGCTGTATTTTACCTTAACAAGCAGGGTGGGACAAAATTGACTGTTCTGACATGACTGATCCTGCAAATTTGGGACTGGTGTATCCAACACATCACCCTGGTAGCGATCCACATGGCAGGGATATACAATGTGACTGCAGACACACTCAGCTACACTCCAGTCCAAACTCACAAATGGGAGTTTAACCCAAGCATTCGCAACAACATATTTGCTGCATGGGGCACCCCACCTACAGACCTCTTTGCCACAGAGGAGAATACCACATGCAGCATCTACTGTCCCAGAGTGGGGATAGGCAAGAACTTGATCAGAGATGCCTTCCTTGTTCTATGGACGGGAACCCCTTTCTATGCATTCCCTCCATTTCCCCCTCATCAAGAGGACCAGAACAAAAATGAATGAGCACATTCAGGCCAACCTAATAACACCAAGATGGCCCAGGCAGCCTTGGTTCCCATCCCTACTCCAGCTTTCCAACTGCAATTTCCAATACCTACCATCCACTCTGGACTTAGTGTCCCAAGCTCAAGGGAAAATATTACACCTGGACATTCAAAGGCTTTGTCTGACAGCATAGCTAATTTCTTAATGAGCATGGCTACCTCCTCAAACCCATCCAATAACAAGTTCCCATGCCTATCCAAAACTCCAGGGCAAGCTAACTTTGCACACTGTGAATAGGTCCTCCATACTTGATCTTTTGATCCATCCATCCTTCTCCTTCCATATCAACCAGGAAACAGTGCTTTCAGCATTCTACCCATCACCATCTACAAACATTGAAAGGGTTCTACAGACACTTGATGTTCATCACACACTAGCCTTCTATCAGTCCTGAACCAAGTCAGTTTGTAAGTGAAATTACTGTTCATAAAGTATGTGGGTCACTTTAAAGGAGAATAGGTCAGGCCCCAGCATTTTGCACACTGGATCACAGAGACAATTAAATTAGCATACCAGCTAGTGAACTTGGACTTGCCAGATCTCCTTAGGGCTCATTCCACGAGAGCAGTGTCAACATCGATGGCCCTCCATGCAGGGCTACTGCTGGACACTTTGTGTAGAGGGACATGGTCAACATCATCCTTGTTCGTCCACCACTATTGGCTCAATGTGAGAGCCAGACAGGACTGTTCTTTCGGTTGGGCTGTGTTGTTCTCTATTCTTCTGTAACAACACCTCTCACCTCCTTTAATGGTATGTTTGCTAGTCACCCATATGTCTGATGCACAGAGACCACGATGAAGAACGGCAGGTTGCATACCTGTAACTGTTGTTCCTTGAGTGGTCATCTGTGTATTCACACAACCCACCCGCCAGCCCCACATCAGTGTCGGTGGGGAGAGAGAGAGATTATATATATATATATATATATATATATATATATATATATATGAATATTCCTTTCATTTTACCTAGAGTTTATATAGCAATAGTACACTTGTGGACATACACAAAGGGCAAATGATGGCCTCCAATTGAACTAAGATGGTGACAGGAGCCCACCTATTTATATAACGGGGAAGGGGAAGTGGGGCTCCTGCCAAAAATTCTAGGCTTAGCTAGAGGATTCTTTCCAAACGTGGCACTGTGCAGTTGCAGCACTCATATGAATGAATGCACAGATTACCACTTGAAGAACAACAGTTACAGGTATGCCGTCTGCCTATGTGACACAAGACATCTATGTTCAGTATCTTTCATGTTAGTGAAAAGCACAGGGGGAGGGGGAATGAAAGCTGCAGTATCGGGAGGCTGAATTAACTTTTTAAATGTTGTTTAACTTGTTTTTAATGTTTGTATTTTACATTGTATTTTATGTGTTATTGTAAACTGCCCAGAAAGCTCCAGCTGTTGGGTAGAATGGAAATTGGATATATATATAAAAATCCACCCCTTATGTTTTCCTAATTTTAATTTCATTTGGAGCTGTTGTTTGCTCATGAATCCCAACAGCAGCATGAAAGATTTTAGGCTGAGGAAATGGCATAGGACCAAATGATTAAAGCCCTTCTTCCTCCATGGTCCTGCTCCCATCCTAATCCAGTCACCCATACACACAGAAATCTTGTCCCTGCCACCTTTTAAGTCTAGTTGTGTTTTGGCTGAAACATTCAGTATGCTTGCAGTTCTAAAGTATTTGATAACTCCATATTTGTGGTGGGGGTAGGGGGTAGGTTGGACAATGCTGAAGAGATCCTTTAAACTAAAGAACATAAATTTTCTTCAATTATTCCAATGGCATTTGTTTGGTAATAGAAGAGGTTTACATGCAAGAAGATAGGAGTAGTTTTTACTTCACTGTCACTCTACTCTTTTTAGTGCAGAGCTGCCATATGGCAATATTATCATAGGAATGATCTGTTAATTTATAGCAAGAATTTGGGCTGAATCATATTGCAGTAGATGAAACAGCTTTTTATTGAAGCATTTATCCCCTTCCCCAGCTAACAATAAAGAGGAATAAACAAGGCAGAAATTCTCAAAACAATACCAACAGCTGCTGCTGTCCATTCTGTTGTCTTTATTTTCTCATACATTCTGGCTGTTCTAGAGACACTTTGGAGCATGTGTGTGTGACCCATTCTTTTTCTGTAAATTTATGAATTCTTGGCATTCAACAAAATGAAAATTTCAGCACTCAGTTTACCAGTAAATATTTTGAAAGGGTTCTTGAGTACAGGGTGGTAGATTGGAGCCTTTCATGTTTCTGTTTTCTATATAATGGAAATAATTTTCATCTTTTACTCTGAAATCTGAATTTGCAGCCAGAAGGTAATATTTTGAAAATTCATCACTTTTATATTAATTTAGAGGGTTTCCTAAGTTACCGTAGTTACTTTTATTTATTTAGTACAAAATCTGTAATCTCAATGTAGTAATTACATACTAGTATAGATTCCATAATGTTCATCTGATCTTCTATTGTCACTCTTACATATGAATGAAACAACTTCATATGTTGAGATCAGTGGGCAAGTTCATACAAGCTTGACCACTTGGCATACATCTGAAGGCAGCTTTGGTCTGCTTCGGTCACATAGGTCATAACAAGCCTTAATAGTGTGCATAAATCCCGCTGATTTAAATGAAACTTTAAATGTAACCAGTTTTCATTGATTTATTCCCAATATATTTATTTTATATTCTGCTTGCAATCGTCTATTAAAACAATGCCCATACATTCAGCTAAGTTTGTATATCATTAGATAAACCTATAACCAATCTTTCTAAAGATAGTAGGCACATTTCCAATACACTATTTGTAGTATAAATATTAGATGTTTTCTTCCTTTTTGGGGGCAGCATTTAGCATCAGAAAAAGCCTACAAGTCACAGATTACTACTTTAGGTAAGTCTCTTGTGAAAATGGAAGAGGAACTCCACAAAGTCCAACTGGAGAAAGTTTCTGTACTCTCAGATCTAGCATCTGTTCGAGAACTGTGTATTAAATTGGATACTAGCAAAGATTTATTAACCAGACAACTAAACAATACAACACAAGAAGTAGGACGGGTAAGTATAGTATAATATAGACATTGCATAGCATAAACAAGTATTAAAGGTAGAATACCAACATTATAATATGAATATTTGAACGAAACTCTCACAGTGTTATCAGGGCTTTTATATTTGGTACATTTGCTTTGATACATTTCAGAAAATAAGCTATTAAGTGATTGTTTCTGTGTGAAAATTCAGAATATATAAACAGTTTAAAATAAGGTGGAAGATAAGCCAAGAATCAGTGAGTGATTCTTCCATTGTAAAGCATTTTTAAATCACATTGATTACATTGGGAAATATCAGTATTCATATCCATTGCTAGCAGTCTAAACATACATACAGTGAAGCAAGCTATCTGTGAATCAACTTAAGTAATTAGACTTAAGCAATATCTTAAGTCTCATTACATTGTTATAACTTGAATAGCAAGACCTTAAGTAGCAGAGACAAACAACAGTGTGGTTTCTAAAGCTTTTGTCTAAACAAACTGGCCAGTTTTGGAATGCTTTTTTGTGAGTGAAGGAGGAGACTTATTTCACCTGTTATAATTCATTTTGTGTGAATTGTGCTAAGTATGCAACACACAATTCACCCCATCCCCTGAGTTTCTGTTGAAATAAATGTACAGAGAAAGTTGCCCAAAATACAATTTTAAAAAATCAGCCAAGATGGCTCATTCCTGAATAAAGATTGTGTCTGGCTGATTACTAAAAGAGAAATGCTGGACAAATGTAATGTGCACTTTCGTTTTAAATTACATATCTCTAGGAACACAAATTCTGTATAAGCAGAACCTGCTCTCTTTTCTATGAGTTGGAATGCCCTATGTGCAGAATAAGATTTCTCGTTCAATATTGGAACAATATTCAATATAGAAGGAATGCAGGAAGGATGTAAGAATCAGTCTGGATCAAACCAAGGATCCATCTGTGTTCTGTTCACACAGTGACCAACAGGATCCCACAAGCAGAACATGAGCGCAATAGCACTCTTCTGCCAATGTTCCCCAGCAACAGGTGTGCATAGGTATACTGCTTCTGATACTGAAAGTGCCATATAGCCACCAGGACTAGTAAACATGGATAACTTTATTGTCCACAAAATTGTCCAGTACCTTTTTAAAGCCATCCAAACTGGTGACCATTGCTTCCTCTTGTGGAAGTGAATTCTGTAGTTTATGAGCTATGTCGCATAGCAGGGGTGTGTGAAGAATCCTTCCAAGGATGAGAGTCCATTGGATTCCCTGGGCTCAGCTTCCTGGACTCTGGTCCACTTTACAGCAGCCCAGAGTCCAGGTTCCTGGTGAGCACACCCGGTGTTTGCAGGGCACTCATCAGGAACACAGCCTTGTCATGACCGCTAGCAATGCCTCTCTTAAGTGCCAGGATCAGCTGCTGTTGATGTGCTGCAACTGATGCTGAAGAAAGCTGATCACAAGGGGCTTGTCGGAAAAGCAGTCATCTGTGACTGCTGTCCATCTTCCGTGCCAGCTGTGGATGTCTTTTGGGCTGCTGCAGCTGACATAGGAAAAGGTTGCCCGTTGTGCACCCAGGGGCCCACAAGTGTTCACAGATTTCTTGGCTTGGTATGCTTTGGAAGACTGAGCCAAGTGCAAGAGGAAGCCCACAAATGCTTGGATGTGCAAATTTTGATAGGGTTCATCCCAACCTATAAAGTAGATCCTTTTTATCCTTCTTGAATCTCCCAACTTCATGGGATGACCATGAGTAGAGTAGTCTCTGCTTGCATGGAGTCTTGTCTTGTGAAGTGGATTTTCTGAGGAGCTTCAGTTCATTTCTTCTAACATTTAACAGAACAATGTCATTATTTAATACCCTATATTGGAAAAGATAAGTTGGCACAAAGTGAAGTAACTAAGAACCATTTAATAGTTAAACTATATGCTATGTTATATATGTAGTGTGTAGATTATCTTTTCTTGAAATTCAAATAAGCCTAAAGGACTTCCATCCAGATCAAGACCAATACTTCTATGTAGGGAAAGTTTAAATCTCACCCAGCTTCTTTGCTCCCTAAATTTGCACCCTCAATTTATATAGGGACTAAAAAGAGGAAAAAACTTCAATTGGCACCAAACTCTCAGCATAAGAAATAAAAGGGAATTAAAAGTGCTTCACTTTGAATGAACCATTCCCTATGTGCTTACTGTGATCTGTTAAGTTAGATTTTTCTCATGTCATTTGAGAGCAATATTATAGATGTTCTTGACAAAGTGGAAGATAACAATCCTTAATGGGTAGATAAGAAACAGTTGAACATTTGACATCTGGACAGATGGTATGGGCAAGAAGAGGGATGATGCCATTTAGTTTATAATTTAAAATGATATCCATCACCTTCTGATATATTGTTAGAGAAAATTAATCTTCTGGCTTTCAGTTACAGAATGAATGGGAATCTTCTCATTCAGAAATAGAACTCCTCAGAAAACAACTCAATAATGAAAGAATCTCAATAAAAAACCTGGAAACACTGTTAGCATCCAACCGAGAAAAGGAATTTCAATCTCAAATGATAAACCAAGAAAAGGATTCGGAAATCCATCTTCTTAAAGAGCAACTGGCTTTTGCTGAGAACAAAATGTGAGTTGTATAACTGGAAGAAATAGCACGAGATTATGAAGTCTGAAATTACTGCATTGATTTTTTTGTACTCTGCCCATTGTACACAATTCACAAAATGTGAGGGATTCCAATGAGATAAAGGAAAAAGTTATAGGCAGCTAATTGAGAATCGCATGAAATGCAGAAAGAACATTGGAATTATTGAGTGGAGAAAAGAGAATGCAAGTTAAAAATGCTTTCTCCCAGACCCAAGTTGTGCAAAAATGGCTGATTCCACACAGTGGTGTAAGGAAGTCATCTCACAATAAACTTATCTCCCTCAATCACCCAGAAAAAGTGGCTGTAACAAAACTTTAATATTCTATTCATCCATGACTCTTCCTTACCAGTTTGTCCCTGTTGTTTTTTAATCCAGGAACATGCAAACTTTTATCATCTCATATTCAAACTCCTACTATATCAAACTTTAACCTTTCTTACCTATAAAATTCTCAGTAATTCCTTCCATTTAAAAAACCATTTTATTTTCTTTCCCCTATCTTCTATATTTTTCATGGCCCTGCTGGCAAGAAAAAACAAAACCAGTCATCTTTTCCTCACAGCAAGAGTGCAATTTTACAGACCAGATCCAAAAAAGTGATGCCGCAGCACCAGACTGCAGGCTTCGGTTGCCCACTGAAGCTCATCAGTCAGTGATCAAAGGAAAGAAGTGACTGAGGTTTAGAGAACCAGGGCATCCCAGACTTTGAACTATGCCATGATAGATCAAGGAGACAAGAAGTCGAGTGCTGCATTAAAGAAAGCCCACAAAGCTTTGGCATTAGTGCTAAGAGCCTCCATTGTCCCCTCTTAAATAATAAAGATCTAAACTTCCTTATATAAGATCCTGGTGAAGCTCTCTAAATTCTTTGTGTTCTTAGCTGACGCTGTTCAGGATGCAGTGCTCCATCTGACCAAAGCACTATAATATAAATATTGCTTCCAGAGCAAATGTAGTCTCTATTCCCTTCACAGGAACATTCTTTATAGCAAACAAAGACAAAAAACAGGTCATAATTCCTAATCCAGAGGAGAAGACCTTTTACTAGAATGTAGAATCCTAAGTTGGAAGGGACAAAGGGCCATTGGGTGGAACCACCTGCTTAGTGCAGGACTCTGTACTAAGTTAAACTATCTCAGATGGCTGTCCAGTTATGTCTTAAATGCCTCTAGTGTGGGAGAGCCCACAATCTCCCTAGGTTCCATTGTCATACTGGTCTAACAGTCAGGAATTTTTTCCTGGTATCTAGCCAGAATCTGAATTTCTGTAACTTGAGCCAGTTAGTCCATGTCCTGCACTCTGGGATGATTGAGAAAAGATCCTGTCCTTCCTCTTTGTGAGATCTTTCAAATACTTGTAGAGTGCTATCACAACTCTCCTCAGTCTTCTCATCTCAAGGCTAAACATACCCAGTTTTTTCAATCTCTCCTCATAGGGCTTTGTTTCCAGTCACTGGATCATCCTTGTTGCCCTTCTCTGAACCCTTTCCAGCTTGTATGCATCTTAAACTGCAATGCCCAGAACTAGACACAGTACACCAGATGCGGCCCAACCAGTGCTGTGTAAAGGGGAAATAGTACTTCACATGATTTCTTAGATACATAGCGTACAGTGGTACCTTGGCTCACGAACTTAATCCATTCCATGACTCTGGTCACGACCCAAATTGGTCATGAACCAAGTCAAATTTCCCCATAAATTTCAATGTAAATAAGGTTAATCCGTTCTGTAAATATTTTTTTTAATCACAGGGAAGATGGGCATGATTGTGGGCATGCTCGTGGGGGGGGGGCGAGATACCATATCCCCCTCAGTCTTCTCTTCTCAAGGCTGAACATGCCCACTTCTCTCAGTCTCTCAACCTTTAGGAGAGAACATGCTCAGTTCTCTTATGGCTCCTTAAACCTTTAAGGGTTTCCACATACTTAACCAGGTCAGCAGCCACTTTAGCAGCTTTAAGCACACTCTTAGTGGAAATTTTCAGGGCTGCAACTTGGGCAAATCTGCATTCTTCCACCAGACATAAAGCTAACATATATATCTTGGCAGATGCTTCATTTAAGGAGAGTTCTACAGCAGGTACTTATGCCATAATAGTTTATGGACAGTTCATTCCTAGCTTAATTGAATGTTAGTTTTAGCACAGCATTCCAAAATGGATATTTCATCCTCTGAATCTCAACTGGATGAAGTGTGGTTAGAATGCTCAGTGGAATTACCATGATCAACACGGTGTGAAATAAATTATATGGCTGGTGAGAACCAGTCCATCTCTGATTTGGGGAAGATGTGGAATGGGGAGGGGTGTCAATCAGCCAGGTGGTTTTATCCTAGATCAGTGGTGGCGAACCTATGGCACGTGTGCCACAGCAGGCATGCAGAGCCCTCTTTGTTGACACACAAGCCAAGTCACTCCAGCATCACCCCAGCAGCCGAGCATCAGATAACAGCGCATTTAGGGGCCGTGCACATGCTCAGAAAGGAGTAGCAGTGCCAGGCAATGACATCACGAGCTGCGACTCATTAGCCGCAACTTGTCTGAGCTTTCACATGGCCGGTCAGTGTGCTGCCATATATATATATTTGCTTGGACTGTGAGTTTTAATACATTCATTTTTATTAACACAAGATTTTAACTTTGAGTTTTCTTATGAAAATGAAATTTAATATCTAAGATTTAGCAAAGAGATGTTCTAATCAATGTTGTGCTGTCCCCCTGGCATATTTGAATCTGCAACATCATATTCAGGTTTTATTGCAGTGTTGGCACTTTGCGATAAATAAGTGGGTTTTGGGTTGCAGTTTGGGCACCCAGGAGTGTGGGACCAACTGAATACTCAAAAGTTTAGTCACATGGTCCCTACTTTTCTTGGGCAATAGATGGAAATAACCAATTGTGGGACGCAATCCATGTGCAAACCTAGAAGGAACCTTCTCAGTTTGTTCAGTTCTTTACCCTTTACTCAGGGGAGATGGGAGTGGACAGTAATTTGCGTACAAGAGGAAATCTGACTAGTACATGAGCACAGATGGCATTACAAACAAGATGTTCAAATTTTTATAGATTCATTCATACAAAGTTGTGGATGCATTTCCGTTCTCTGTAACTTGGAAGTGTAAGAAATTATGGAGCTCAAGTCCTTGTTTGTTTGTTTGTCAGTTGTTTATCCAGTTTCTTATTTATATTGAATACACTGATAACTGTGTTTGATAAATTTATACAGTGGTTTATTTTATTAAATTTAACTAGTTAGTTCCTTTCAGTTCAAATTATAATTGTCTTTTACAGTGCTATCTACAGTCGAGATTTTTCGCAGCTCAAAAATACAATAACTCAACTGGAATCTGAGTTAGATATCACAAAAAGACAGTTGGGCACGGAACGCTTTGAAAGGCAAGTGTGTGATGATATTTTTAACTTTTTAAATTTCTTCTTTCTAATTGAATAGTATGCAGCTACACTGCAGAGAAAGATGCTGAGCTATATGGTTAAAACATTGTATATTTAATGGAATTTAGGCAGCAATCCAAAACATACTAGGAAGTAAATTTTACTGCTTTATGACTTACTTCTGAATAAAGATGCATAGGATTTTGCTCTATAGTTGTGAAATTGCCTCCAGGTTTAGAGGCTGCTTCTGTAAGTCAGTGTATCTTCAGCACATAGGTTAGCTTGTGTGCCTTGTGGGCTTCTGTGTGTTTTCTTAATAGAGACAGGATCTTAACTCAGTCTCTAGTCCATCCATAAGTGTAATAGAACTCACATCCATAGAATAGGACTTTCTCACCACTTCTTTCCCTCTGTGAATTTGCTCCTGGGGATTCGGCAACCTTGGGAATTGTGTGAGATTATTATGTTCTACTGCCTTCCTGGAAGGACCAGCCCTGCAGTAGATATGATCTCAGAAAAAAAAAGAGGACCCTATTACTGATCCTCAGACTTAGGAAGTTCAAGCAGAGCTGACAGATAATTAACACACCTTCAATCACCTCTTGACAAAGCCATAAGTTCAGTGGAACCAGTTTGCTTTTACTACTTCTATCCACTCCTATTCTAGACCAGTCAGGAGCAGCAGTAGTGGAGCCCAAAGTCAAGGCATAATTCTGATAGCATAAGGTTTCCAATCCATGACAATGGCTCATGAGAAAGGAGCCAGAGTCCTGATGATATACCAAGAGGGAATGGGGAACTTTGCAGAACCAGCAAAGGTATAGATGGAGGAAGTTGGTTGTATATACCCCATCTTTTAGTAACTAAAGCAGCCAGAGATCCAGTTGGGATTTCTGCATCTGTCTGTTTCAGACCAAGAGTTCAAACTATTTGACTGGAACCTTGTTCCTTTAAAGAAAGAAAGAGAAAAGAAAAAAAATATTTTGAGCTTATCATAGATTCAGATCTATGGACAGGTGACATACTGTCCCACTCATATACCAAAATTCAAATAAGCTTGCTTATTTTTAATTTTATATCATTGCATAATGCCTCCTTTATTCTGGTACTTTGCTAGTAGTATAGGTTCTGTTCTGTCGAATTAAAAGATTTGTAATCGCATCACTCATCTTAAACAAATTCATCCTAGATTTCAGTGTTTCTGCATTTGCACATAGCAGCCTACAGGTCTCTGCCACTAAGAACAAGCCACCCAACATCAAGGATTACAAATACTGTTTTGTCCATACTGAAATATTGTCAGAATGAAACATTTCATTCTCTCCTATGTAACTCAATGGCTGCCATTCATTCATATATGAAAAATGAAAGGCATGCATTCAGGGCTGCCATGGGGATAAGGGTAAAAATGCTTCTGCCTGTGGTGGATGATCTTTTGCAGACAACAACAGTGACATTCAAGCTAACTCTGGTTAATACTGCACAGAAGAAAGATGTGGTAATCCATTGCTGAATTTTCTTACCTCAAAAACCCTATGATGAAACAGTCAAACATGAAACAAGTGATAATGCCAGAAGATGAGATCCCAGGGTTGTAAGGCACTTTATGAACTACAAGGGATGGGCAAAGGACAAATACAAGTAACACTTTCACTGATGATGCTACTAGACCAAACCCAAAAGGAAGTTAGGGGCCAACATGCAGAGAGGTGAAGGGAAAGGTCAATGCTGCATAACACATACAATTAGACATGGAACATGAGAAATATGAATCAAGGCAAACTGGAAATAATAAAGCAAGTAATTGAAGATTGCAGTACTTGGTGTGAGCAAACTAAAGTGGATTAGAATGGGACATTTCCGATCAGACAAACACAAAGTGTTTTATTCCAGAAATGAGAAATTCAGAGCAACTGAATGACTAATCCTGAGGCAAGATGTAGCACAGGCAGTAAGAGGCTATAATGCAAAATCCAACTGAAAAATATCAATCAGAATTAGTGGAAAACCTATCAATATAACTATTATTCAAGTTAACACTCCATCTACAGAAGCTGAAAAAGAAAAAATCAAAAACTTATATGGAGATATTAAAAAAGAAGGCACCAAAACAAGACATGCTGCTAATTCTAGGTGACTAGAATATATAACTAGGAAACCAAGCAGAATCAATGTTATAGGAAAATTTGGCCTAGGGGTAAGAAATGAAGCAGGAGAATAACTCATAAAATTTTGTGAAGCCAACCTGTTCAGTGTAAACACATTTTTCAAGCCACCACTGAAACAGTTGTATACATGGACTTCACCAGATGGCCAACACAGAAATCAAATAGACTAAGTAATTGGAAGGAGAAGGTGAAAAAGATATATTAGGAAAGAATGCCAAAAGACAACTTCTGTAGCAACAAGAGAGAAAAAGCGTAGATGTATAACAGACTGTTCCAAACACTGTTCCAAAGGACAGATAAGAAGCAAAAAGTGAAAGAAATAGGGACAGAAATAGGGAATATAGCTTTTCAGCAACTATCATGCAGAGACAAAAAGAACTATTACAGTGCAAAGAAAAAGAAGAGAGCAACAAAAGGGGAAAAACAAGAGACCTCGTCCAGAAGATTCAAGAAATCAAAGGGAATTCAGAGATTAGGAATGCTAAAAGACAAACAAGGGAACATATTATCTGACCAAGAGAAAATAAAGAGCAGGTAGAACAAATATGAAGAACTATACAGAAGAGGTAAAAGTATGAAAGACTTTTATCTTTGAAGAAGGTAAATCCTTCTTCTTTGAGGGACCCGCAATATTAGAAAGCAAAGTGAAAGCTGCTCTGAAAGCTCTTGCAAAGAATAAAGCACCCAGAGTAGATAGAATATCAATAGAACTAGTCCAAGCTGCAGAAAATGAATCAGTTCAAATCCTAACAAAAATGCCAACAAATATGGAAAACCAAAAAATAGCTGACATTTAATATATACTCCAGTCCCCAAGAAAGAAAATGCCAAAGAATGCAGCAACCATAGGACCATTGCATTAATCTTCCACACAAGCAAAATGATGCTCAAAGTATTGCAGCAAAGAATGCTACCCTATATGGAGCAAGAAATGCCATACATTCAAGCTGGATTCCAAAAAGGAAGAGGTACTCAAGATCATCTTGCACGTATATGTTGCCTACTGGAGTGTAACAAAGAATTTCAGAAAGATATCAGTCTATGTTTTATAGACCACAGCAAACCTTTGACTATGTGGATCTCTTGTATGGTCCTGAAAGAAATGGGTGTGACTCAGCACTTGATTGTCCTGATGCATAACCTGTATTGTGGACAAGAAGCTACTGTGAAAGCAGAATATAGAAAACAGAATGGTTTCACATAGGCAAAGATGTCAAACAAGGATGTATTTATCTCCTATCTGTTCATTCTGGATGCAGTACATACATGAAGAAAGGTGATGCATTCAAAACATGGTGCTGAAGGAAAGCTTTGCAAGTACGGTGGGCCAACAGAAAGACAAACAAGTGGGTCCTAGATGACATTGAGCTGGAGCTTTTCCTAGAAGCAAAAATGACAAAACTGAGGCTGTCATACTTCCGACACATCATAAGAAAGCAAGATTCACTGGAGAGGTCAATCATGTTAGGGAAAGTCAAAGGCAAAAGATGAAAGGGAAGACCAAATATGAGATGCATTGAATCCATAAAGGAAGTCATACCCTCGAACTTAGAAGAGCTGAATGGAGCCTGTCATGGACAGCACATTTTGGAGGGCTTTCTTTCATAGGATTGCCATAAGTCAGAGACAACTTGACAGCACATAACAACAACATGACTACTCTAGTTCCTGAGTATTGGTTTTTCCTGTAGGAGATGCACATAGAATCCACCCCTTCCAAGTAAGCTTATACAGGGGCAGACATGTAAGTATAATTTCTTAAGGCTTTATTAGATCTTTAATGAGTTATTTATTGTTTAAAGGAGGCTTCCCAAAAATCACTTCCATCTCTACTGACTTTAGAAGGGTCCCCTTACTGTGATTTCCAGTTTGTGTCTATTTGGAAGATGGTCAGATCCAAATGGCACTTGCCCTGGGTCTCCACCCCCTCCACTCACGTGCAGGAATTTTTTTCCCAGAATAATTACCCCTTACTGAGGCTAGTAGTTGGCTGGGAAGGTAATGTTTAAGAGTTTTTGAAGGCATCTCACTTGGAAAACCAAGGTCTGAGCTTTTACAATACTTGATGGGAGTTTACTTCCAAAACATCTCGAGGACACAAGCTTGAGGGAAGCTGCACTAGGAGGTGATGTGAAGATTTCTACATGACCACTTGGAGAGCCACTGCCAGAATTATATTAGAATAAAGAAACTAGTTTTGACTTAAAAGTAGCTTGGTATGTTCCTAATTTCATATCCAAATTCTCTGTTGATCTTTTTGTTGGTTCTGAATGAAGCCTATATAAAATTCTCTGTTTGCTCCCTCAGCCGTGTGTGATTTTTTTATCATTCACTGATATTATTTAACCCCCTTTAAATAATGTTCACTTTTGTTTTAGAGAGCGTGCTGTCCAAGAGCTTCGCCGTCAGAGTGCTACAGCTTCATACCATTTAACATCTACAATAAGGTCATCATCACCTGAACGTTCCCGGAACTGGTCCCCCGACAGGTCTCTGGATAGATCTCTGGAAGGGTGAGAACATCACATTGCTCAGTGGTGAAAAGCATGCCTCCTTTCCATCAATACTATCAATGTGTTCATATTAACAAGATGTTCATAAAATGGAAACATAACTTGGAGGTGAGGTGGGAGAGTTCTTGCACAAAGAAAAAAGTTTGCTTTGCTTCAGATTTTGGAGACTATGTCATTGTTTCCCCATTTTCTGCACTATTACTGGTTATGTTTCCAGACAGTAACTGCTACTGATTATTCATTAGTTATGATTTCTGCATTCATTCTTGAACCTTTACTCCTTGCTGGTGAAGCATGACTACCGTTTCCTCCTTCCTTGGTGCAAAATGTATCAATGATTAATTATGTAGAGAGGCCTAAGAGGAGGTGGGGAATGGTGTAGGATTGCTAATATCATAAATATATTTATGCCTCCCTGTAGGAAGGAAAAGCCATGCTTGACCCCCTAAATAATTTCTATAGGAAGAGGCATTTGCAGTAGTCTCTGTGAAACACTGCAGGTTCCCCAGTCTACTTCCCCTCTCTCCAGTTTTTTGACAGTATCTCTCCCGTCCACATCAACTAATGACCTCGAGAGGAGAAGTCAGACAGACAGACTCACAGCTGTGTGTGATGTTATTACAGAAGATGACGTAGGAAATAATATCTGTTTCAAGTGTCTTTCTTTGGAGGTGCAACAGTATCTATTTGAATAAAGCCATGTTCCTGCAAACTGAAAAGCACGATATTATCCTTTATTTTTCACTAATATGTCTTTCCATAGATAGAATTTTAGTGCAAATGAACCCAAGCTACCACTACTTCATATTCCCTTGCAGTCTATTATTTAGAGCCATGATGTTATACTAATGGTTTTCTTCTGACAAATTTAACTTAAACCAGCTTAAACTGAGTAATGACATCACTGCTAAGATTTTAAATATTTGGATCGTACCTTTTTGATGAGCTAATTTGATTAGATTTTCTCTAAGTCTAGGAATTCTGTTCCACCTATTTGAGTCCTCCCGAATATATTGAAAATGTATGTGTAATTCAAGCAAATTCATAACCATATCTCATTAATCATGATGTCAGTACCAGGTTTCAAGGGGCAGACATTCTTTCTGGACCTTACTTCTCAGTGAGTCTACTTTGTTATCACCATTATCACCAGCTGCACTTTCTTCTTACCTGCTTTCTCATAATTGTTTCCACTTATTGCTTGACAGGCAGATGGCAAATAGTCAGTGGCATCTATTCCACCTTACCACTGCCAGAGTGAGGAAGTGGGCCAGAATGAGAGACAGGTGAACAACCAGGTTGCAATGGTGAAAGGGGGAACAACTACAGGGACTGTTGGTTAGTGGTATCTTGCTGAAGTCTCAGCAAGTAGTCAACCACATCTGCTTTTAATATCAGCCCTGCCCCAAGGGTGTTTTCACACACTACACTTAAATTCCAGTCTTTAACATGTGCAAATACAAAGAATCTGTAAGTAGAAAGTACAAGTAGATAGGCTTCCTCTCCCTCTTTTTTGGTGTACTTTTATTGCTCTCCGATCAGAAACCTTTGGAGAACAGAGATACACTACAAATCTACGCTCAAATATCTACCAGTAGGTTCCAGTCTACCTTCTGCCTCACCCTGATCTAGAAAATCATTGTGTCCTGATTTTGAAAAGAGACACTGAGAACCTGTAATTACCTTTTAACTTCAATGGTGCTTTTCTGTACTTTTGAAATGTTAGAGGTTAATTCCATTATCATGTCTGTGTACAGAATTCCTATTAATATATTTTCATATGAAATGAAAATATTTAAACAAGAACAGAACAATCTTCTCATAAAAGATTCAGCACAATGCCTCCACAACCCTACCTGGTACCTAACCCATAGTTCAAGAAGAAAAATATCACATGTACACTTTACGATAAGAATCAATATACCAGTTGACTGGAGTTGATTGTCTTTAATCTGATGTAATATACCAAGCTAATGTCCTTCTCTTAAACCCCTGGTATTAGAAAGGAGAAGGGGAGTTATAAAAAAATTGCAGAAAAGCTTCTGCTGTTTTTGAATTTGCATATGCTAGGCACTTATTAAGTAGTATTGAGGTAAGTCATTCAAGGTGTGGCAGGGCCATAATCCTTGTGTTCTCCCTATTTCTGTATAAAATGGAAGGATTGGTAGGTTAGACTGTCTTAGTTAATAGTTAAAAGGCATGTGGGTATAGTATCTACTGCCATACCTTCTCTCCTCCCCCCCTCCACATTAGTAGTTCCACCAACTACTTTAGGTTCTTGGCTGTATTACTAAGAGTGAGGTTGCTGGACCGATAGACTAAGACCCAAAGAGGTAAGAGTTCAGTAGCCATAACTTTTTTACTGTTGGAGAGACCCTCCCACTCCCTTCTTTATGATAAGAGCAGACATAAGAAGAAATGTACCATTCAGAATTTGAGCTATTCATTGTTGAAATGTCTCTAGAAGGGTGCATGCATATTTTAATAATACCTGGTCCGGATCCAGATTAGCTTCTTGTGATGGAGGAAGTTGTCCCTATCCATCCTATAGTTTTGTATTCTAAGGGGGAGAGAATATAATATAGGTTAACATGCAATCTTTTTGAAAAACAAGGTTTGCATTTTGATAAAGGAAGATTCTTGACTTATTGAGCCTGACATTTAATTAAAATTCAGCTAATTATAAAATCATAATATTGAGAGATACTTGATCATCTGTCTCAATGCCGTTTCCTAACTTTAGTCCAGATCTTCTTCCCATAGTTTGTATTTAAGGATTATTGTGTATGAGCTTATTTTGGTGATGTATGCAGGATTATGCCATAGAGAAGTATAATAGACTAAATGTGCTTGGGAGACCTTTAAAACAAATGAAAAAGTGAGCAGTTAAAAAGAGACCAGGCTTATGAGGGCATGAGTATTAGCATGCTATCCCTAAAGCAATTTGTTGAGGGTCTTATAATTCAAATCAAGTAAATAGACTTGTATATACTTCCCACTTGATTTGTGGGAAAATACTATCCATGAATACAACAGTTAAAATACCACAATTTTCCCTCTCTTATAGGGATCCTCTTTCGAAGGACTTCTAACTGAAGAAGATATGGGAAAAGTCTGACTATTGATATGTAGGTGCCAAACTGAACTCAGGGCTTATTAAAAAGAATTGCTTTAACTCAATTGACGGTGGATAATATTCAGACCACTTGAACAAAAGAAGTTTTGATATATTGTTTATACAACTAATAAGCCATTATTAAAATGGCATCCTGAAAAGACAAGTGAACATAAGTATAACTGTATGCTGTCAGAAACCCTATTTAATCAAGCTACCATTTTAAAGGATTTTTTTAAAAGAGGAAAATGGAAAAGAATTAAAGCAGTTGATTTCTTAATTTATTTGTTGTAACATTGTTCACTGATGTTAAATTTCCTAACTTCATTTCTGAATTACCCTTTCCTATCTCATCCTTCTCCCTACAGTTCCCTGGACACTCAGAAAATTTGTTCCTGGGTGTTGGGGGATTTTGGGGAGTGATGTGGGATACACTGAGGAACACTGCGAAAGGAAGGATAGCAAAAAACACAGAAACAGCTTTCATAAACAGAGGAGTAACTTGGGATCCAGTCCGTGTTTCAAAAATAAATTTGACTTTAGTCAATAAACCCAACTATCCATGAAAATAACAGTATTGGTTGCTATTTAATGTAGGTACACCAATTGCCAGCAGTAATGAAGCAATATTATTGCTCTGCAGTTACATCGAACCAACCTGCACACTGCTGGGCAGTGTGGGGGGAGAGGAGGGAGAAGCAGCAGAACTGAAATATATTGCTAACTGGGCAATATATTTCAGTTATGCATAGGGTCTAAGAAAGTGTGATGACCAAGCAATTGATTTGAAAAGAAGTTTTCAAGTTTCACATTAATCAGAATGGAAAATCAAATCATGTATTCTTCATATTTGAGTAATGTCCAGGCATTGCCAATCTGATTAAACTATTTCAAAATATTAACTGAAAATATTTTTTCTTAATAAAAGCGGCTACTTTATACTTTACAGTGAGATAATTCCCTCTTTAATGTATCTGTATTTTAAATAAAGGCTTATGCGAATGGGGTAGCATACAAGCACTCCAAATAAATAAAGTTACCAGTGGATCTTTCTTGTTTTTTATGGTAATTTCATCTAAATATAGATTCTCTGAGATTATGGTCAAAACAATAATTCCTTCACATTCTGTCTTCAAATGTGTTGTAATATTTTATGCCCTCTTCTATGATTCCTAGTCTGTTTTAAAAAAAGTAAAACCTTTGCACTCAAGCTAATCAGAATGAAATCAACAATATATTTTATGCTGCTTCCCGCTTTTGAAACCTATCATTCTGATGAACACGTTTACTCTGAATACATAGTAATGATTACTTCAAAATTGACAGATCTCTTCTCAGCAAGACTTCATCTGGGATTTGACTATAAATGAGGGAACTGATCTGGCATGCATTACTGAAACCTGGCAGGGGTTGATCTGACCAAGCTCTGCCCACCTGATTGTTTGATGCAGCATCAGTCCAATGTAGAGATGAGGCCCAGCTGGAACTATAGTATGTCCAGCTAGCTAGTTTGGACTCTGAGGAAGATGAATTGGCAGATAGCCTCAAACCATCAAGGTTACCAAGTGAGATTATTCAGTCAGCTTCTAAGAACCAGTCTTAAGAAAAGAGGAGGGCACTGTGGAACAGGGAGGGTGGGAGAGGATGAGGCCTGTAAATTCTTAGAATAAAAGAAGACATGCTAAATGAGCAGACCAATTAAGAAACCTCACACATTCCTGTCATTTGGCCCTCGGACAGTGTGAGCCATCCTAAGGATGGATTCAAGACCTTTCAGAAAAAAGGGGATCAGCTAATCTAGTCTCAGGCATGGTGCTGAAGGACCTTAGAATTCTGGCTTTTTAACATTCATGCCAAGATGGTGTTTACTGGTCCAGTTCAGGACATAAGGGGGATGGTCTGGATATTAGGGAAACTGAAGTTGCCCCATTGACATGGTTGGACCACTAAGTGGTAAAGTTTAGGCTTAAAGTGCTAATTTCCCACTGCAGAGGTGAGGGACCGATTAGGTTTGTCTGCTCCTAGTATTTTATGGGATCCAATGAATTCCTGAATCCACTGGGGAAATCCCTAGTAGCTAGACATACTGAGCCTCCTCCTGAAGCTATAGTTGTACTAAAGGATGCTTAGATGCAGTGAGTTAATGGCACAATTGTCCCCGAGTGCCTTCTCTAGTGCTGGGGAGTCTGAGGTGCTCCCTGGTTCTCTGGTGTGCTCTGGGTGATAAAATGGGCTGGGAGACAGCTAAAGCACACCATAAAGTCAACTGGATATATATGATTACATGACGTGTCTACTTGCAGCAATGAGAGCAGCAAAGACTACTTTGTTAATTCCATTCCATTCTCAAGTAGTGCTCAGCAGAGTTTTTGTTACGTAGCTGGGGGTTTATTGCTATTTTTCCCAGTAAATTTTATTTTAAAACTCTTGAAGCCTGCTGTGATAATTTTACAAGATGCTCTGAGAATAATCATCCACCTTCATGCTTCTAGTACCATTGGTTGGTGAGGTGTCCAATGCACTGTCTGCTGAAGCTCTTCGAGGTAAGTTTCCATTTTTGAGGTCTGCTGACATAGACAAAATGATTGCAGCTGTTCAGTCTATCACTTGCGCTCCCTTGAACCTTGGCCATCCTTACATATTAGAGCTAGCTAGGAGGGATTGGCTGAGAGCATCCAGGTGATATCTTTGAATTATAAAGTGATGCCAGTCACCTCAAAGGAGGCAGTGGTAGGTCTACTCCTGAAAAACTCTCCCCTTGCCTGAGTGAATATGCTGTCCAGTGTGTCCTGTCTTTTTTCTCCTTTTTTGTAATCATGTGTTATAGTGGTTTTAATTGATTTCAGTATTTTATGAATGGTTTAATAATTGAACATTTGAATTGTTTTAATGCATATCATGACTTTTTAATGTATGTAAACTGCTTAGACATTTGTTAAATAGGAACAACACTATATGAAAATGTTGAATAAAAATAAATGCCATTAATGTTGGAAAATATACATAGAAAATTGTGTGACATGAACAAAAATTAAAATTTACTCTTAACCTGATTAATAAATGAAGAGTTGGGTTGCAAGGCCTAACTTGCTTTCAGTGAGCAGTACCATCCCTTGCATAAGAATTTACGGGATCAGAGTCCACTGGGTTGTATGTTGACTATCATACTTAGAGCATTTAAATCAGGGGTCAAATTAATGATCACTAAGTCCCCTTAATTTAGTGATACCTTGTAGGGATTTATGAAAAATTTGATTCACTTTATTTTGATCACGATCTATCTTACTGACTGAACACAGACTCAGATGCAGTTAGTAGTTGGTCCAAACTTTTCTGAGCTTGCAGTGTGATTTATTTCACCCAAAAATGCATTCAAGGACAAACTTAAATGTAAAAATTGTGCATTAAAAACTCCTTATGAAATTTGTGCACAAACATGTTTTATTGAAATGGGAGAAGAATACATATATTTCAAAGATTTGCACAATTGATGGGTACATTTGGAAAAATATGCAGAGATTTACAATTCCCCTTCTCTTAAAATCAAAGCTCACAATCTGATCTGAGTTGGAAATTGTTTTGGGTAGAATTTGGATAACTTCAGCAAGGTCAAGTTTGTTGATTCACACATTCCTAGACTGCTCTAAGCATGACTAAGTCTGAATCCAACTATTATTTTTTCTGTAGTTGGAGATACTTCAGTGTTATAATCATTGATACATGATCAAATTCCTCTGAAAGTAAAAGATGATAAAGCCTCATTAATATTTTGTTTAAAAAAGTAATCCAGCAAACCCCAAAAATATAGCATCCCTGGAACAGAGAGAAAGTGTAATCAATCAGATAAATTTAGCCTGCATCAGTACACCTGCTAAAATTAAAATGATGTGGCCTTCAGTGAACACAAGGAAAGGGATCAGATGGGGGTGAAGATGTGTTAACACAGATAAAGCAAGGAAACTCTGGAACTACTTTGATGATAGTATTTTTTATCCCAATGAGCTGATAGAACCAGTGCAGTAATCATAGCCAACACAAGCTTGGCAAGATTCTATAAAGAGGAAAAGGGCAGCTCTAATTTTAAAACCGCATGTGGTGGACCTCAAAAAGTGATATTTAATAACAGTTTGTCACTTACAAAAGCTACAAAAGCAGTGCAACTATGCAAGCAAGATAAAGGGCATCTTTTACTAGAAAATTATGACCAGTACATATACCTACATATGTGTAACTCCCCACAGATATTACACAGTCCCCATACAACCAAGCTTCACATTATAAGTACTACTTGAGTTATTTTGTGGGTGTGACTGTGAAAGTAAAGCTGACTTGCTTGTCAGTGGAAAGAAAGATTGGCAGAAGTAAACACCCTGGTGGTACATATACTTGGAAGTTGCTTATACTAATCTTTCTGCCTTGTCAATATTGACACTTGGAGAAAGGATTTTAATGTTTAGATTCAAAGGCACCACCTTTATCCTGGCAAGAGAAAGATGTTTTTGACAAAATAGTAGTAGTAATAGAGATACTTGATGCCGTTCATACATGACTGTGTAGATATATAGAATTAAAATTAGCATACATGTATCCCACTGTGTATTCAGTCTAGAATAAATATTGCCATTAACTATTTCCAGATAATGAAGCGGTTCCATATGATAACTGAATAATTGTCTGGTTCTTCCCAATGCTTTTGTGTGATCTTTATCTGTTATTATCTCATATACAGTATTATATATGGTTTGAGGCTAACTTTTTAAAATACCAATCAAAACCAATGTGTACAGTTAATTATAGAAATCAGATGTACAAATTATACCACTTTAAATGTGAAAAGGGCAATATGGAAGTAAATATGGCTGCCTCTATTTACAACTAGTTTAGCCCTTACTCTCTAGGCACAGATGCACAAGCAAATACACATAGTGAAATCCCTAGTCTTTAGGCATCCTCTTTATTTCTGCAATTTGTAGCATGTAGGATGTTGTGCTTCCAAGTTACATAGCCTTGGGTGGTATTCTTGCCATTTTTGAAGTAGAATCCAGAATTAAAACCATTAAAAACAATCATTTCAAAGGAAACACCATTCTCTTAACAAAAGTGATCCAGGTTTACTATTCTCTGTCTCTTGTTTAGTGTAAATATATCTTATATTTTAAAAGAAATTACTAGTACAACCTCCACACCCAGTTTTTGGTTTTTCAGATAGAAAGAGGCTTCTTGCTGGGTTCACAAAGAAAGATTGCTACAAGTTAGTAATACTCGGTTGTATTGAAAAATATATACTCGGTTGTATTGAAAAATGAGTACAGCAACTGAATCAACTAAGTCCCACAATTGTTACTATTGGAATACATTATTTAGTAGCTAAAAGCATTCCAGAACTTGTTCTGGGTGAAACAACACTAAGGCGGAATCAATAGTCAACACAATTCTATAACCTTCTGTGGATATGATTAACATATTATGAAAAAGTGGGTTCTTTCCCACAGAATTTTGCTAAGAAAGCAGTGGATATATCTTGCATCTGCATCTTGTATTTTTTAAAAAGTCAATATTCAGAAATATTTAAAGAATTATTTGGCCCAAACCTGTTGTGTTCAGATTGCAAGTCTTCACTTCAGTGGGACCACTGCAGCCAGCCAGAAACAGTAAAAAGCAGCACTCTGGCAGAAATGAAATGTACGGACAGCTCTAAAATATACCAAACCCTTATCGATGGCAGTTTGAATCTAGATTTATGCATCCACAGTGACACAGCTAGGGCTAGCCCTTGGGGACCAAAGTCCAGAACTCTACCCCAGGGCCTCCCAGGCTATGGGGAAATGTCAAACAGCAGACATCAGAACTTGGGCCAGCATGAGCGTGCCATGTCTTTCACCCTGTCTTCTTATTTTTAAAAATATTGTAGAGCAAGTGGATGGTCAGCTAAGCATGTAAGTGTTTACAGATGCTGATCCAATGTTGCTTTATAATTTCCTTTTTTATACTCCATTTTATTCCCATAGCCATGCTAGTGCCATGATTTAACTGAGTTTAAAATTAGTAACTTTACCTGGTAACAGTAGTTCTTTTTTAAAATCAGGGTTGCCAAACAGATTTTCTTTCTGTTATGCATCAGGAATATAAAAGCATTTGCGAAGCATGAAATGGCAGTGGGGAGGGAGAGGATATTATGCACTTCACAAGAACACATGCTCTTCTAAAAGCAGGAGCGGGCAAATCTCCAGAAACCCTGGACTTCAACATGAAGCATCTACCAACCTGGAATAGGAGGAATTAAAGTCAGAAGCATCTGAAGAGGTGCTGTGATCTCCCCTGCCCATTAAAGCCAAGATCTCAAATTGTCCAGCTGCACCATGGAGGCCACTTCCTTTTCCAACAGGAGCCCCTCCATCCTTCTCTCTCAACATGCTGCACAGGGAGATGGTTGGGGATGCTGCCACATGGGGTCTGCTGTGGCATAAAAGGGAGGGCGATCCCACCAAATTGGGCGGAGACACTTTCTATCCAGCACTTTGAGCAGGGCGTTGGATGACCTCCAACCTCCCTTCCAACTCCGTCAGAACCGCCGTGTCCTACTCCTCTTAACGCTCCAGTCCACCTTGACGGGGAAGGGGGCCTTCACTCCGCGGAGTACAGATTTTCGGGAGCAGAACATTCTAGCTCCAACGTCTGGCCTCGCAAATGAGAAGGCGTTCGAGTTACGGGGCTTCCACGGCTTTAGAAACAAGCAAGGCAACTTGTCAAAATGGTAATGTCTAACTTGAATTCTCGAAAAGTAGCCGCGGGCCACTCTTGCAGGAAAAGAGCAACGAGGAGTCGTCTTATGCCAGACTAGTATCCCATTTACATTTGTTGCTTACCAGCGTTCATGGTAGCAACGTTTCAGCTTCTTCAGGGGCGCCACGGAACTTCAGTGTTTGTCGTGGCCCCAGGTTCCTGTATCGTTGCATTAAAAACTGGCCGGCTCAGTCCAGAGAAGCACCTGTTGAGCAACGGACAGAGTGGGAGGAAAGAAGTTCATTTAAAAGCACCGGGGCGGGTGCTTTTAAGCATCATGATTTCGACTCTTCAAGACTCGGGTGCAGCCTCCCTTCCTTCAAGGCGTGAGCACCTCCCAGAATGGAAAACAATAAAACGATGAAAGCTCATTTTGCAGCTGCAAAAAAAATCTTCGTCTCCCCTGCACTTTTAACAACTGCACAACCGTGTCCAGCTGCACATTAGAAAAACCCTGCACCCACTTACCTGTGGATAAACCCCATTAAAGTGAATGGGAGTTACTTCCGAGGGGACTCAGGCTGCGTAGCCTTGACAAGTAATCTGCTTTATGCAAAATGGCTGCATCCAACTTGAGTCAAACTTAAGTCCCACTCATTTCAATGGGTCTATCCTAAGAAGGACTCAAAAGCGTCCTGTACAACACAGGCACAGCGCAACCCTAATGTAAGTCCCGTTGCCTTGAGCGGTGCTTGCTCCGGAGCAGGAAAGCTGCGCGCACAGCTTGGGTGCGTTAGGCGCGGGTTGTTCCAGGGAGCCAGGACGGGCGAGCACATCCCCTCGGGCTAGGGCTCCAGACTCGCCGAGCGAGGGCTAATCGGCTGCTGCGCGAGGGACTGCCGCGTTCCCTCCCTCCAGCCTCTCCTGGCGGCGCCCGAGACAGCGCGCTCCGCCTCCAGCCTCCAGGTGCCTGGAGGGGCGCTCTTCCCGCCCTCAACGGGGACCGGTTCCCCACTTGCTGCTGCGGGGGGGGGGGGGAGCGACGCTATTGGAGGCGTCCCCAAGACGAACGTGCGGACGGCCCCCCGGGGGCTGACGCTGAATGCGTGGGGAGGGCACGAAAGGTTGTGAGAACATTCCCTGGAGTTGCGGGCAGCGCACCTGACGGGAGAGTGCTAGTTTCCCTCAGCCCCACCGTGGGCAGGCCGGCGTTTTGCCACCTGATTGCGGCTTCAGAGCTCGCTCACTTCCTCTTGGACAAGCCAGTCCGTGCGCGCTTTTCCTGAGGTAAGTCCCAATCAGTTCAATAGGGCTTACTTTTACTTGGCTCCAGGAGCAGTTATTAACAGGAAGTGGTTGGCGGGGAAACATTCCTTGTCGTCCTCACAGAAACTGCATGGGCTCTATTGACATCAGGTTGGAACCACCCTTTCTTATTCACCATGGGGTGATGCCCCTTCGTGTCCGCCGTCCCCTCTTCAGAGTGGTTTATCTGTGGAATAGGGTTTCTGTTTTGCTCTCTATATATTCCTGTGTAAATGGAGCCAAGCATCAAACGTGGAAGATCCTAGCAACTTATTCTAGTTTAATTAAATTGAAACCCTACCAACAGGCTGCTTTTATATACATAATAATTAACCTAGGTCATCAGAACTCCACTACTCAGAAATATGACATATTGAATTCACTGGGTCTTGCTCAGTGAGTAAGGACTGCAGCCTTAAGGGATTGTAAGCATGTGTTCCAGGAACAGCAGTTACTATGGACTAATTTAGTTTTAGTCTATATATTGCTTTTAATGGTTATTCAGCTTTCTGAGAAAAGAATGATGCATTGGATTTCCCTGTCCAAATCGGTGCTGCATTTCATTTGGTTACAGGCTGTAGTTGTTTTTTTCCTCTCATCCCCCTAGTTTGCCTCTATGCAAACTAGAACACTCAATCAGCAGTTTCTTCGGGGCTAGGATTAGTTTAGGAGGAAATAATACTTGACATTCTTACATGCACTTGTCTTCTAGCGTTGCAATCATTGAAAGAATGACTACTGCTATAGTTGTAGTTGCATGTAAGAGAAAGAAACAGAAACAGAGCGAGTCAGGAGGGGTCTCCCAGGCCATCTAGTCTGCATCTAGTCTGACCTCCGTCACGTCGCAAGCACTTCTATATTGCAAGCACTTCTATATTGATCTGACACTAAAAAAGGATTTTGGTTTCCTTTTATTGTTGAGAAGTTAATTGGCTGGATTGTATCCAGTGGTGTCTCTCTACCAGTGAAACATAGATAACTGGTGGATAAAATTTCCCTTCCCACTACATACTCTCTGTACACTCAAAATCTGGGGTTTTTGGGGTGCTACAGAGGAGGCAGCATTGCACAAAAGGAAATTTGCTTGCATAATATGAGAGTTAACTCTTTGTACTTCAAATGCAGACTTCTTCAGAATTCTAGCTTATTGGGAGTGAGCAAAGGTGTTGCTGGATACTGTCTAGTCACTTCTACTTGGCTTCTCTGGCCAGTAGCAACAACTAAACCAACCAGAAAACCTCAATCTGTAGTTTGTTCAGTAATATGTCCAAAACAGGATTCTTGTCATGTTGGTAGCATGATAAGTGAGAATCTGAAGATAGGAACAGCTCTGTCTTCAGTTTCCAGTTTGTTAGGAGAGAGCAGGTTGGAGATCCTGGTTCATACCCGACACTAAGCAAATCACAAACAGAGGTTCCATGAGGGATACTATATGAAGCCCATTTGGGTTTAGGCCACAGATTGCCTGAGTTGACCTTTGGCTCTTCTGAACTGTCCCAATGGTCGTCATCTGCTTTAGTATAAGCCTGATTCATGCCTCTGAACTTAGTAGCATTGCAGTTACTTGAGACATTAGGATTTACTTCCTTAATAGATTAATAGGGAGTGTAGCATGAAAGCTGCAGCCTTTAAACAATAAGAGAGATTGCAATTGTTTTGCTCATTATTTTCATTAAGGCCAGAAACCTAAATTGAGTAATAGTACCACTGTCACACAGCTTTCTCAGAGCCTGACTTCACAGGGAACTGCCCAGCTAATTGCTCCTGGCCCATCGTAATTGTGCCAGGGGCCAATATAGGCCATTGACACGGGCCCTGACTAGAGGAAGCACAGGTACACTAGCTGCTCACAGCAATTGAATGCCAGAAGACTTCCTCATCTGTTCCTTCTTCCAAGCTGGCCCAGGCTCTTGGGGAAAAATAGATGTGGGTTTTCTTACAAAAAGGGGTTTGAATGAGCAGCATTCTGGAACTCCCTGGCTCTTCAGTCATTTTTTTTTTTTTTGGAGGCATTCCATTCACCCTGCCTGAATTTGAGCCCTAAAGACCATAGGAAAGAGTGGGCATGTCAAGAATGTTTTAAGGAAGCACTATCTGGAACACTGCACAGTTCTGTCCTGAGAATAAACAGAAGGGTGCATTCTAGAACATTTAAATGATAGTAATCACATCAAATTAAGTTCATGTGTTTGTAAATTAACATATGCAAATATGTGCCTTTTTCCCTATGGGGCTGAGCCCCATATCTTTCAGGATCTAGCAGGATCTATCTAATGGCCTTCCTATAAAGCAGCAGTCAAGACAGGTGACTATTAATTGTGGAATAGTAAAGGAATGCTGAGGTGATTCTTAGAATCTTTGAGAGAATAACTAGAAATTGGTTACCCTCTATTTTCATGTGGATTGTTCTCTGCTTCAGCTGGGAAGTGCACTCAGCTCAACTTTACACCAGATCACACATTTTTAAATTGAAATGTGGAAATAAGATACTGAGAAAGCAAAATATAATTATGTCCTAAATTGTGAATGCTATGTACACGTTCAATGCATGGATTTTCTTATTATAATGGTTAAGTTTCCCCTTAGCCATTGTGGCAACAGTTACTGGGAAAGAGCAGGCTTCCACTGTTGCTATTGTGAGGAAACTCAGCTATTTAAATGTGTATGTACCATTAATAACAACGAATACTGTTCCATCTAAACTTAAGTACTTTTTGTACCTGAATTTAATAGGCATAGCTAGAAATCACCTGTAATAATTCAGTTCTGGGCATTCAATCAAAAGCTTTCCATTTCAGGAATTTGTGCATTGTCTGTCTTCTTACTGAAATCACTGGTGGTTATTTGTCATGCTGGAGGTACTTTTAGGCTTCTGCACCTTATTTTAGAAATTATAGTATTCCAGAGTACATAAGAGGAAGGGAAGCATAAATACCTGAGGGTGTCTGTTTCCTCTGGAAGTCAAAGAGATTAGAATTAAGTAATGCTTTGTACTTTATTGGCATCCAATTCTAAGAGAGGATGCTAGGTCTTCAGCCCACTAAAAGCGTGGCAGGACTTTTTTGTGAGAAATTTCAAATAAGCAAAACAAAAAAAGGAAAATTTAAAAAATGAATCTATGTAGCTATTCAAATATATCTAAATAGCTTTGAATATATCAGTTTCAATGCATATATATAAAATATGTATGTGTGATGTAAGTATATATAGTAAAAATTGTACATACGTTTCAGTAGAAGCAGGCCAAATATCCATTTGCAGGTGGTATCTATATACTGCCCATTCAAAAATAAGTTACATCAAAATGTCCTTATGTGGAAAAATAAGTAAACTATTAAGTTATGTAAGTCTTATCAGTGGAGGTCTTTGAATGACAAATATTTTAAACAGGATTTCCTTCTGTTTAATCACAAGAAGCAGAAGAAAAGTTAAAACAACCACACTGATAGTTTATCTGAAGTGTCAAAAACACAGATAGCTTAATGTAATAATGCATAGTAAACATACACAATCAACTTACTAAGCTTGAGAATGAGACAGTTTTTAACTTCATGTGAGTAAACCAGCTTCTTAGATAGTTCTAACCAACATTCTGTTGTTTTGGAGAAGGTCAAGTATTTTGAATGTCCTTTATAGTAAATGGACATGTTTACTGGATACTTTATATTCCTGCAATACTGTTTCTGCTGCCCTCTGTAAAACTGATGAAACTGAAGCCCTTATACCATAAACATGTTTAGATGTTTCAGTGTCAATTGGAAATAGGCTGTTAGCTCTCAGCAAATCTATGGATCATACCCAAGCAGGTGGTAGAATTCTGGGCTGTGCTACTATATTGTTTTGTTGCTTTTATTGCTGTTTTATTGTCATTTTAATGTTTGGGCTGTTTTTTATTGTTTTATAAACTTTTTATACGGTTTTACTGTTCTAATCCACCCAGGGAGCCTTGTGGCTAGCAGGGCAGGTTAGAAATTTAATAAATAAATACTATAGATTGCTGATGGAGAGCTTGTTACAATCCTGTTGTGATTAATGTCTGCTCATAGTAAATGAGTCCATTAGTAAGAAGGATTTAGCTTTGACAGTACTCCCTTGTAGTAAGTTGAAACTGCAGCCTTTTGCCTTGGCTCCACATTTCCAGGTCATTAGTTCCTCCTGGACAGGAGAAAATATAAAGGACTTCCTCATCTAGCATAGCCATACTTGAGCAACAATTTTTACCTGGGATCCTGATTGCTCTCCAGGATCCCTCCAGAGTGCTGCCCATAGCCTTTTCTTAACATGCTAGTACACTACTTGCAGATGGCACCAAAAATACCTCAAATCCCTGCCTGCACAAAGGTAAACTCTAGCTCTTTGTGAAGAGGAGCAGATCATTGACTTGGAAGTGAAAGAATGTCACTGTTGGACTTGTCAGGGAAGCAAGGAGGGGCAGGGAGGAAGTGCATGAGCCTAATCATTAGAATGATTATCAACTAAATGAGTCATACGGGCCCTCGGGAACATGTGCACCAACTTACCCAAGACTCTGCTCCCCTTGAACTTCTTTCCAGTTAAGTCCTGTCTGTGGTCTGCTGAACAGAGTACTGCTCTGGACCTACTCTCAGATGTAGAAGGTCAGTTAAGATCTGTAGCTTTGTTCTTTTTCACTTCTTAGTCTTTTATTAGCATCACACAAATTAAAAATTCCAATCACATTGAAGAAGAAGGGGGATTGTATTGGAAAACATCAATATACAGAATTATTACTTATAAGGAAAAACGGGGGGGGGGGACAAGGAAGAGAAGAAAAAGAGTAAACTTCCCATTTAATTTATATATGATAGTATACGTTTTCTGTATATCTAAGTAACTGTCCTCCTGACTTTGACAGTTGTCAGAGACACTGCTTTTGGTACATTTGAGTGTAACATTTTTCAGTCTGCTGAGTGGTAGATGGTGGATGTTCATTCTTCCAAGCTTGAAGTGTAAGTTTCTGCACA